CTGATCCAGCTGATCCCAATCAATCCTTGTGAGATTAACCTGGAACCCAGAGTTCAGTTGATCTCATAAATCATATGTGCTACCAGCCTGATTAGCTTCATCAATTCCCAATGATTTGGTGCCAATCAATTTGGCACACCCTTCATACATTGATCTGCTGACCCTGTGACATTACCATGAATGCCATTGGTCAATTTGGTGCACCCTTCATATGCTGGCCTGCTGGCCCTGTGACACATCCATCATAGCACTTGTGTTGTATCACCGCTCACTGACATCTGAAGGCGGTTCATAGAAACCTGCAGTCCAGATAATGATAGAACTGAAGGCAGTTGTCCACTGTGGTCTGGGGATCACATCAAGCCTACAGCCAACACACTGGACACTCATGTTGGTACCACCAAACATATCTCTCACACCAGACCTTGGTGTCAGTACCAGTTCATACCAGTTATTGATCATGCCAAGCTACCTCTGGACAGAGTGTCCACAGCAGTCAGTCGAAACCTGCAATAGCAAAACCACTACTGCATTTCCAAGCAAGAAAAGTGATAGAGACACCTCTACTACATATCTTGCCAAGAATCATAATACCACAAGCATTGTTGCATATCTTGACAGGATTCGTAATAGACGCGACTCTATTACAGATATCAGGTTTTGGGTGCATGACCTCTGACAGCTTTCAAGGGATTGATCGGAGAAGAAGTGGGAGCGGAGGATCGCGCCCTCTCGATCTGTGAGATTGCAGTTGGGCCAACACTCGCTCGATATCGCTCGGGATCCTTGCGCAGAGGAAAAACTGCATCATATACGGTATTCACCCATCACCTTGCTCTAGACCTCCCAATCACGAATGGCAGTGAACCGCATTCGACGGTGTCCGAGACACTTATCACAATCATCCCTGTCAAAGATACTAACCGAAGCATATACCTGAAAGGTCTGATGGTTTAGCCTGATATCGCTCCCTTCCAAATTCCAACAAACCCATTTCGAGACCCGATCTCACTCCCACCTTTTCACTGGATGCGAAGACAAAGGGTCTAACTATTGATATCATTACATAAATCACCTCCAACACGACTCTTTCTGCTACAGTGACATCGCCTATCTACCGTTAAGTTACTTCCTCTGACTCGGTCAATCCAGCGCGGCCGGTCCCCACTGCATAGCTTGCGCGCTTTTCCTCTCTTCCTCTTCTTTTCTTCTTGGCCGGCAATTCTTCTCCATGGTGTCCCGCTTTTTTCACTTTCTTCTAAAACCAGAACCGTGCGCCGGCCTTTCACGTCCGCTCTCTTCTTCCGGTCCTTCATTTAGAAAGCCGAGTAGATCCAGTCCATTGACAAAACCACTGCCGACATCGCTCGAAGACGGTCATACCGAGAGCTGTAAGGTTGTTGCGGAGATGCTTGCTGTAAGAATGATCTTTCATGAGAGCGGACCAGCTTGGCTGTACAGTCCCTGCCCGAAGTTTGGGGACAGGGTCCAATAGACAATGATTTAACCATCTGATAGCATATCTTCCATCTGCTTGGAGAACTGATCTCTCATAAGTGTCAGACTGAGCCAAACACACAGTGAGCAAGCTCAAAAGAAGAGCTTTCAATTGCAGTGAGTCTCAGAGCTGGCTAATACTTGAGTGGACCTCCATGCTTAGTAAGCACTTGCTCCACATGATGCTCCATTGACTCAATCACAGGATTGATATGTTCAAGTGTGATCTGGGTGTTCCACACTTCCTCTGCAGCTCTGGCAAGTTCATTCCAGGTTTTTGGTACTGGCAAGTGCTTACCAAGCAAGTTTTTGAATACATACCATATGTTCTCAATAGGGTTAAGGTCCAGCGAAGCTGCATGATCTGGGTGTTCCACACTTCCTCTGCTGCTCTTGCAAGTTCATCCCAGGTTTTTGGTACTGGCAAGCACTTACCAAGCAAGTTTTTGAATATATACCATATGTTCTCAGTAGGATTGAGATCCAGCAAAGCCAGCAGGTGTTCCTGTGTCTTAATGTTGTATTTGGCCTGCCATTGCTTGCAGATAGCAGCCTGATGACAGCTGCTGCCATCTTCAACAACTGACAGGGTGTCAGGGTATACACTAACAGCAGTTACAGCATCCTGGAGCAGGCCATTGATGATCCAATTGCAATATCTGACAGCTGTGAGGTTCTCAGTGGGATCCCATTGATTAGCCAACCCCAGTTGCTTCTTCCTTGGAGCCAATGGGAGCACAATCAATGTGGTTTTAAGGTTGAATGCAATGCCAGCCCATACCTGGATGCTGAAATGGCTGGAATGGAATGTCAGAACCATGTTGTTGATGTCTTCTCAAGTGTTTTTCTGGTGACTAACCCATGTGCATCTGGGCTGGTAGCCAACCTTGACAGCTGCCTCTTCTGTGAACAGCACACCCCTCCAATCAGTTGTGCTGTTAGCCTTGGCCCATTATAGATGTTTATGCCAGTTTTTGGCTGTCAGAAACAGCTTTTGAAGTGCAATCTGGTGGTTAATATCAGCCTGATATGCTGCTTTCCAGAGCTGTGTTATTGGAATGCCACCAAGTGATGCTGACAGCTGTTGCCATGATAGAAACAGGTTTTTGAGTACCTCATGCTGAAGGTAGCAGTCTGAGGTAGCTGTCTGGGAGCATGGACAGCTGGATTGTGCTTTTGTTTTAAAGGAACTGCACTCCTTAAAGTTATGGATGGTCTTGTGAACTGCTGTCTTGGAAACACCACTTAGCTCTGTGATTTGTCAAATTGGCAGCCTAGTATCATGCATTGCAACAATTGAAGCATGCTTCATTGGAGTGAGCTCATTGCCATGGACCATATTGGTGTTTGAAGTGTTCTTGATTAGTATGATGGTAGTGCTATTGCTCAATGATGACAATGACCCAAATGCAGGGTGTCACAGGGCCAGCGCAGAGTTCATAAGCAGCCGTGCTGCGCAGCCACCGAAATGAGCTCAGTGCACCAGAAGCAGAACTGGTCTAGACCCAGGGGCTCTGACCAATCTCACTGAGAATGGTTGGACAGTGGGCTAGGGGGAAAACCTCATTGAGAATGGCCAAGACAGTGGGTACTGGGGAGTTTCACCAAGACTGGCCCAAGATGAAGTGGATCAGCCAGCCCCACAACAAGATGAGGGCATCCCACTGAGATCGAAGGGACAACCACTGGGAGCAGGGAACGAGAGATCTCACCACCCCTGAGCATGATGAAGTCAGTGTAGGAGGATCATCACCTCAACAAGGGAGTAAGGATAGGAAGGGCAGGATAGTAGTAGGAGTCAGATAGAATGGGATGGATGGGGAGGCCATACCCTGTAAGGAAGGAGGGGGGCCATGGTGAGGTAGACACCATGGCATGAAGGTATATATACACCCCTCTGTCATAGTGAATGAGTGGATCTGGCATCCACTCTATTCTTAACTAAACTATACTCTACTGTAACATATACTTAGTTGTCCCATCACATAGTGCAATTGCAGGCCATTGCTACTAATCCAAGCAGGTGTGTCATATCACCTCTCACTGATGTCATCTGTAGGCAGTAGTTACTGCAGTCCAGATAATCACTTCTCCAAAGGCAGTACTCATACTGTGGTCCAGGCTTCTCTCATTGATTTGCCATTTGCTCATCAACACCTCAAACACTCATGTCAAGTTGACAAATCCCCATTCTGTACATTAAGTGTTCTGCAACAAGCAGGAACTGACTGTGCCATGTTACCACTGAACTGAGTGTTCACAGTGGTCAGCTGAAACTTGTTGAACAAATAATCCTTCAAGCAGTCTCAGTGAAAGTGGCCAACAGGTGCATACTCAAGCACACTCACTGAAACTGGTTGAAATCACCCAAACTGGTAGTTTTTGGGTTCCAGGCACACAACCACTGACACAGGGTAACTGACTAAATTGGGAAATTACCCAATTGTCCTCAAACTTCTGCACAGGGACTGTACTGTACACTCTTGCATCATTCTCTTGTACTGCTGATGGCTTCTCGCTTCTGGTTTGCACTGAAGCAGTCTCGCACAACTAACTAAGTGCATATCTGGACCTGCTGCTCTGTCCTTGGCAGAGTGAAATAGCACTTCATTTAGCTGCCAGTAGGACAGCAAGGAAGAATAGGGGTTTTCAGTTTGTTTTTTTTGGAAACTCAAGTTTTTTTTTGAGTTTTCACTTGCATTGAATATTCATTACTTACATAAGCTCTGCCATTTTTGGAAAATACTCTAATTTTTGAAAACACTGCTTCAGCAGTACCAATGTGGCAGAGTTTTCAGAATTGGACCTGAGTCTTCACTCACATGATGTTGCATGTGATGTTGCATGTGATTTACTCACACAAATGCCTCCAATTTTCCTGCACAGCTTGTTTTGCATGAACCCACAGTGTCAATAATGACTGTATATACTTTGATTGTGCAATGAGAGTGTCAAAGATGGTGGAGCTACAAGGTGGTTTGGATTCTGGAACTGCTTCATGTTCTGGCCAACACTACTCTAACTCTTGGTCTAAAAACATAGCTTACATTTGGGGGCATCAATTTTATGGCCTTTTTTCACTATTGGAAGACTCTAGTTTTCAAGGGCAAAATAAAACTGAAACCCTCTAATGAGGATGTGGAAATTGGGTTGACAAAAAAAATAAGGCAGCGAAATCGCGTTGTTTTGTTAAGGCTAATCGCCGATGATCCGAGGCCACTCGTCCCGATGAAGAAGGGTCCTTGCCCGGCTTCCGAAGAAAAGAGTGCGCGCATGCATGCTTCTTCTTGTCACTTTCTCAAGTTTATGCCTTGCTACGCCCACACACCGACAACGACGAGCTCGTTGTACCCCCGTGCACAACCCAGGAGCTCCACTTAGAGACACAGTCTCACCTGCTTCCGTACAACAGGAAGTTCAACATCTTCCATCGAGCTCGGCTGCGCGGGCTGATGAAGATGGAGGCTTTGTCTCCGCAACCTTCTTTCTTTTGATCAGTGACCATGCTGCCCTTCCTTGTGCCGTCCTCATCGGCAGCACGGACCTCGACACAGCTAGCTCGGAAGCTGTTGATGTCCACTAAACGCCAACTACACCCGGCTCGAAGACATACATCGACCTTTGTCGGAAACCCCTCTCGCACGGCTCGCGACGAGGAAACCGATGATGACTTCAAGGACGCATCCCAGTTGCGGCACCAGAGGACAGACAGCGACACCTTTTCGCACTTCTTCGATCGACGAGCATTTGTACCTCAGACTACTTTGTCGTCTGGCAAGCTACAGGCTTCCTACGAGATCGCTGCAGCCTCCCGCCATGCCACCTACAACTTTCGACAAGCCGTTGGCTCCCGCGACCCCACCCAAATCATCGCCGCTTACGAGGACCTCATCCGAGCTCAGCAACGCCATGCCGATGACGTCTCGGATTTATCTTCTCGCACTGTGGGGCCTTCTGACATCGGCTTCCCCGTCCGTAAAGCCGACATTCAGACTGCCATTCGATATCTTGTCCAGCACGCCCAGAGAGAAGGCTCAATGGAGTGGCGCTATGTCGAAGCATGCCAGCAGATGTTCCAAGATATGAGTCAGACCTTTGGCTTTCGTATCGGTCCAACAGACCTTCATCGTCAATTACAGGCCTGCTGTCTCGCCGAACGTTCTCGTATCGATCCTCGTGTAGCTTTCCGACAGCTCCGTGCCGATTATCCGAACTGGCGAACAACTTCGGTAGAATGGAACATGGTCATCTCCCACTTCTCTCAGCGGAAGCTGTACGCACAAGCGACCAAAGTCTGGCAAGAGATGCAAAAGCTTGGTGTGGAAGCAGAAGCTGCGCTACATAACACCATGATCAGAGTACTTACAGTCAACAACGCCAAAGAGGCCGAGGTACACCTGCATCATCTGAAGCAGAAACAAGGTGAACTAGGCATCGATACACTCACCACCGCTGTCGAAGGCCTTCGCAAGCTCATCAGCACCGGAAGGGCCAAGGACAGGGAAGCGACGATGTCCAAACTGCAAAGTTATGCAAGCCAACTTCGTCAAGCCATAGAAGCACTACCTTCAGATGCAATGGAACCTTCAGCATGGCACACCCTCTTGCGGTACGAAGCCGAGGTTCTTGGTCCCACGCAAGCGCTAGAGACGGCTAGACAGGCAAGCAGGTCAGGTGTTGCTACCTCTACAACGCTCAACGTGCTGCTTCGTGCTCATGTTGAAGAAATCAGAGAGCTTCAGAGCAGTGATGAAGCGCTAGAGCTGCTGGATCGGGTCCAATCAGCAATCGACCCCCGACGCGGGATTCAACCTGATGATCGTTGCTACAACGTCCTTATGCTTGGGTTGCTTGACAATCTTGACGCAGAAACAGCGTTGTTCGACGGAAACGCCAACTTCTTCGCAGCCGACGAAGCTGCAGCTAGACGGTGTGATCGGCTGCTTCGCCCTCAACCAACGCCAAACCAAATCCGCGAGGCGCAATTACTCTACGATCATGTCCGTTCGCTAAGCATTCCCGCTACACCTTTGCTCGTCACCCCTCTTCTTCAAGCTTATTGTGAAGCTTTCCTCCCTTCGCTGCCTTCAGCGATGAAGCTCCTGAAAGATATGCTCGATGATCGCTCATCTGCCCTGTCCATCTTCGCTCGCAAGAACTCCGCCTCGTCCCGCCGCAGACCAGCTCAGCCCTTAATGATCGGGGTGGAGATCATTCAACTGGTCCTCGATGCTTGTGTCAGACTTCGCGACATCTCCTCCGCATGCAACCTTCTCGCTTGCCTGCTGGACGCCGGAGTACCAATCAGCGCCACCCACAAGACCGACGTGTTAGGACGTTTGATGGGAATCACCACATCTTGGACCGAAGCATTCCACGTGTACCGCCTTCTCTCTCGCTTTCCCACCACCTCATCTGGGAGAAGCACGGGTCTAGACGAGCGCGGATACATCACCACACTAGAAAACTTCCGTTCACTCTCATTCCCATCTTCCACGGAATCGGACACCTCCGCAGCGCCACCAGAACACCTCCTCGCCATCCTCGCAGATATGCGCATCGCTGGCTACCGACCCACCCCATCTATCTACACCACCATTCTCAAATACTACTCCAAAACCCCCACACCCTCCTACCTTGGCGTGAAAGCAACGCACGAAGCACTTCAAGCAGACATTGCTCTCGAACCGGACCTGCCGCTCATCAACGCGCTCATGAACGCGTACAACAGAGCCGAAGAGCCAGCAATGGTGCTTGCTATCTGGGATTCGTTGCTGGCAACGCGGCAAGACATTGACGGAATCACGCTTGGTGTTGTACTCGATACTTGTGGGCGGTTTGGACTTCTAAGTGTTGCACGAAAGGCGCTAGCCACGGTCAGAAGGCTAGAAGAAGATGAAGGGAAACGAGGAAGATCAGCAATGACCAAAGGAGCATGGGATAGCTGGTTAGAGTGTTTAGCTAGATGTGGTCGTTTGGAAGAAGCGATCGAATTGGTGTTTGGAGAAATGAGAAGGAGTATATTCCGCGAAGCTATCTCTCTGCACGACCTCGATCTTATTGAAGAAGTATCAGTGACGGAATTAATCGTCCGCTCCACTCAAGCTCCCATTAGAGACACCAAAGGCAACATTATCGGACCAGACAGCAAAACTCTCTCTACCCTACTCAAATTTGCTGCTCGCGAAAGAGATCGTCGACAGAAACGCTTCACCTCTTCAAATAGATCAACTTCGATCTGGCACACGCTTCGCAATCGCATCAGAGAAGAACTCAGCTGGATCTATCCTCAGGTCAAAGCCATTGGCGAAAGTACCTCTCTCTGAAGCCCCTTCCCACATACTTCTCTCCTATAAAATCGCCGGGAAATGCTGTTTATATAGTAGAACAGGGTAGCGTTAGAGCTTTTTGTCGAAGTGTGACCCTCTAGCTTCTAAAGCTTTCTTAATATCTTCGGGAATATCACATTTCTTCAACTTAGTATAGTCATAAGTAACGCAATCCTGTGCTGCAACAGCAACAATCGTCTTTTGAGCCAAACTGTAAGCTGCACCTCTTAACATGAACCTTTCCTTTCCTAGGGGAAGTTCACATGCTTGACCCACCAAAAGCTGCAATCACCCCGAAAAAGCAATGCGTGATGTTAGCTACTATACTCTGTCGCAACAACGATATTGCTGCAGGGGTTTGAGGAGGCGGACTTACAGTATCAGGATAAACCACTGGTCTTCTATACCTAACATTGATTCCCGCAAGGATGAAACTCTTCCCTGTACCTCTCGTGATCTCCTCCCTCCTCTTCTCTGAAAAGTCATCAGATTCAGTGAGAGTGTTGGCATAAAACATTCGAGCAGATTCGAACCATCGTACGAAATGAACGTTGTTTACGTGTTGGAATTGATCGTGATCTCCCCATACAACGCGTTGTTCCCATACGGTGGTTGGATCGTATCCTGCCGCGGAGAGAGCGGAGATTCCGGCTTGCACGTCGGCGGGTGTGAAGATTTGGGTTGATGGCGGTCGAAGATCCCTGCTTTCCCCGGAAGATAGACGACTGGAGGAAGTGAATGTACGAGTTGCTAAAGCGGTGAGAGGTGTGAATACTTGACGTCTGGTTGTGAGACCTATGGTTCGAGCTATATATGCCATCCTTACCAATCATACCACTACAGAGATGCTCTGAAAGGTGCTGAAAGAAGAAGTATGGTGCTGAACAGTGGGAAAGAAGGTGGTTTTGAGTAAGAAGGAAGCAAACGATGGTATTTGAAAGGGAAGAGTTGCGGGGTAAGCCTTCGGTTTGGGCCGACCAAAAAGCCGAAAGCTGGTCAGTAAGTGAGAGAAAGCAACACGCTTCTTACGCACGGGGCAAACAGAAAATTGACCCCTTCCCCAACCCTCAGCCGTATCACATCACACAGCACAACACATCTTCTCTCGGCACAGAGCGAGGTCGTTGACCATAACAATAACACTCTCATTTGATTTGCAGCGATAAGGGTTCACAGCCAGGGACGTTGTTCACATATAGACTGTGTATAATTGAAGAGCCGAGCGCACAGAGGACAAAAATATGAAAAGAGCCAACAGAAGAATGAACCAGAAGAGAGAGAGAGGTATTGAAGGTGCTCCAGTATAAAGAGTGAAGCTATCTTGTGAGGTGAAGGGTGGAAAGATGCTAAGAGATATGCTTTGTGGGGGTGACGATGGACGAGGCAGCTGACGTTTTGATTCGATGCTGACTCGGAGCGAAGGTGAGGAGAAGGAGGGGTATAGACCAGTCTCGATGTCGACTGATGTGTGCAGTGAATGGAATGGACAAGACCTTTGCCTGCGAGAGCTTAGGCCCAAACAAGGAGACGAGAATCCCAACTGCCTGTGCAAAGAGCCATACCATCCGTGCTTACACCCAGACAGGAAACACGATTCTCGTGCGCAGCAAGCACACCGACACGCTCGCCCTTCAGCGTATCCCAAACGTTGCAAGTGTAGTCGTCGTACCCAGCGAACAAGATACGACCCGAGACGGAGAATCCAACGGAAGTGATACCGCAGAGAATGTTGTCATGGGTGTATGTGTTGAGTTCGCGATCAGCACGAAGGTCGAACAGACGGCACGAAGCGTCGTCGGAACCAGTAGCGAATGCATCACCGTTAGGGAAGAACTGAACAGCATTGATATCGCTCTCGTGACCAGCAAAGGTCTGGACGGCTTTACCAGATCGAATATCCCAAACCTTGGCCATGGCATCACAAGCACCCGAAACGAAGACGTTGGGGTTGGGACTGAGCGAGATGCTCATAACGTCACCAGTGTGGTCGTTGAACTCGGTGATGCGTGTACCCGAACCAATGTCCCACAGAATACAGCTCATGTCGCCCGAAGAGGTGAGAATCTGCTGATCATTGAGGAAGCGACAGCAACTGAGGTAACCAGTGTGTGCCGAAAGCTCCCTACCGACCTTGATGTTGTTGGGATCGCGACCGCGAAGAGAGTAGATGCTGCAGATATTGTCGAGACCACCACAAGCGACCCAGTTACCCGAAGGTGCATAGGCACAAGTCATTACCCATGACGAACGGAGTGGAATGGCGTGAACCTTGTTCGTGGTGTAAGCATCCCAAACGATGAGCTTGCCATCTTGAGAAGCAGAGACGAGGTGACGCTTGTCGTTGGCCCAGTGCATGGCGTAGATCTTGGCAAGATGACCTTTGAGTGTTCTTCGTGGTTTCATGACGATTCTTGGCAATGGCTCAATGTCGTTGGCCATGGCGCGAAGGCTGGTATCTGCCATCTGATCCTTCTTGGCACGGATCTTTTCTTTGAGACCGTCGGCCTCGCGTCGTGCGGCGGCGATGCGCTCCTGCAAGTCGGCTCCTGGTACTGACATGGTGGAGAAGTGGTCGGGGCTAGGGATGCAAGGGTACTTAGATATGGGGTTAGTGGTAGGCTAGAAGAAGGTCGGACTGATGCGACGAACGTTGAACGGCTGTACGTGGATGAGAGCCGCAAAAGACGGTAGTTCGGGTTGGAGGCTATGCAAGTGGATTGCCGCGTGATTGGATGCCAAGCAGTCGCGCGGTGGATGCAGAGTTAAGAGGGATGATTCAACCGACTGTTGAGAGCGTGTGCACACGGATGGTGGTCGAACTGGGGCCAGCAAATGGACCGAACTGCTGTATGTGGATGGTAAAAAGTTATCGAGAATGATGAAGCTCCTGTGTGATCAGTCGTGTGTGTTCAAAAGGAATAGAAAATGCTAGGGTTGGCGCGTCTGCACGGATCCAAGGTCGAGTCGAGGTTTAGGTTGAGGTGAAAAGTAGTGATGGTCGGGAAACGTCACGTCGACCAGGATGTGACGAGCGCGAGGTGGGAGCGATCGGTGGATCGAGACGAGACGAGGATGGTGGAGATCCGACAAGGTTGGTCTCGTGATGAAGTTGAAAGAAAAGATGAGAAAGGGGAAGGATGGAGGCAGGGGCCTCGAAAGCGTCGTCGAGTGTCGATCCGAAGTTCCAAAGCGCGGAACAGAGCCAAAAGAAAAGAAGAGGGGCAAGACAGACAGACACACAGAGACGAAGATCAGCGGGCGGGCAGAGGCGACAGAAAAGAGAGAGAGAGAGAGAGAGAGAGAGAGAGAGGGCGAGGCAGGAGGGCTGAGGACACTCAAAGTGAAAGGGTGAGCAAAAATGCGACACGTTCAGTTCAAGCAAGGGGCAGCCAGCCATCCCGCCTTACAGCCAGCCAAAGGGAGAGACAGACGAGACTGGAGAGTGGGGCTAAGTTGACCAAATTGGATTGTCAGCTGCTGCGCCAGCCCAGTAGAAGGCCGCTTGTCAGACCTGAGAAAAAGGGAAGAAGGAAAATCAGAATTTAGCAGAGAGAAAAAGAGAGGGCGGCTGACAGGCAGGAATGAGGCAACACACGGCAATTCGAGATGTGGAGACAGAATTGAAGAGAAAAAAAAATAATAAGAAAAAAGCAAAAAGAGAGCACAGACCTGCTCGCTACAGCAGCCGTAGAAGCAGACTCTAATTTCTAAGAACAGCCAAGTGAGTTGAAAATCAGCAGCAGGAATTTCTTTTGTGAATTTAGGCCTAAACAGTAAGTTAGTCACACGGTGCGGATGGACCGAAAGTGGCCCATCTCACATCATTCATCTCTTTGAAGTGCCGTGTGGGTGAAGAAAGGGTTTCAAGAGAGTCTCGTCGGAAATACTTTTCTAAGCTTGACAGGTGACGGCCTACCCGAAATCTTGCTAAGAGGAGGGCTGAGAGACGAGCGAGACAAGGGCGCGGATAGTGTGTGTGCGTGCGCGCGTGTGTGTGTGTTCGGATGGTAAGTGCAGAGGCGGGGCGTGCGCTCGTTGGAAATTGGTTGATGCTTCACTGGGTTGAGAAGGGTTTGCTTGGCTGAACCTCCGCATGCACACAACTGTATGAGCCAGCGCAGTGGGGGAAGAAACAGTTGAAGTTACGCCGGAATAACCAATATGTGAGAAAGCCAAATCACTGATAGACTGAGGGATATGCATGCATGGCCAACATGTGGCAACCAATCAGGAAAATGTCCAAGGAGAAAACACCAAAGCTAAAAGAAGACAATGCTGAGACAACATGCAATACCCTCAGTTAGTGGGGTGAAGACAGACTTTCTCATGGAAGGAACAAAGGCATATATACAAGGAGTCCTGTAACCCTAGTTCATAGGAAATCTTAAGCATTGCAGTTACCATACACCTGTGTGATAAGAGCTAGCAAGTAGCTCTATGAGGCGGTGCCATGCAGCTTCAATCTTCAACTGAAACGACCACGCAGTAGCACATTTTCGCTCGCTCTCCGATTTTGCATCTCGGCAGCTGCCCGCCCTCTTTCTATCTTCGTGTTCTCTGAGCCTGAATCTAGAAGCCGAACTGAGAAGAAGCACCTGGACGCAAAGACAGACGACTGAATGCGATCGCAGAGAGAGAGAGAGATTGCAAGGCTTCTTTCAGGTGAGAGGGAGGCAAGCTTGACAGCTCGGGCCAGGCACGGCACACGGAGCGAATGGGTCGTCTTTCAAGCTGATCTGATCTGATCTGTAAACGATCTCGTCTCATCCCTTGTTCCCTCCCATCCAACTCGCCAGGGTCTCAGCCACAGAGCCGTGCGCTTCTCACACATATATCGCCTTTTGAAGAGACTCGAGGTCAGGCTGAAATTCCGCTGGATAGCTTTCTGACAGCAGCAACACAAGGAGGCTGGCTGTCGGCTACGCCAATTGTGCGCCATGCTCCTCTTGACAATAGTTCATCGGGCACAACTGACTTTCAGATCTACCGATGATCCTGAATCATCTGCTAAAGTGTGACTGAAGCCAAAAAGTGAATCTGGACCCCTCGCTCTTGCCGCTCATCGCACACACTACTGCCATCTGTTGAAGTTTGGGTCCCGATACTGGCGATCGGGGAGAGTCTAAGTACGATGTCACTGCTAGTTATAGACAGAAACAAATATACTCATTTGACTGAAGGAATGTGGCAGGAGCCTAGTGCTCTCGGCTTGATATACAGCATGCACATAAACTGTCCCATAATTTTACATGTCACCATACATCACTCTAATGCTCAATAGCTATAATTTGTATTGCCACACTGTCTGATATCATCTGAAAGCCCTGCTTCTTCTCTCCAAGACTGTGTAATTGATATTGACATTGACTAAAAAAATGTGCTATGAAGAAGAGCCAAATTTTTTATTATTGTGGGACAGTTTATGGAGCATGCTCCCAAATAGTGACACCACTCCATTCCTGACCTTGTGGGCTTTTGACTACAATGAAACTTGCAATGTAACTTGGTGGGTGTCATGGGCCTGGATGCTCAAGAAGCAGGAGGGTCACTGGTTCATATGGAAGGAGCACAGGTATCGAAGATCTAGTCGAGATCAGTAGAGAGCATGGTCGTAGTGCAGTCTCCATGGAGACTGTGGACTCCTATGGACTCACATGCAAAGGAGGACATGAGCCACATGTGAGGAGGGCCAGGCACAGCTGCGAGGAGGACCAAGCTCAAGGAGCAGGCACAGCCACAAAGAGGACCAAGCTCAGATGGTTACCACTCAGGGGCTCAAGAGACAAGAGTCAAAGGAACTGTCACCAGTCAAAGGAGAAGGAGCAGTGTATAGGACACTAGCAGGCAGGTCCTGAGGAGGAGGAGCAGTGTCGAAGGAGTCGACACCAGGTCATGAGGAGGAGGAGCAGTGTCGAAGGAGTCGACACCAGGTCATGAGGAGGAGGAGCAGTGTCGAAGGAGTCGACACCAGGTCATGAGGAGGAGGAGCAGTGTCAAAGGAGTCGACACCACTCAAGAGGCACAGGGGTGCCAAGCAGGAGAGGCCCCTGAGCAGTACTCGATGAAGAAGGTACTCTCTGGAGAGAGAGCAGGGGCAGCATCGCTGGCAATGCTGTGAAGAGGTATATAACCATGCTTTCTCATCATCATAGGTTGAGTGGATCCTCATCCACTCTATTCACCATACAACTAGTCAATACTTTAGAAACACAAGTACTCATTAGTTACAGTCAGCATAGCAGCAATCCATCAAGGTTGCTCCTCATCGTAGTGTGTGTGTTGTATCACCACTCCCTGATGTCCATAGGCGCCCATAGCAGGTTAGCGGTCTGGATATAGATAGAACCGAAGGCAGTAGTCCACTGCAGTCTGGGGATCACTTCAAGTGTCAAAGTCAACACACTGGACACTCGTGTTGACACCACCAACCTTATCACCAACGTCATCAACCTCATCATCATCAACACTCACCAACCTTATCACCAACGTCATCAATGTCATCATCATCAACACTCACACCAGACCTTGGTGTCATCATAACCGAAGCATTGATATTGATCGTGCCGAGCTACCCCTGAACGGAGTGTCCACAGAGGTCAGCTGAAACCTACGACAGTATATACAACGAACACCACCTGCTGTCACTGCACAACTTGATAGTCACCAATACCAAGACAATAGCTGTCGCACAGTTTGATAGTCACCGAGTATCTCGACAGACCGACCTGGGTTTCAGGCGCAAGACCCCTGACACAGGGGACCTAACCATGAGGAGACCGACCCTTCATGGAAACGAGTTTGTCTCAGCAGAGTGCATACTACAAGCAGCTCTGGAAGATGGACCCATAGGGTTCATGCTGTTGGAGGAGCCACCATCATCACTCCTGGCCTTTGGTTTTGTACCTACAGGCGCAGACAAAGGAGTAGAGATGGAGGTGGAGGTAGACAAGGTGGTGATGGCTGCAGACATACCAAAGCCATACCAACACCTGTGAGATGTGTTCGATGAGGTGGAAGCAGACAAGCTGCCCCATCATACCAAGCATGATCTCCACCTCGAGTTGATAGAAGGAGGTAAGCCACCTCAAGGGCCCCTATACCTTAAGGGACCCAAGGAGATGTCTGAGTTGAGGAGGTACTTGGATGAGAACCTCGAGAAGGGGTTCATAAGACCATCGAAGAGCCTGGCACGATCACCAGTGCTCTTCATACCAAAGAAGGATGGAGGTCTCAGACTCTGTGTGGACTACAGAGGTCTCAACGAGATCACTGTCAAGAACAGGGCACCATTGCCCCTCATTGAGGAGCAGCTGTTCCTACCCAGGAAGGCAAGGATCTATACCAAGCTAGACCTTAGAGCAGCATACAACCTCATCCAGATTGCTAAAGGAGATGAATGGAAGACAGCTTTTGGCACTCAGTTGGGACTCTATGAGTACCTAGTGATGCCCTTTGGCCTAGCCAATGCTCCAGCTCACTTCCAGTCATTCATCAATGACATCTTCCGAGACATCATTGGGGTATATGTGGTAGTATACCTAGATGACTTCCTGAGCTTCAGTGACACTGAAGAGGCACATGTGAAGCATGTCACTGAGGTCCTCACTCGCTTAAGAAGCAACAGGCTCTTTGCTAAGCTGTCGAAGTGTGAGTTCCACACCAAGACAGTTGAGTTCCTGGGGTACATCATCAAGCCGATGGGCATAGAGATGGACCCAGAAAAGGTGCACACTGTCAAGGAGTGGCCAATGCCAGAGTCAATCCATGACATCCAAAGGTTCCTGGGTTTTGCCAACTTCTATCAAAGGTTCATAGCCCACTTTGCTCACATAGCCAAGCCCTTGACATCACTGGTAAAGCCTATAGAATGGTTCAAGAAGTTTGAGCTACCAGAGGAGGCCCAACAGGCCTTCCACAAGCTCATCCAGGCCTTCACATCTGCAGGAGTGCTTCAGCACTTTGACTACCACCTTCCAACAAGGTTGGAGACCGATGCAAGTGACTTTGCTATAGCAGGAGTACTCAAGCAGGAGCATGAAGGACGATGGCATCCAGTGGCCTTCTACTCTAGGAAGATGTCCTCTGCTGAGAAGAACTATGAGATCCATGACAAGGAGCTCCTAGCTGTGGTCGCTTGCCTTACTCAGTGGCGACACATGCTAGCTGGACTACCAAGTCAACTGGTCATCCTCACTGACCATGAAGCTCTCAAGTACTTCAAGTCACAGAGATGCATCACAGGCCAACAGGCTCGATGGGCAATACTACTAGCAGACTTCGACTTCATATTGCAGTATCGACCAGGAGACAAAGGTGGTGAACCCGATGCTCTCACCAGAAGGACAGACATGCAACCAGCTGGTGAAGAGCAGGATCACAATGTGAGGCAACTACTGCCTCCTCGAGTGTTCAAAGAGACAGCAGACCATGACTTGATCCTAGTGGCCCCTATGAACTCGATGGAGTCCATAGCATCAAAAGGTCTCAGAGACCTGGTCAAGATCTTCCAGCCCTTAGACCAAGAGCTACAGGAGATACATGCAAAGAAGCCCTTTGAGGTCAAGGACAACCTATGGTATAGTGGAGGAAGGTTGGTTATCCCCAAAGTGATCATGCCAGGGAGGACCAACAACTGACACTCAAGGAGTGCCAAAGAGGTAGATGGACAGTCTCTCTCTGTAGAGCACCTGTGATTCATGGTGATGACTCAATGCCATGATGGCATCACTGCTGGACACATGGGAAGAGATGCTACCATCAAGGCAGCCCAACGACATTACTGGTGGCCAAACATGACAGCTTGGATTGCAGACTATGTAGCAAGTTGTCCTGTATGTGCTAGATACAAAGCTCCTCGACACTGTCCATATGGTTTGCTACAGCCACTAGCAACACCAGACAGGCCCTGGGGCTCCATATCTCTCGACTTCATCAAAGGACTACCACCATCAAAGAAGTATGACTCCAAGACCTATGACTCTATCTTAGTCATTGTTGACAGGTTAACCAAGTTTGCCATACTAGCTCCAACCCATAAGACAGTCATGGCCAAACAGACTGCAGTGTTGCTATATGGACACATGGTTAGACTTTTCGGATACCCAGATCACATGGTCTCAGACTGAGGCAGGCAGTTCATATCAGGAGCATGGAAGGCATTTGCAGAACAAATGGGTGTGAAGCACTCACTTAGCATGGCCTACCATCCTCAAACTGATGGTCAGACAGAAAGGGTCAATCAAGTCATCAAGCAGTACCTAAGGATGTACTGCAACTATGAGCAGAATGACTGGGCCAACCTGCTGGACACTGCAGCCTTTGTATACAACAACACGGTCCACAACAGCATTGGTGTCTCACCATTCTTTGCATGCTATGGATGGAACCCCAAAGCTCATCCTGACATCCCTCAACGACTAGGAGTCAATGATCCAGGTCGCTTTGAGTACCTCATGGATGGAAAGGAGCGTTGCAAGTACCTCCAGGAGCAGATCAGAGAGGCACAATGTAGATCAGTAGACCAGTATTACAGGAAGCACAAGGACATTGAGTTCAAGGTGGGTGATATGGTCTATATCAACTGATGGAACTGGAAGACAAGGAGACCCACACCCAAGTTAGATACCTGGTTTGCAGGACCCTACCCAGTTCAGGAACAGGTAGGATGCTGAGCTTATCAAATCACATTGCCAGCAAACCTGAGGGTGCACGATGTGTTCCATGTCTCCATGCTTGAGCCAGCAAGAACAAGTTCTCTTCCTCAACAAGCTGAACAGCACATCATACCATCACTTCCAGATGAGGACCTCAATTTCGAAGTCAACGCACTCATCAACAAGCATTCACACAATGGGATGACAGAGTACAAAGTGTTATGGAGCGGGTACTCAGAAGAAGCTGCTTCATGGGAACCAGTAGAGAACCTCAACTGTCCCAACCTCATCCAGGAGTATGAGGTGTCGGAGGGGGGATGAGCGAGTAGACAAAGTAGAGAAAGGAGGAGAGAACAGGAGGAGTAGAGAGAGGAAGAGGAAGGAGGATGACGTTGAGAGAAGGAGGAAGGATGATGTTGGCGATGTTGTCGAGGAGGAGGAGGAGGAGGAGGAGGAGTCAGCATGAACCAGACCAGAGCATGCCTCGACGGAGCTCGGCTCTTAAGAGGGGGGTAGTGTCATGGGCCTAGATGCTCAAGAAGCAGGAGGGTCACTGGTTCATATGGAAGGAGCACAGGTATCGAAGATCTAGTCGATACCAGTAGAGAGCATGGTTGTAGTGCAGTCTCCATGGAGACCATGGACTCCTACAGACTCACATGCAAAGGAGGACTGAGCCATATGCGAGGAGGGCCAGGCACAGCCACAAGGAGGACCAAGCTCAAGGAGCAGGCACAGCCACGAAGAGGACCAAGCCCAAGGAGCATGCAGATGGTTACCACTCAGGGGCTTGAGAGACAAGAGTTGAAGGAGTCGACACCAGGTCATGAGGAGGAGGAGCAGTGTCGAAGGAGTCGACACCACTCAGGAGGCACAAGGGTGCCAAACAAGCAGCAGGATAGCAAGGAGGAGGAGCTGTGTCGACTCCTCAAGCAAGCAGGAGAGGCCCCTGAGCAGTACTCAATGAAGAAGGTACTCTCTGGAGAGAGAGCAGGAGCAGCATCGCTGGCGATGCTGTGAAGAGGTATATAACCATGCTTTCTCATCATCAAAGGTCGAGTGGATCCTCATCCACTCTACACTCACCATACAACTAGTCAATACTTTAGAAACATAAGTACTCATTAGTTTTCAGTCAGCATAGCAGCAATCTATCAAGGTTGCTCCTCATCGTAGTGTGTGTGTTGTATCACCACTACCTGACATCCGAAGGTGCCCCATAGCAGGTTAGCAGTCTGGATATAGATAGAACTGAAGGCAGTAGTCCACTGTGGTCCAGGGATCACCTCAAGCATCAGTCAACACACTGGACACTCATGTTGACACCACCAACCTTATCACCAACACCATCAACCTCATCATCATCAACATTCACACCAGACCTTGGTGTCAACAGAACCTATGCATTGATATTGATCATGCCGAGCTACCCCTGAATGGAGTGTCCACAGAGGTCAGCCGAAACCTACAATAGTATATACAATGAACGCCACCTGCTGTCACTGCGCAACTTGATAGTCACTGAATGACTAGCTCACCGAGACAGATACCAAGACAATAGCTGTCACACAGTTTGATAGTCACCAAGTATCTCGACAGACCGACCTGGGTTTCAGGCGCGAGACCCCTGACAGGGATCCACTCATATGCTATGGTAGAATGAGAGTATTTATGCATCCGGTTGGTGTTTCCCTCAACACCTATCCTGCTCCTCTTGAGGGGCCTTTTGTCCCCTGTGTCACGGGGGGGATGCGCAGAAGCTAGAGGATCTGTCAAGCTCATATGAAGGGAGCGCAGGAATCAAGGGATCAGGCAGATCGTGGGATTTGAAGCAGAATTCACTGAGATTGGTAATAGTACTGACTCTATGACAGATCTCATCGAGATTGGCAGGAAGGAGGATAGTACTACGAGCCCAGGATTGGCTCGAGGGAAGATGGTACTATGGATCACACCGAGACCAGTGATATGAGAAGGGGTATGGCAGATTCCGCCAGAATCAGTAATAGGAGAGATCCTATCACAGATTCCGCCAGAATCAGTAATAGGAGAGATCCTATCACAGATTCCGCAGAGATCAGCGATAGGTACAGGCATACCACGAGCTTCTGTGGGGGGAGTGGAACCAAGCACTGCCAAGAGGGGGACTGAGCTCAGGAGCATGCAGCTGGTTACCACTCAGGGGCACACAAGATAGGGGACCATTGCTGGTCGAAGGAAGGAGAGCTGTGTAAGAGAAACTGGCGAAGAGGACAGAAGGAGGAGGGGCAGTGTCGATGGAGTCGGCACAGCTCAGGAAAGGCAGATGGGACAATGCAATGAGGAGGAGGGGTCTCATTGAAGACTCCTGTGAAGTACTCGACACAGAAGGTACTCTCTGGAGAGAGAGCAGGAGCAGTGGCACTGGTGCCACTGTGAAGAGGTATAAAGCCATACCTTCTTGTCACTAGTGGTTGAGTGGATCCTCATCCACTCTACTCACCATACAACTAGTCAATACTTTAGAAACATAAGTACTCATTAGTTTTCAGTCAGCATAAGTTGCAATCAATAGATTGCTCCTCATCGAAGCGCATGTGTTGTATCACCGTTTCCTGACATCCGAAGGCGGTTCTAGCAAAACCAGCAGTCTGGATATCGATAGAACCGAAGGCAGTCATCCACTGCGGTCCAGGGATCACTTCAAGCATTAGTCAACACACTGGACACTCATGTCGGCGTCATCAATCCATACTCACACCAGACCATTGGTGTCAACATCAAGTTCACTTAGAGTCGTATCGTAGTTTGATCGTGCTGAGCTACCTCTGGACGGAGTGTCCACAGTGGTCAGTCAAAGTCTGTCATAACATCAATACAACTACAGATTCCAACGAGAAAAGTGGCAGAGACAGTTCTGTCGCATATTTCACTAGGAATCATAATACCATTAGTGCTGTTGCATAACTCGATGGAATCAGTGATAGTACTGATACTACTACTGATCTCAGGTTTCAGGCGCGCGACCGCTGACACCCTGTTTGGCACTGTCTTGTCCTGCTGGCATCAATCCCATTGATACTGCACTCCTACCATTTGCATGGCATAAGGGTTATGCAACACTGCCCTCTTGCCTTCATGCTCTCCTTCTGCCTGATGATGTGTGATGCCCCCCGTTTGACACAGCTCCCTCTCGACTTTATCTTGTGAATCCCTTAAGCCACTTGTTGAACCTCATGACCAAACCCCTTGGTCATGTGGTCACATCAGCACAGTTCTGTCTTGACTTGTCTTGTGAAACCCCTTTAGTCACTTGTTGAAACTTGTGACCCAACCCCTTGGTCATGTGGTCACATTGGCACAGCTCCGAGTACTTGCTCATATTGGCCAACTAGTTGAGGCATGCTGATCCAACCAATCCCAACCAATCCCATGAGATTGATCTGGATTCCTGGAGTTTGATCAATCTCATAATTCATATGCACTGCCAACCCGATTAATCTCATTGATCCCCAATGGTTTTTGGCTCTGATCAATCTGGCACACCCTTCATATGTTGATCTTCTGTGCACCCTTCATATACTGCTCCATTACGCAACATTACCATGACTGCTGCTTGATCAATTGGCACACTCTCTTGCGCTGGCCAGCCGACCCTGTGACAACTGTCATTACAAAGCACGAAGGTTAGTGAAAAAACCGAAGCTACTCAAGAGACATTGCAAAGCCCATTTCAAATTTGCTAATGAGCACAAGGACATGACTGTTGAGGATTGGAAGAATGTGGTATGGTCTGATGAGACAAAGATCAACTTCTTTGGACCAGATGGTAAGCAGTTCTGTTGGATTAAGAATGCTGGCTTCAACAGCAAGCTTGTCAGGCCAATGGTCAAGTTCAGCAGCAGCTCCATCATGATCTGGGGCTGTATGACATGGGAAGGGGTGGGAGGTATGCACTTGGTGCTGGGTTCAATGAATTCAGACCAATACATTGATATCTTGAATGACAAGCTTTTAAAAACAATCTCAGATTTGTGGCTTCAGCATGCATACACTGACATCACATTTCAGCAAGACAATGACCCGAAACACATGTCAAAGAAGACAATAACATGGTTGGAAAGTAATAGCATTAAGGTTATGCAATGGCCAGCACAGTCACCAGACTTAAACCCAATTGAACACCTCTGGCACCATCTCAAAATGCAACTTTCACAGTGTAGTACAATTGCAAAGTCCAGGGATGAACTGCTCAAGAGGTGTGAAGCTGAATGGAAAGCAATCACTCCAGAGACATGTAGAATGCTAATAGAGAGCATGCCAGACTGCATCAAGGTGGTTCTGAAGGCCAAAGGAGGGAATACAAAGTACTAAGGTGTTGTCGAGGAGCACTCCATAAACTGTCCCACAATAATAAAAAATTTGGCTCTTCTTCATAGCACAATTTTTTTAGTCAATGTCAATATCAATTACACAGTCTTGGAGAGAAGAAGCAGGGCTTTCAGATGATATCAGACAGTGTGGCAATACAAATTATAGCTATTGAGCATTAGAGTGATGTATGGTGACATGTAAAATTATGGGACAGTTTACATGTGTGCTGTATATACATTAGCATGGCAACTGCCAAAGGTGGAAGTACTCCTACTTAATGATCTACCATGGCAATGAGTGGGACTGTGTTGCACCCAATCTCTGGTGAGATTGGCTTGGCTCAATCTCTAATTAGATCAGTCATCTAACTGGATTGGCTCTGCCTGATCTCTGATCAGATCGGCTCTGCATCATCCTTTAGCGTCGCACTGGATCGTAATCTTCAACACCGTCTGCTGTCTGTATTTTCTCGCGTTGCATCCTCCACTCTTCACAGGGCTTTGACAAAATGCGGAACACGGTCATCAGTTGTGAGTGTCTGTCTCTCTGGCTGATGCGCAGAAAGCTTCTCAATGCTTCACGGCGCAATCACAGTCTCAAAAGTGGGCTTGAAATTCTCAAGGTCGAAATCAGTCCTTCGTACCACAGTCATCCCGACCATCATCAAACCATACATCACGTCCCTTCCCATCAAGTCACTCTTTCAAACACTCCTTTGACCCTTAGCAAACCTGAACGAAGCGCAGGCGAGGCCAAGCCATCTGTTAGACGACAGCCACACGCCTTTTGAAAGCTGGCTACTTTTCACGCAACTACATAGAGAGCTCGACATGAACTGAAAGTTGGACAACTTCGATATCGGTGCACCTTCCCATCCAGCACAAGTAGGAGGAGCCTCCTTCCTATCCCGCCGGTCGATCTGCAGACATGGCCCCTGTTGATAGCCCGTATGGGCGATCACAACGCGCTCAGCAGCGTCCTTACTACGTTCCTTCTTCTGCGGTCGACGATAGCATCGCCAAAGCATCATCTTCTACTCCTTCCCGCTCCGTCCCAAAGACTTCGACTCTTACTCCACAGAATGGCTCCGCGTCCACTTCAGCACCGATCGCCTCTTTGAATGGCAAGCCTCGCGCTGCACATGGTGTCTCGAGTACGGCGGCTTCGCGACTTGCTCAAATCTCTCCCTCAGCATATGACTGCTTCAACGAGGTAGCCTGGGTCGTCGACCTGAGCTCGCGCATCGGAAACGCTCTGCAAAGTCCAATTCCACCGCCACCAGTCTCAGCTCATGACTCGTTTGCTGGCTCCCCATCTTCATCCTCTTCACAAGCTCATTTCGATCTTCTCCCTCGACATCGCGTACGCCTCCCTCGGCCCAGTAAAGAATTTAGAGACTTGCAACAGAGGCTCGGACTCACTCAGAGCTCATCTTCCTTCTCCATCGATCTCGATACCAGTGCAGACATGACTGCAACAAGCACTTCGGCATCAACGCGACCTAAAGACCCTGACTCGGCCATTCAGTGGGTCCAACATGCTCAAGACGACTTTGAGCGTCGTCGCGCAGATCTCGAGCGCTCTCGCCAAGGGCTCTTGAAACGCTTGGAAGGAGACCATCAAAACAGCGATACGTACGCACACGATGGCGAAGGAGAAGCGCAGCATGCAGCCGAAGGTCCTGTCCATCCAGCAGTTGAGCGAAGCATGCTTGCTGCCAAATCTCTCCAAGAGCTCATGCGCAGCGGTGGCTTGCAGTCCGAAGACGGCAATGACGCAGAGCCCGGCTTTGCAGACTTGCTTGCCACTGCTGAGCCTATTCCTGGTGGTTCAGCCTCTCCTGGCCCTTCGTCCCTGTTTGAAGCCAACAAAGGCTCGGACGGCACCCTCAACATCGAAGCTATCCTTCAACAGCGTGCCAAGATGGCTCCACTCGATGACCAGAACGAAGCCGGTCCATCTCAAAACAGAAGAAGTATGCTCGACCTCTCCCAAGCTCCTCCTGCTCAGCCAGCCAAGAAGCCCGTTATCGAGGTGCTGGATGCTGACGCGCCTGCCTCGGCCTCAGATGAGTCGTCGCAAGCAGACAGTGATGATAACGAGGAAGTTCATGCGCAAGGTGCTTCCGACAGAGCCTCCAGTCAGGCATCTAGCAAGTCGGATAATTCCGAGTCAGAGTCTGATGCCGAGACGGGTCAGCAGCACCATGCATCTGCCCGCAACAGAACACAAGAACAATTGGCAACTTCTCAGCGTGCAGCACCGCATCCTATGGACCAGATCGCCATCGTTGATGGTGTCTTCAAGATCATACCTGCTCGTTCGGACGACGCCATCGACGCACAGGGCAGCAGCGTTGTAGCAGAATCTGAAGAGGAAGTGCGCGAGAGTCGCATCAGCGAAGATGAGAAGGTGCAAGATGCATCCGACGATCAGGACTCAGAGACTGATGCCGACGATAACGACGAGGAAGATGAGATAAAAGACCAAGTTGAGCACGACTACACTGCATCACGAGGTTCGAATCAGTACCGCGACGGTGTTGGTGGAATGAGCACCCGCGATCTCCTCTTCGAAGGTCCCACTGGTGAAGCTGATGAACCCATCGTCCTTTCCGACTCTGACGACGAAGGCGAAGACGACTCGGACCAACAAGGACAGCGAGGAGATGTAAGAGACGACGATGAAGAGATGGAAGATGACCTGCAAGATGAGCTCGACGAGGACTCGGCAGATGGCTGTGAGAGCGAGCAAAAACATACTCCACGAGACCGTGCTGACGTCCCTGGCCAGCAAGCTTTCGAGCCACAGCGGCAACGACAGGGTCTAGATCAGGCGGACGACGACCAGGAAGAGGACGAGAACGATGAAGCGGGAGAGAGTGAGGCAGGCGAGCAGAGCGGCGAAGAGGGTATCGATGCAAATCAGGAGTTTATCAGGCAAATCCAAGCCCAGAGCGCTTCCGTTTCCCGTGATCTGGGCGCAAAAGTTGTCGCAAGCGCCGGGACTGATAATATCACGGAGCAACAGCCGCAAAGCGATACCTTTGCCGCAAGCCTCGAGCAGCCACAGCCCACAGCCACTGCCGACGATCAGGGAGACGCAAAAGTTGTCGCAAGCGCCGGGACTGATAATATCACGGAGCAACAGCCGCAAAGCGATACCTTTGCCGCAAGCCTCGAGCAGCCACAGCCCACAGCCACTGCCGACGATCAGGGCGACGCAATGCCTGACAGCGAAGTCGAGCCTGAGGAGCTAGACGAAGACCTATGCTGGTCCGAAATCGAGGCAGATCAGCGGGACGATGAAGACTCCCGCGATGCAGATCTGCCGCAAAGCGCAGCGGTCGACTCTGCATACCGCGCAATGCATGGCTCGCAGCCGACAACGGGCTTCGTCAAGGTTTCTCAGCTTCTTGCCGGCATGCAGGATGCTGGTTCCAATGCGAATGGCGAAGAGAAAGCGTCCAACGGTCGCTCGGATCCTACGATGGGATCGATCGATCCAGAGATACTTGCAAGCTTTGCTAAGTCCCCGGCTTCCGACGCTACTGCCACAGCCTCCACTGCGATCGGGGCCGAATCCTTTCATCTTGAGCGAACCGCATCTCAGACGGAGGCGGACATCTTTGACGCCTTCACGCGTCAAGACGCATCAACGGACGCCAACGAACCAAGCTCGCAGAGCGACGCCAATGTTGAACCATTGTTGCAATCTGAGCCAGCAGAGCAGCACACGCAACACGATGAAATCAAGGACGGTGATGCCGACGCAACCATGCAGCAGCCATCACCGCAGCCCGATCAAGCCATCAATCAGCGAGAAGAAGCAGAAACGGAAACAGCGCAGGAGCAAGAGGAGAAAGCGCGGGCCGCCGTTGAGCGGGAGACCGAGTTACCTGAGGATTCTGCACCGACCGTCAAGGACGATCACAAACCTGTTGTTGGCGAAGCAGAGCCAGATGCTCACGCCACTGTCGCTAAGGTAGAGGAAACATCGACCGAAAGCCCGGCAGCAGCTCCTTCGCCGCTAACTGCGGATGATGCCATCATTAGTGATGCACCTGTCGATCCCGATAAGCCGGTCCTGGAGCGCGTCGAGAGCACCGATGTGTTGGAAGCAGACGTCGAGGACAACAGCGAAGATGAGGCTACAAACGAAGACATTGCCATCGAAAAAGCTCGTGAAGATAGCGCTTCTGCACATGACGTCCCTGCGAACACCGAGCTCGCTGCACCCAGCGCTCCAATCGGCGAAACCGACAACATTGTCATCGATGCAGAGAGTGTTCAAAACACTGCTGCAAAACTGCCTGACGTTGCAAACCAGGCGCTTCAGAAGGCAGTACAGAACGAAGTCTCCCAGCCACGTAGCGCATCTGTCGTCCCGGAAGACGAAGGCATCATGAGCGGCGATCTTGCTGATCGCGACAGCTCCATCGAAAAACAGGCCACTCCCTCGACCAGCAAAGCTCCCAGCGTTGGTCCGGAGGCTAAAGATCAAGTTATGGATGATGCGACGGCAGTTCCAGAACCCGTCGAAGCAGACCCGACAGGATCATCGAGCACCTCCAACAAGGTCAAAAAAGCCGGAGATTCTGACCCAGAGGAAGAGGAAGTTGCTGAGGAGACAGAAGAACTCGCTGAGGAGAACGAAAAAACTGCTGAGGAGAAAGGGGAGGCTGCTGAAGAGATTGAGGAGGCTGCTGAAGGAGACGGAAGCCGAGGACGTGATCGACAAGGCAGCGAAGCTGTCGTCGAACGCTTGGACGACAATGTCAAGCCTGAGAGCAAACCCGTCACCAACGCATCTGAATTGCCAACCCTCAACGAGCCAGCAAGGCAGAACGAGGACACTGAAGCGCAGTCGTCAAGCAGCTTGCATGCTCTGGTCTCTGCTGGCCGCGTGCCGCCATCACCAGCATCCTCGGATCGCCGTTCGACTTCGAGCTTCACGCCCTTTGCCAACCGACTTGGCCATCGCCATCTGCACGGAGCCACCAAGAGAAATCTGTTCGCGCAAATGACCGAGGCTGCTTCAAACTTCGCCAGCAGTTTCACTGCACCTCTTCGTTCTCTTCCCTCTTTGCTCCCTATTCGCGAGAGGCAGGCAAGTGAGAAAGAAGAGGATGACGACAAGCAGGATGAGACGGAAACACCAGCAGAAGTTGTAGCCGAGAGCTCCAGTACTGCGGAGACTCGCCAGCCGATCAGTCGTTCTACGAAGCAAATTGAGCCTGCTGAGTACACCATTACCACCCGCTCTCACTGCCTTTACCGACGACTCGAGCTGACCGACATTGAGCGCATGCCAGCATTCATCGTCCCTGGCTGCTCGATCAACCACGAGAATGCTCGCGCTGAAAAGGCTCGCGATTTGGGCGTTGCACCCGAACAGGAGTCGGATGACTGGATGGATGTTGACCCGGATCTGCTGCCACTCGACGTGCATCAGAAACTCAGCCGAATCGTCGGTATCCAGATCCTGCGCGAAGGTATCTTTGCAGAACCTGACTCCTCTGCAGCCAAGCTGCTCATGGACGGCTATCAGATCGACTTGGACCTCACGACGTCTTTCGATGACAAGGCGGATCCCAAGAAGGCACTCTTCGAGAAGGACGCTGAGGAGCACAAGGCAGTCTCCTTTGACGATCCAAAAGCTGAAGTCAAGGAGGAGCACAAGATGGATATCAGTCACGATGAGGACGCGGAGCAGAAGTCGGACGTGCAGCAATCGAGCCTATTTACTCCAGTCAAGATGGAGGCAGGAGACGAAGTCAAGGACGAGATTAAGGATCCCGAAACTCCCTTGCGCACTACTAGGCAGAGCTCGCGACACCGAAGAGCTGGCAGCGCTGCTTCTACATCAAGTCATCATCGGTCTCCTCGTCACCCTGACCCGACTAATGCCGATGCCGATTATCTTCCTGACGACGAGAGGAAGAGTCTGTATCGAAACAGACATACATCAGCTGGTGCTCCTGGCGATGCTTCCATCACTTCGCTGGAAGAGCAACTTACAGCTGGCGAAGACGATGAAGGCGATCGGATCCTGCCAGATGCTGAACAAGACGCTGAGAAATCCGAAGACACTCGAGAGGCGGCAGTCGACGAATCCATCACACCATCCCCGCCAAAGAGGAAGCGCGGACGTGCAAGAAAGAGCGCAGCAACTGCTGACACGACCTTCGAGCCATTTGCAGATGATGAAAAGCAAGCCGATCAAGAGGATGTCGAACCACCTGCAGAATCCAAGCCGAGGAAGGGCCGTGGTCGCAAGAGAGCAGCCTCGTCCGTCGAAGTGTCCAGCGAAAGTCAAGTTCAGGAAGAACAGGGCCTCCAAGACGCTGCCGCCGTCGAAGGAGCAACTGGAACCGCTTCTCCCAAGTCGAAACGTCCTCGTCGTGGACGCAAATCCAAAGAGGTACCTGCATTTGACCCAGCCAACGAGGAGGCAAAGAAGGAAGCGGAGGACGGAGAAAATGACGATCATCGAGCAGGTAGCTTTCTGCGAACGAGGTCCACACGCAAAGATGAGGGCGCAGTGCTGGAGCAGATCGATGACGAGCAGCATGAGGAGCAGGCGACCGAAAAGCCGGCCGACAGCGGTGAAGTCGGACAAGGTGGACGCCGTTCGAGGAAGCGAAAGCAGGCTGCTACCGAAGACTCTTCGAGCGTAGCCGAAGCGACCCCAGCTGAAACTATCTCGAACGTCGACGATGCTGAGAGTGGCAAGCAACCACGTCGGAGCCGCCGGTCTCAAGGAGGGTCGCGAGCTTCAAGCGTCAGTCCTAGCAAGACCACCCCGCGAAAGAATGCCAAGCGCAAGGTGTTGAAGCTCAACTAGTCGATTGAACGTTCATTTGACCCCACTGTACCAAGCTGTCGCCCCTTCTTATCCAAATCGTCGTCGAATCTACGTCTCCTACGGCAATTGCTAGTTTTTCCGCGCATCAATCTCTTGTATTGTGACCTAGAGTGATGGAATGACGTCAAGAACATGTGTCACGATGGCGGTACGGCTCTGAGTGCGGCGGTGTGGAAAAAATGGGGTAAAGTGCTTTTGCCACCTCCGTGTCTTGCGATGCAGTGACAGATAGCCGAGCATGATCAGGCTCGATGGCGTCGTCGGGGCTAAAGCAACACCGCTGACCACGTCGAATGGATTTGGCGCTGTTGCAACGATACTGTACCCGTACTTCAAAAGCCTAGAAGACAACAAAGCCCGGCAATGTCGAGCTTCTGCCAACGTCGAGGTGATCAAACGGTGTTCGTGATTGTGATAATCTGGGGATACACCGGCAGAACCATTCGAGCAGCCAGCAGCTAGATCGCAATTGACATCAAGCAGGAAGGCGTCCTTTTCGTTCCTTCTTGAGTGGGGGTGACAATCTTCAAGGAGAGCGGCTCGGGAAACTTTAGACGTGATGGTAGAAAAAGAGAGGACTCAAGCTGAGAGGAATCGTTGGCGTTCGCCATAACGACTACTTATATCTTTCTGAGATCACATTGTCATGTGGTCTGCGACGCCCATGGCTAATGATGTCACTGAACTCCGCCTTTCAGCCCAAGCAGCAGTCTCAAGACACTACTCACTGCATAGCATTGAGCTCACATCAGTTACGCCGTCCAGGCAGCGCCAAATGTGGTCTTACCCTCCGCATGATCTAGCTAGCCACCGCTTCTCCTGCGATGACGGCCAAGATTCGCTAGGGGGCCCAGGGCGTAGTCCTTGCGTTGGCCAGCTTTCCATCGTTCCGCGGTGACGAGGAAAGACACCGCTGAACACTCTTCGCCGAAGCGGAAGCGATCAATTGACTTGCTTTTTGGCCAGATAATGTGCGACGAGTGTCGACGACGAGTCCCATGTCCGTTACAGAACGGAGCCAGAGTCCCTGCTGACAAAGGGTTCTACTCTACTCAGCATCTAGCCCGTGCGGAGAGGAAATAAGAGGAGAAGGATAAGAAGGGCTTTGGTCGCTACTCAAATCTCACATCCTCTCAACACGGGACCAGGGAAAACAACAATCCCAGGCAGATTCTGTCCGGATTAGGCTCATTCTCCCCACCGTCTCCTCGATTTTGTTCAATCAACGAGGGCCTCAGGATGGATCGGACTTCGGGAACATATGCAGATGGTGACGACAGTGCAGTTAGTTGCGACATGATTGGAGAAGTGCCGGTACGATCCAGCTCGGCACCACCGGATCCTTCTCTAAGGCTATCGACGCTCGAGGAAGTAAGTGGACCAGCAGCTGGCGAGGCGAACACACAGGCGCTCTTGACACTCAGCCAATCATCTGAGTCCATTGAGCCCTGCACCTCTCACAACAGCCTAAGAGTATCGCCTACGACCAACGAGAAGCATCTCAAGTCGTACTTCACCAGTCAACTTGGTCATCGACCCGAAACCGGGGATCCAAACTCGACCTCTATAAAGACTTGGTCTTGTAAGTCAGCCTATCACCCTCACGGCATTTTTACGATGAACATCTTACTGATTTTGGTGCTGGTCACTCGATCTCACTGTGACTATACAGACGGCAATCGAACGCAGAATATGCCGATCTTGACGATCCCTGTGACTCCAAACCCTCCGAGGAGCTCATCACCGATCTTCGACCACAGATTCCTAAGCTTCGTCTTTCCAAATGCGACGCAAGAGTATCCCGTGCCAGTCTGCTCCCTCTCAGCAGGCGATGGTCAAGTCGGCCATGCTCAACCGCAGTCATACTTTAAAGAGAGTCTGGTGGCGCTTCCCAAAGGAATGCTGTCACACAACCTGACGCGAGACGAAGGTCAAGATCTCCGATCGCAAGGTATAGCAGCGCGAGTAAAGGCGCTGGACTTGTCATCGACACCCGCAATGCATACCTTCTTCACGCATGGGGTGCTCCCTCATTCCGGCAGCGGTTCCATGACATCAGCTACAGGCGCACAGAGCTGGCTTGATGCAGGTTCCGATCCAGGTTTTCGGCCTGACGGATTGTGGCACATGCCGTATCCAGGGATGGCTCCGGCCAACCCTGGGAACGAAAGCCTTGCACCACCTTTCGGATCTGGAATCGCTCGCAACCCAATGTGGGGCTTCGCCGAATACCAAGTGAGCGCAGACATGGGGCACGATTGGAGAGATCTCCAGAGTCCCATGACGCATGGATCGGAGAGCTTGACGAATACAAGTGGCTCAAGCTCGCTTGCCTCGAGTCGATCGTTACCAGACTTGACATGGACTTCGAACGACCCATGGCCAAGTCGTTCAGGGGCGAAATGGCTGGAGGACAACCCTGACCCTAGCGAGGAGAGGTCGACCAAGCGACAAGCAGGCCTTGGTTCCGAGCGAGTCGACTTAGGACAACCCTTGTCAGCTTCTTGGACACCGAACACGGAGACGAGCAACAGAGCGCAAGCAAACTCGCAAACGTTGAATATGGATTGGCAGTCAAGCTCAGTTCCAGGTGCGGGCAGCAGCATTATTACAGTTGGCAGGATTGCAGGTGGTCGCATCGAGGAAGGTTCAATAGGCTCAAAGAAGCGGATCTGGTACAGAGCACCAAACGGTCAATTTGCTTCTGCTACGCAAGCACTCTCAGGCAATTTCCCAGGAGAAGGCAGTGGTGGCAGCGGGCAAGATAGCTTACATGGTAACAGCGAGGGCTTCCGACGGATTCGAAGACGACGCAAGTCGGAAGAAGTGGAGCGCAAGTACCGATGCGACTATGATGGGTGCGACAAGGCGTACGGAACACTGAATCGTGAGTCAGATCTCCACGGTCGTTGCAATGCGTGACGACGCCACAACAGCGCACAAAGTCACGGACTAACCTTTCTTTCCACCTTGCCTTGATCAATTCTATCTGCGTTGCAAACCTGAATCGCCTCTTATCTCTTCCTCGACCGACTCCCGCTTACAGACCTCAACACACACCGCGCTACGAATGACCACGGTCCACGACTCAACGCAGTAGGTGGGTATCACAGCATGAAAGCATCTTTGCCAGCAAAAGTCAAGGTCCTGACAAGATCATTGCTTTCATCTCTCTGCTTGTTCTAGGATATCGACGAGCTTACGCGGAGTGGAAGCGCAGGCAGAGCGCCAGACAAGGTGCTTAGCTACCTTTGAGTATGACAGCATCGGGGAATTGGTGCACTTTGATGATGGACCAGCGTCATCGCCGCGGAAAAGATGAACATGGATGGATGGATGGACGGACGGACTTATGCTGCAGGTGCAGCTGCATGGAAGGACTTCAACGAAACCGCATCGAGCTTGACATGACAGAGATGATTGGCTGTAGCTTGGACATTCACATTTGCTCTTGTAACTAAACTATGCTTCAGAGAGAACGGTGCTACTCGAAGTTTAGAGAGTTGAATTTGTTTGTGCCAAGAGACGGGCCGAAATCGAACTGAGAACCGGAAACAAAACAGTTGAAGTTGAAAAGTGGAAACACCACTTCGTCGGGGCCACGAGCAAGGCTCCCTTCGCACAGGTGTGAAGCAACTGTAATGCTTAAGGTATTTAAGTGAACTAAAGCTACAGACATGAATATATATATCTTCACATCATCTATGAGAACGTCGAGCAGCCTTAGGTGAGTCGAGTGTCTCTCCTGCAGAGCTCCTGAGCCGTTGCCATGCCATCCTTGGTGCGTTTCACGCGCCTGAGTCAACTCGTGAATAAGCGGCGTATGCTTTGACCAGCTTTGCCCTGTCGGCATCTCGGATAAACCCTGGGAATTCTGACGTATCTTCATCTAAAACAGGCCGTGTTGCGCCACAGCTTAAAATCCGATGATCACCCTTTCCCAAGTTGCACCGTTCCACCGGCTCTCGGGGTTAAGACGCCCCATCATCGACGTAGACCATGGTAGAGAAACAGCCGTCGAACTTGCCGCAGCCAAACCAGCGCACCTGCCTGCTTGCTGTCCAATGCTAAATGAGCCGGTTACGATTCAGAGATGTCATGTTGCTCGTCTGGACCAGATGTTCAGATGCTTTCGGTTCCCCAATCGTGAAGGGCAGGCTCCGAGCAGCAAAGACGATTCTTTACTTGGCCATAAGCGGAAGCTCGATGAATCTTGACAAGAGATGCAGTTCAAAGCTCCCTAAAGCTCATGGCAGCGCTGCAGCAATGCTGGAAGAATTTGGGTTTCTCAAGAAGACCTGTCGAAGCGGCCCAGATGACGCAATAAAAAAAAAAAAAAAAAAAAAAATCAGCCGTCTCTAGCTGAAGCTGGGCTCAGACGCCTTATCTGGAAAATTGCTTGAAAATTCCAAAATCAGAAACACCTTATCGAGCTGCTACGCCCACTCTTCTGACTGCTTTTCCCTTGGAAAAAGTGACAGAAGAAGAACACTGCAAAGAGTGACCTTCTATAGCCTTCATTGCTCGGTCCACTCTGCCAAACCCCTCGACTATAAGTACTGCAGCCTGAACCTTGGCTTCCATCCGATATCAGAAAATCCAGCATCCGACATCTATATCCACAGACACACTCAAACATTATCTCAAGACTTTATGCCAAAGATGTCGCTCCCAACCTCGCACAAAGCCGCAGTAGTCCCAGAACCCGGCGCACAACACACCATTACCGACCGTTCCCTCTCTCCCCTCGCCGCTGATGAAATCGCAGTCAAGATCACAGCCACGGCCATCAACCCAGTCGACTGGAAGATGCGAGACTACCGAATCTTTCTCACCGAATACCCCGCTGTCCTTGGTTCTGATGCAGCTGGAGAAGTTGTAGCTGTCGGATCTTCCGTCAAATCTCACTCTGTCGGCGAACGAGTCTTTTTCCAAGGTATTCTCGGAAAATACGATCACTGCACTTACCAGCAGTACACCAAGGTCCCTGCTGCACTCGCAGCCAAGACTCCTCGCAAAGTAAACGATGAACAAGCATCCACCTTCTGGGTGGCCGGTATGGCAGTCGCCACAGGTCTATACCACAAGTCTGGTCTAGGACTTGCTGCTCCTTGGGACAAGAACGGTGATCAGATCGGAAAGGGAAAGACCGCCGTTATTCTGGGTGGTTCTTCTAGTGTGGGACAGTACGCTATTCAAATGGCTAGACTTTCTGGCTTCGACCACATCGTTACTTCCTCCAGCCCTTCGCACTTTGACTTCCTCAAATCCCTCGGTGCAACCGAAGTATTGGACCGCAGCGAAGCAACCACTGCAGACAAATTCGTCGCCTCCCTTCCCAAAGATTCCAAAGTCGAATGGGTATACGACACTATCTCTTCCGCTCAAACCCAATCCCTCGCCGTTGGCATCCTCCAACACTTGCAGGGTGGAAAAGTGATCGTGGTCATGCCAGCTGACGAAAAAGCAGTCAAACTTTCCGATGAAGAAGGCAAACCAGAGGTCACCGTTGTTAGCATCCTCGGTCTTGGCTCTCACCCAGAGTATCGCTACGTGAGTGAGCCTTTGGCTGCTCATTTGGGTGGTGAAGAAGGATATGTGGCTCAAGGAAAGATCGTTCTGAACAGACCCGAAGTTGTTGAAGGAGGTCTGGAGAAGGTCGAGGAAGCACTCAAGAGGAATAAGGAGGGCGTTTCTGGTGTTAAGGTAGTCATTCGTCCCAATGGTCCTTGAAACACAGGCACCACAATTCGTGTAAATTAGTTTACCGTGCGTTTGATGGGTGACAATGTATTGTACATGTTGCGATGTGCCGCAGATATTGAGAGTGACAAATCTGTGCTATGCAGGTCAAGGCATCCGCCTTTGAGTACGTTGAGGAGTAGGAGTCCAACCTCTCTCGCCCACACCACCACCGTTACTCGGCGTCAACCCACGCGTGCTTCTATCCAACAACGCTCTCGCGGCAGGCGTTAGTTCTCCCGCTTTCTTCGTCCTCGGACTGGCAAATGCTCTTGCCCTCAACGTGGACAGTCCGGTGTATTTCTGTGTTCCGTACGGCGTCAAACCCCCCGAAGAAGGTTTGAGTGAAGCAGAAGCCGTTAGCTTCACAGCCAGCTGTTCGCGCCGTGTAGGGTTGGGCAGTTTGAATTCTCTTCCACTAACGCTCTCGCCACTTATGGTAAGGGAAGGAGAGGGATCGGTACGCCGTTTCGCTTTGATAGCATTGTAGATTCGGAGGTGCATCTTTTCCTCCCCTTCACCCTGCAAGCTGTGTTGGGGGGTGGAATAAGGAGTAATGAATCCATATCCGTTAACTTTGGGCGTATCCATTCCGTCCATTGCTGAAGATGTGATCGAATCTGCTCTGCCCCGTCCGCGTTGAATTGCAGCATCAACACGTGAACTGCTGGGAGACCAACCCGCTTCACTGCCCTCCCTCTCTTCCCTACCAGAGATGGGGTTCGACTCATCGAGAGTTCGAATAGCGCTAAAGTTCGTCTGTGGCTTCTCCGCTTCCTCCCTTTCCTTGAGCTGTAGAGAAGCACGAAGAATGTCGGTATTTGCATCAGGACCGAACATCAGAGCGTTTCTAGCGGTGTGTTTCCAGCGGTTAAGCCCTGTAAGTGCCGGGCGATCATCTTTCCTTGGCTCGGGAACTAGGATTAGATCGTCCATCGGATCCCTCTCCCTCTCTGCCAGTACTATCTTTTCCTTCTCCTTCTCTTTACCCTCGCCCAGTGTTCCTCCGGTGGTGCTTTCGAACATCAACATTGCCTTTCTTCCCTGCTCTAGCAACTTTGTATGATCTGGGTTGGCTTCTATCGCCAACTGTTTGCCCTTTTCTGCATCTTCCTGTTCAGTCTGTGTGATCTGCTTTCGCCGCTGATTGGATGCTTCTTCGCGAGCAAACAAATGTGCATACTTGCGTTTGTGCCGTTGGTTATCGCGATCAAGAAGCTGAGAAAAGCTGGCGTTGCCTTCGGATGTGTATTGCGCCTGAAACGCTCCTAGCGATAAGTCCAGGTTGGGAGTGATACCAGATACTAGCTCCTCTTCCCCTGCCTCTCCCTCCACTTGATCTCCGTACGCTGTCCCTGGAGTTGAGGCGGCAGGCGTGGGATCAAACGCCCCTTTCAATGCACCTATTAGCGGTGTATCATCCCATTCACTCCTGTGTCCACTTCCACCTTCACCCCTCCCCAGAGTACCCTCAATCCTCCTCCGCTTCCCCTCCCCCACCCCACCATCTACCCGCACCAACCTACCCAGCGCCTCCCGTATCCTGCCCGGATCATCACTCTCAACAGCAGCCAAATATGCATTCTCCGCCTTCAGCCTATCCAGATCCGGAAAGAAATCTCGTTTGATAATACTTGATAGTCCCGAAACGTACTCCTTTTCAGTAAGTATAGATTGGGACCGGAGCGATGTTTGGCCCGCTTTGAGGGGAATCAATGGTTCTAACCCTGAGGTGAATGTGGAAGCGGTGGAGGAGAGACGAGAGGCTGCTGCAGCGGAGCGTGGTGTTGGTGGCTCCTTGCGCAGTGGCATATTATAGCCTTGTTTACAGTAAGGTAGTGAGTTTGGCTGTGGGGGAAGGGAAGAAGAAGGTTTGAGCGAGGCTCAGTTGGGGAAGGTGGAGGGCTTTAGACCCCGAAATCTGCCGATGTCGGTGGCCCGATGTCTGTGTCGAAAGATCTCGTGCGGCATTGCAAGGAATAACCAAATGACGCCATCTCGTTAAGCAACCTCGTCTAGCACCGCGCCTGTGATTTGGCAGGTCAGCAGCAATGATTTATTCCCACTTTACTGCAGATTCAAGCCGTTTCTTTTTCTTCAATTTTCTGGGATTTTCGGTCGTTGCCAAGCTCACGCTAAAATTTAGGGCAGCAGGGCGCGAGCGGATTTGACTCATTCGATAATCCATTTTTCTCGCAAAATTAGCCCACGGGCCGCGCTTGCTGACGCTCTCTCTCGCAATTTCACACACACACAGTGACAGTTCCGGGCTGGCTGGCTGAGCAAGGAAGCGGGCGGAAAAGGGTCTCTCTCTGGTTGCGGTGCTTAGCCATCCAATTAAGTAACCGTTCACCGCCAATGACAAAGCCACTCAGTCTCACGCCATCCTCTGACGACACTTCCCTTTCGATCAACTACTACCATCTCACATCTTTACCAATATCTGTCTACCTTCCTCGCTCGCTGCCACCCTCACGTAGCAAAGCTATCAGAAATCTCTTTTTCGGTCCACAGCCGATCTCAACATAGCCAAGCTGTTCGCCCACGCATTATAACAATGACTACCAATAATTCCAATCAACCCAGTCTATGCCCCGTCAGCACTTTCAGCGCAGGTGCTGGCACCGATGGGGTTCCTTACTTGCGCAACAACACCAACAACACCACTGTTTCCGACAACGTGACTGCTGCTGCTCGAAGCCAGCAGCAGTCTACCACGTTGAGCACCGTGGTCAAGTGGTGGTCCTGACGTCCTCAAAGCAGAAATGCCTGGATATACCAACAACAATGCTTCGCAACGTCCAGGTCGAAGTGCACCTGTGAGAGGGGTCGCTTCGCAGCAAGCTTCTACGTCTTTGACTTCCAACATCGCCAACGAAGGCACTACTTCGTCTTCGTTGCCTCAACCATCCATTCATCGCGCTCAGCAGCAGCAACAACAGCAACAACAGCCGCAGCAGTATACCTTCCCGTCTTCTTCCACCACGAATCATCCGATGGGCTGGGATCGAACCCACAGTAGTGGTGTCCCTGCTTCCGCTGTGGCTGTACCCATCTTTCGTGCTGCTCATGCCAACAACATCTCCAGCGCAGCCTCGCACGTTGCACCTCGCCATGCCAACGCTGCGCACCTTCCCGACTCTCCACCCGATACCCCGCCGCACTCACCCGGCCTTGCACCCGTCCGTTTACCTGCACTCGTCGAACCACGCCCGCTGTCCCAGCAGCGTGTCTCGCCTCCCAGGCAGCCCATTTCTTACGAGCGATCATTCACCCACACCATTACGCGCGACGCAGGTGTCTCGGTCGACGTCATCTACACTGGTCAGACACCTTGTGACAGTGAGCTCGAAGACGATGCTGAGTCTGACTTTTCAGATGATGCATCGCAAGCAACGCTCGACCAGCTCACCCAGGCTGCTCAGACGCTTCTCCTTCACTCCGACTTTTCAAGCAGCAAGTCGCAGCAGCAGCAACACTCTCGCTCGCACGAAGCTGCCGACTCGAGCATCTCCATTGCACACCGCAACGCACTGCCCATAGAGCTCATGCCCGTCACCCCCGAGATCTCTCCCGACAACGATGTTCGTCATCACGCACAAAAGTCAGCCCACTCTTTCCTCGACCGTATTTTTGTTGGTGTACTTCGCAATCTTTCCGTCGAAGACGCTGGTGTTGAACTTGTCAGTCCTGGTTGGAGCGGTGCTGTCATCAAATCTGGTCCTGCAGGTCCCGCTTGCGCCTCCAGCTCCTTCTCGTCCACTTGCAGCAGTGATAGCTCAGCAGAAACGCAACGTACGCTTTACGTCAGTATGCCTGCTGTTGTTGACGCGAGCTTGTTGCGTGAACAGGTGCTTGCTGTGTTGGATGCGGCGAGTGAGAAGTTGGGCTGTGAGTCGGTCATGGTTTGTTTGGATAGAGCTATGCGTGATTTCGCATCGGTCTTGCATGGGTTGTGCTATGTGGGTGGAGCGATGGTTGCCTCTGCCCGCGACAAGAAGGAGGAAGTAGGTGGTGGACAGAACAAGTTGCCCGATGTTGATCCCGTTTCTGGATTGCAGTTGAGGGAAGGGCTTGTTCTGGTTGCTATCGAGCTTTAACTTTGATGGAAGGGTGATCCAAACATATCACCTCACCACAGCACACATTTTCGTCTCGTTTCTTAGGTATATCCCAATCTTCAACAGTCCTGGTTTCTTCTCTGTCATTGTAACTTAGCAAATTTTTATTATCAATCGTTTCGGTCTAGTCATCACTCCTCTCGTCAGGCTGTGTGATGTGTGGTATTGCATCAAGAGAAGCTAAGGAGATGAACGTTTTTGCCAGATCTGCAAGTAGCTTTCTCCCAAAAATATCATCTGTTTGTTCACTTCTTCTACGAGTAAGTCTTGGATTGAGAACCATTTCTCTTCCTTGGGAGGTTTAGAATTAGTGTGAACTTGAGTCTTCCAGCTTGCCCCTTGACGAACTGTGCCTGGTACTGCGTCGTAGACTACGTTTGCGACTAGATCGTACACCTCGTTTAACTTTCTGTCGCTTTCATCCTTCTTAGCCCCGTTGGAAGTGAGATTGGGGAGAAGGGGAACGTGTTTGCCCACGTCTAGACTTTTGATTGGAAAGTTGACTAGGGTCGGGTTTCGTTCTTCCTGACCCAAGCTGTTCTTTGTGAACCTGCGGAAATGGATGATCAGGTAGGGTGGCAGTCTGCGCAAATGATACCGCGTGAGTTTGCCATGCGATTCATGGAGACTTTTACCGTCGTATTTGGCTAAAACTTGACCGATGGTTACTTGAGGGACCAAGCGTGAACCTGTTTCCGAATCGTCTTGTGCCAAAACGGGTGGTGGGGTGGGAAGGTCCATTGCGAGAAGGAAAAAGGGTGTATCTCGTTTATTGAGGGTAAGGGATGGGTCAAATTGGGCTCGACCTTCGGAATCTATTTGTCCGTCAGAGGTGGTAAGGGGTTGGTCGAGGATTCTTTCCGCTTGTGCGGAGGTGGATGTGGGATAGGCATCTTCGGCAGGACGAGTGAGAGGTTGAGACTCGACCTGGACTGTACCTTGGAAGCAGCGGCTGATGATGCTTTCCCCTCCCGGACCGACTCTTTTTCTCTTCGCTGGCTTTCCCGCTGCTACTGCCGGGGCCGAGGTAAGATCAGCATGAAGTCTGTTCAGCAACCACCCAAGAAACTCCACCGGATCCGACTGATGTGTAATCTTGAACCTATTCCCTGAGACCTGAGCTACCTGTTGCAAGAACTCATGCGGTGAGACTTGCGGCTTAAACGCTCTCGGATTCCACATCTTCCTCACCAACGCCCCGAACCTTTTCACCAACTCACTTCTCTCCCCCTTCCCATCCTTCCTCTCCTTCTCCTCCAAAAAGTAATCCCTCACCACCGGCACATGCACCAACGCCTGCACCACTGCATTCACATAATCATTCTTCCCTACATTATTCAACCCAATGAACCCAGGCCAATACTTCTCTCCCTTCAATTCGTAATACGCCTGCTTCTCATCCACCTCCCTTATCAGCTGCGGGGTAAAAGTCGGATTCAGAAGATACTTGATATCCTGCAGCGCTGCTTGATTTTCCTCCAGCACAGCGTAGTTATCCGGCAAAATATAAGTTTGGGCGGAGGCAAGGTTCATAAACACATGATGCGAATCATCTATACTGTGTAGATAGGCGTAAGAGTTGCGTCCTCGTCCTTGAAAGTACCGACCGCAAACGAGACAGGCGTAGACGTTGATGTTGGAGAGGGATACGGAGCAGAGTTTTTCAAAGTCGAAATCGAGGACGGCTCGGTTGATCGTATCTAGATAGAGGGCTGATTTGTATTTCTTTGCTACAGCTACTGATGTTTGTGATGAGGCTGAAGGTGCGGTTGAGGTGGATGGTTTGGATAAGGAAGATTGAGCTAGACGTGTCCAATACTCGGCGTCTTGTACGTCAGGTTCTTCTTCTTCTTCTTCTTCTTGATCGACTGGTGGCGGAGGCGGAGGTAGAGCGGTCGGTGGAGGTGGCGGGACGATATCGCTGTTCTGCACTAGCTCTGTGTCGGTCTCTGGCGGTGGTGGGGGTGGGGGTGAGTCGGGCGGACCAGGGAAGACGTGTTCTGGCAATGTTGCTACATTGTCGTCAATTGGCGGCGGAGGTGGTGGAGGAAGTGGATCAGTATTCTGAGTTGTACGCTTACGTTTCGACGGCAATGTTGATGCGTTGGCCATCCTTGCAGCTGCCTATGTTTGAGGATATCGTATGTCGAGAAGAACGAGAAGAAGCGAAGTGTTGTTCTTGGACCTGGGACTTCGCATCAATCCTCCACCCTTTCGCGTGACCAAATCGCCCGATCTCGAGACGCACTTTTCATCTCCCGATACGTCAGTCCGACTAGTGCTATTCAGCAAAGACCTTCCGTACTTGGCGGTTACACAGCGGTACCAGCCGTTTGGACCGGTTGGATTACTATCCAGCTTCTCATCAGCCTTCGACTCTCAAAGCTTTAGAACAAAGGCCTTCTGCTGAGCAAAGCTACATTTGGATAGAGCGATACTCGACGGTCTCGCCGGGCGTTGTGGTTGGCGAATTTGAGTTTTGGCGGCTTTTTTGACATGTGTCGAATAACGGTCGCGCTTTGTCTAACCGCCATTCGCCTTGCCGACTCTAGCAGAGAAAAGGAGCATCAGCCTGGCTCAGACAAGAATCTACACCTTCATGCCCCTTGCCTCCCAGCATTGTCTGCTCTAGACATGTCATCGTTGTAGCTCTACAATGCGATGCTCTGTGATGCACGTACTTCGGAGACAAAATGATAGTCCTGCGCAGCACACGGTGTATGGTCTTGCTCATTCTGGCGAAGCTGGCGGTGCCTTCTTTCCAAAACACTCAAACATACGGGTCTTACCTTCCGTTGCGAGCATTGCATGCATGTATAGCTTGTGCGGGTCAAAGAGGATCAATGATCAAAAATTGTCGCTGTGAAGCCTGTCCGTTGCGTGCAGATATGTGCATTTGAATGTGCCTCACGACATTGACTAAGCAGACCATGCTGCTGCGAAAAAGTCAAGATACAGATCTGATCACATTGTGCAGGATCAAAGTGGCTACTTGCTATAAGCTCCTGGTATTACGAGCTCACAGTACCCTGCTAAGCGCCCGTCCTGGTGCCAGGCTCGGTATCTCCTTAGGCCGAACTCGTCTACACCCTCCCGCCTGGTCAGCCTGGCATCCCCTTCTTATACCATCTTGTTTCGCTTCTTTTCCTTCTAATTACTTCCGTGCTCATCGCCTCTCCATACATTCGTCCCTTCTTCGTGGCTTCTCCTTGATCCAGCCTCTTTTTCTTTCTCTTCACCTTCTCAGGCTGGAAACGACTCTTTTCTTTACGACTTTACGGCTTCTTACTTCAGGTTTAACGATAATTAGGCTTGCTTCTGACTGGCTTCAGAGCAACGCACTTCTTTTTACGACTTTGCAATACTCTTTCTGGCTGCTTTGCTCATCAGGTCTATCATACGACCCTGCTTCCCCTCCTCTTCCTTCGTTGGCGCCTCAATCGATACGCCAAGCTACTACGCCAATTTCAGATCGATTCTGTTACGCCTTGGCCTTTTCCCACCATCACTTGATTGCAGCTTGGTCTTCATCTTTTACGCCACTTAGCCTAAACTTCGTCTCTACTATACCACCAGCATATCACGGTCAACAACCCGCTACGTTCTGCTTTACTTATCCCTTCACGAATCCTTACGAACCTCTCTATTCTTACGACAGCACGAAGCGAAGCATCTTATGCTGCAGAAGTGCCTAACCTTTCATCCTTGACGAACTTTACGACCTTATCCTACGCTTTCTACACCTGTTGATGCTTCCCACACTTTGCTTCTTATCCCTCTAGACATCTTCTTCATCATTCACTTTCGCCTTTATCCACAGCCGAATTTCCAACAGCATCGTTTTGATCAACAGCAACAGCTAACTTCACCAACCAGACTTCACTCGACCACAGCTCAAGCTCGAGGAGTTAGCTCAATACGATGTCGGGATCATATGGATGCAGGGAGCGTTCGTCATCCGTCTCCGGACCAGCAACCTCCCACAAGCACACACGGAGCGCGTCACAGAGCTTCGATACCCCGGGCGCCAGCATTGCTTCCCCTTCCGCTCGTCAGGAGCAGGTCCAACAAGCCACTCTCACTGCTGAACATACACTTAGACAATACCAAGAAGAGTTCCAGCGCCCGGTGCCCACCTTCCCTTACCAAGTTCAACACCAACCTGTCCCGAGCTCAGCTTCCGCTCAGACTCAGCGACATGCCTCCGCCACAGTGCACTCAGCAAGCCAGCTCCAGTGGATCCCTGAAGTCACAACAGAAAGCTCATCTGGCGAAGCCGCTGGGCGAGCAGACAAGATCAGAAGCTCTGCCACCATGCCACAAGCTCTTCGGGCTGGTGCTGGCAGTCAGCCTAAGTCGCACAACAGAGTCGTATCCATGGAGAACAACTACCGAGGGCTACCACGGAACTTCAACCCTGTCACTGGTCGTAAGCAGGATCCTCGGGCAGGGAGCAGATGACCCAGCCTTCCGTACGTCTTCGAGCCCCTCTCCTCATCGCCGCCGCAGCAGCAGCAAGTAACACCTCTGCCGTCTCGAGGCGACTTTCCCAACCCTTACCAAGCTGTCAACCAAGACGACTCTCACCTTTCCACAGCTCAGCTGCAGCGTCGTGCCAGCCAAGACATGCAGTCTCCTCTTCTTTCCCGCAATCCTACGCATCGAGGCGAGCGTCAAGCATGGGCTACTCAACGTCAGCAGCTAGTACAGAACGCGCACGAAATTCCGCCAACTCCTCCACTCGGCAGCGGACCACAGCGTCAAGGCTTTCAGACCATGCCGTTGTCGATCAACGAAGCCAGACAGCCGCAAGCAGCGCAGGTTGCGGTTGCGAACACCCTTGCAGATTCGATCTCGTCCGCCTGGTCAGACAGCACAGAATCAGAGCGGACTCCAATAGCGAGCAGTATTGCGGCCACACGAGAGAGGAATGCCCGGCTCGAGTCTCAGCTGATGCCCGTTAAGCTTACGCTTCCGTCTACTTTCTCGTCCTCGTCAACATTCGCGCCGGTGCAAGCGAGTACAACAAACCAAAAGGCACCCGTCAGTGGGGGTACGAGAACCGGTTGTACCACAGCACAGGACCCGCGACCGAACCTTCCAGGGGTGACTGCGGAAGAGATGTCTAACATGAAAGCCACTGCTACACCCTTCACTCCAATCAAGCTTTCAAAGCTGTCAGCGCCACCCATCCGCTCCGACTCGAACGACACTAGCATTTATGGAGAAACAATTGCTTTGCCGGACGGCACCCAGATCCCGACCGTCCGCACTGACTTCCAGAACCTCAAACGAATCAGCTTTCCAAAGTCCACACCAGATGCAAGCGCTAGCAAGAAGGTGGACAGTATGCCCAGTGTCGGTGGGCACTTGATTTCGAAGGCTCATTCGAAGTTGGTACCGAAGAATGACGGTCCTTCTAGGGCGATCTACTCTCCTACCCCTCAGACGCTTGCTAATGCTAGGAGGCAGTCGACGCTCCTTCAAGTTCCTCGGGCAGCCGTGGTGGCGGAGGGTGCCGAAAGAATCTCATCGCCTTTGTCGGCGTCAGCGGAGGCTCCACAGACACCTCAGATCCCACATACCCTCAAGTTCCACAAGTTCGAGCCTTCCATCGGCGGCACTCCATCAGCTCCGGAAGCTCAGCCTCTGCCTGCATTTGCATTTGCGGTAGAGATGGAAGGAGGTAAGAGCGACGGTGGCACGACCCAAGCCAAGTCAGACGACACCGACGTCCATAGGCGAGATAACGCCGACACACCCGGCTTCCGCGATGAACCTAGACGCAACACTTTCGGCGAAATTGCACCTAGCATGCTCGAAGAGGCTAACCGCAAGCTCTTCTCGTTTCAGATGCAGCAGCTTGACCAAGAATCAAAAGAGAAGGGCGTTGGGTCTTCCCGTCAGCCTCAGCTCGCATCTACCCCAGCTATGGAGAAGACACCTGCAGAGAAGGCAAAATTCGAAGCACCTACATCAGCAAAGCTTGTCCGCCGCGAAAGTTCCGCTTCTAAGGGGAGCCGACGTGACTCGATCGGTTCAGCTACGACCGCATTTGACTCGACAACAAAAGAAGGATTCCCAGCCCACGTCAAGCAAGCCACTGGTCCTCCTGTCAGCTCCATGGTTACTCGTGGTACAGCACGTGCCGCTGTGCCTCCTCCAAGTGACGTGATGGAAGTTCAAGAACCAGACGAAGCTCAGGACGACACCGAAGGAACCGAATTTGACGAACAGGAGCATGACGGTACTGCCTATGATCTCTCCGTGTCCAAGCGGACCCCTTTCGTTATCGACACGTACTCCAACAATGGCACCGAGGATGACGACGAAGATGCTCGAGCGCTCCGTAACGGAGCGGCCGGCGGCCGGGAGAAGACAGGGTTCCGCCTCTTCCCAATCTCCTCTATCAAAGCAGGTAAAGCTCGTCGTCCATGCACTCGGGACACTCGCGTCTCTTTTCGCAGCAATTCTTCTCACCTCGATCAAAAACGACCAGGTTCGCGACAGCACGGTACCTCACCTACTTGTCGTCAGTGTTTCAGAACAGGTTTCGACTGCGCGATGAACTTGCAACTCGGAAAGGGCACTGCAGCGCGAAAGGCTTTTCAGGACTTTGTTGCCGCTAGTGGATTGAACGCTATTTCTATCCGTGACGGGGCTCCTGTACCGGTTGATGGATCTTTAGCTGAGAGTCAAGCTGGCGGGATCACCGTGGAGGAAGCACTGGGCAGGAACTATGTTGACAAGCTGGGCGAAGTTGCTTTTGGGGAATCTGCCCTCAGCCGTCCCGTCACACGAGGGATGTACAACGAGTTGGTGGAAGAGAAGCAGGAGCAGGAGAAGCGCAGACAGCTGATCGCAGTTCACAAACCCTGGTCTGGTGATGTCGATGAAGAAATAGAAAAGGCGAAACAGCACCCACTAGGAGATAGGATCAAGCGCAGCCTTAGCAGCAACAGAGACTTCCGTCAACTCAGTCAGATGACGCTCCAAGATGGTGTTAATCACGATCAGATCAACGCTCTCGGTGGTGATGATGCTAGACAGATGTTGCTCAATAACATTAAACAATCAGGCTCGCATAAGCGCAGCGGTGAGCAGGAGGAGGGTGAGGTGGTGGACATCGACCCTGCCGACTACGAATACGAAGGAGACTTTGACGATGAAGACGATCTGTCCTCTGCTTCTTCGAAGGCTGACATTGTTGTGTGGGCTGACAGATGGAGTGCCTGGACAAAGTTTCGTCAATTGCTCGCCTTCTGGGTCTATATTTTTGCTCTCCAGGCTCTCTCCTCGGGTTACACCAATACTGTCAACAGGATCATCGTCGATGAAGACGTTTCTGCCTCAGAAGCCATTTTCTTCCAGCTTGGCTGGCTCGCTTACAACGGCTGCCAGGGTAGCGGACTCTTCTTCGCCAATCTTTTGGTAGGTTTCGGTCGTCAACGCGTCACATTAATCTCGTTGATGGCTGTTGGAGTAGTCTGCGTCGTGGCGGGCTTCGTCCATCATGTTGCTGCGATCCTGGTTTGTCAATCCTTGTTGGGTCTGCTGTCGGGTCTAACTGTATTCCTCTCGCTAGCCAGTGTTATGGACATCTTCCCCACCTCGAAGGGCAGGCTGCTTGGTATTGGGTCGATTGCACTAGCGCTTGTCGGCGGTCAGCTTGCCGGACCATGGATCTCGAAGGTCGTTCTTCAGCTCCTGATCTGGTCGTGGACCTACTGGCTTACACTCATTGTTGCTGCGGTGCTGATAGTCTATGTCGGCGTCGCTACGCGTGAAACAGCCGCTTTTGTACTGTTCCGTCACGAAGCGCTCCAACTCAAGCGAACGAATCAAGGCTGGACACCGGAACCGCTGCTTGAAACAGCACCAAAGCAAATGTTTGCCGATGACCTCGCTCGTCCGTTTAGACTGATGCGTCACAACCCAATGCTGATATTGCTGGCGGCTAGCGTAGCGGCCTTGGGAGGGATGTACATGTTCCTGTTCGCCGGGATGCAAGGTGTGTTTGTTCGGACGCACGGCCTCTCCTCGACTTACGCTTCGATAGTGCTCACTGCCTCTGCTGCACTAGTACTCGTTGTCGGCGTGGTGGGTATCTTCCTCAGCAATGCCAGGAAGGACAGTGAGTTAGATGCGAGTGGTTTCGCCACCATAGGCCGCTGTACTTGGACGAGAAGGGTCACATCGACACTCGTCGCCCACTCCGAGTCAAGGCGGAGTCTCTTCTTATCCCGGGTCTCTTGACAACTGCGATCTTTTCATTCGCACTATTCACCCTCGCTTTAACATCCAGCTTCGGGCGCACGACATGGTTCCTGAGTGCTTTCGGCGTCGTTCTTGCCACCGCAGCGCTACTCACTGTTGGTACTACTGTGGCTCAGTACGTCTTGGACGGCTACTCTCCACCTCGCAAAGTGGTCCTCCGTGACGTGGTCGCACGGGAAGATCCGTCGACGCCAACTCTGCTGCAAGATGAGAACGAAGACCGCTTCACTTCGTTCTCTCGCCGCACTGCCGGCCGACTCGCTTCCCGCTTTCGAGGCGGTCCTGCCGGTCGTCATGGTCTTCCATCACACCACGCTCCCCACAACTCTGACAACAACGGTGCTGACCAAAGCCGGGAAGCATGGCTCGAAGCTGGAGAATCCGTCATGTCGACCCGCGACAAACGCTGGCTGGATGAAACAGCCCTCGCCGCGCTCACCTCTGTCACTGCTCTACTGTTTACCATCTGCTCCCTCCTCAGCTTTGCATCTTTCCAGGCCTATGCAGGGTTGAACTTTGGTGCATATTGCGTCGTTTTCGCATCAGCAAGCTTGGTAGTGCTCTTAGCTCTGCTGAGCGTATGGCTGTACGGCGCAAAACCAAGAGCTAAATCGCTAGCGGTGGTGGACGAGGGCGATTCTGTACGAGCTCACTCCAGACGTGCCAATTTAAGGGAAAGGAGAGCCTTGAGCAGAAGACGAACTCTATCGCTCGCTCAAACCCAGACCCAGTCTTATGCCGCTTCAGATGTGCAGGAGCCAGGTAACAGGCTCAGAAACGCCCCGATGAAGCAAGCAAGACGCTTCTCCGCAGCGCTCGGGTACAAAGCTCTCCCTGAACACGGAATGGCTGTTTGTCGTCCTTCCCCACCCTCAATCCCTCAACAACCGCAGCAGGATGGAGCGACAAGACGGGACTTCCGCCCGATCCGCACACCTGCACCTATCCCTTTGATGCAGGAAGTTGACCAACGCTCAACCGCAACAGCCGCTGCTGAGGGCAGACGAGAACTATGGCTGTCCAAATTCATCGCTAAACGTGATCAGCAACCCGCGATCGATCCCAGCAACAAAAAATTCAAGCGATGGGGAGGCGTCATGCTCGGTCTCCCCTCCTCCTCACAACGCGATGCTTTAGGCCGAACATTCGATCCAACCACCGCCATTATCCCTTCCCGGGGCATCTATGCTTCTCCACCACACTAACACCAACCGCTCTCCCCACCACCCCGCACATAGCCCCGTGCCAGTATCAGCATCTCTAGCCCGTGTAGGAAGGCTGTGCCTGTATCGACTCGTATCAGGCGGATCGTCGGGATGATCGATGATCGTATCAGGGACGCTTAGACCCATCCGATGACCGTATCAGGCAGACTACCTCGGGCTGTTCGATGACCGTATCAGGAACAGATAAGGGCCAGAAGAAGATAAGGGCCAGGAGAAGATAAGGGCCAGGAGAAGATAAAGGCCATGAGCTCTATCGCTGCATGGCCCCTTGCACTGCCTTGTTGTGTCTCAGACTCCTCTTTCGCTCAACATGACTATTGTATCGTCCATAAGGTAAAACGTATAAAAGCACCAGACTCAGTGAGTCCGTCCTCCATTAGCATCCATCGGTTCGTTGTCTATACATACCGTTCGTCGTCATACGTGATAAGCCGCGTCCTACCAATCATGTCTGCCACCCGATTTAACAGCCCGCACCAACATCCCGCGGAAGGATTCGAAATTGTTCAACTCCGAGGAACTCGACAAGCCGAAACCAGGCAGAAAGAAAGACCGTACGCTCCAGTGATGACAAGAACAAGAGAATCAGTCGACATGATGACCGCTTCCAGAACAGATATTATGGCTAGGAGCCATTCCCAGCCTGGACAACATCTGTAGGGTAGTCCGAGACAGCAGAGATAGAGGCTCCAACAGCTCGCTGTGTATTGAAACATGGAAGAAGTGATAGATACTACTGACATTCTCATGGCTTGCTTTGTATCAAGAGATTTGTTCTGTACAGATACAGGATGGTAGATGGGCTAGCCCACGCAAGAAAGACGATGTGATTGGGCTCAACGACAAGACTCCATCCCGCTACATGATCCTGAGATTTTTACTCGGTGGTGTATAGTTTCAACGTTCAATGTTTAGGAATCAGGGTTCAAGATTCAAGACTTGGATACAGTGAAAGCAGTAAAAACGCATGACTGCTTAGTCATTTCCCGCATTCCTGCAAACCTCGCTCCACGTCGCCACCCGTCAACTCCCACCAACTCCCACCAACACTCAACACAACCCACCAATGTCCCCTATCCCACTCAGTAACAACACGCAGCCACACATGCCACATCATCCATTCACACACACAGAGACCAACATAGAAGCATATATAGTTCATGATATCACTTTGCACTTAGCTTCTTCAAGAACAACGATTTTGACCGCTCGCTATCTCGAACTGGCTGTGTTTCTCAACAAAAGCATGTGAGCTATAGTTCGATCTCACACATTCACCAACTTCGCTCATTTGGAAACACATTATATTACCTGGATCGACTGTTGTGATAGGGTGCAGCATACTGGCTATCAGACATCCAACATAGTTTCCCTGTTATGTTTCAGTCTTGCCACTCTTGTATCATACATGCATACATAGAACACTGGAGGATGTATATATACATTTGAAACATTCTGTACTTAGTTGATGCTTACTATCACAATTGATACTTGTGATCAACGATAATTGATGCATGTACTTCAACAGATACTCCATGTTCACAACACAAGACTTGGCGAAATCACAAGACCTCAACATTTCGCTCTAACATGTCCGCCAATTTCGCTCACTGTTGCCACTCATCATCACCCACCAACGCTACTCAGATCCATGTCAACAATAACCCTAACCCAAGATCAGCATGAGCAAGGATGGTACCACAAACCCTGCCAAGATCAGTAGTAGAAGAGATTGTATAGCAGATTCTGTGGAGATCAGTGGCAAGGATGATCATATGACAAACTCACATGTGAGGAGGACCAAGCTCTGCCAAGACAGGGACCAAGCTCAGAAGCATGCAGCTGGTCACCACTCAGGGGTTCACAAGACAGGAGTCGGGAAAACAGTTGCTGGTTAGGAGGAAGGAGAGCTGTGTCAAGGACACCAGCATATAGGTCATGAGGAGGAAGAGCAGTGTCAAAGAGGTCGACACCTGGAGCAGTGTTGCAGGCAACACTGTAAAGATGTATATAATCATACCTTCTTGTCATAGGTGGATGAGTGGATCTCCATCCACTCTACACCTTTCATTACTAGTTATAGCTTACACTTAAGTATACATTAGTATTCAGTCAGCAAGTTGCAATCTCAATAAGATTGCTTCCATTGTAGCATGTGTGTTGTACCACTGCTCCCTGACATCCAAAGGCAGTTCTTCAAAACCTGCAGTCTGGATAATGATAGAACCAAAGGCAGTTGTCCACTGCAGTCTGGGGATCACCTCAAGCATTCAGTCGACACACTGGACACTCATGTCAGCAACAACAACAATCTTAACCACACCAGACCTTGGTGTTAGTACCAGTTCATATTAGTTATTGATTGTGCCGAGCTACCTCTGGACAGAGTGTCCACAGTGGTTAGTCAAAACCTGCAATAGCAAAACCACTACTGCATCTTCGAGCAAAAAAAGTAATAGAGATGTTTCTACTACATATCTTGCCAAAATTTGTAATACCACAATCATTGTCACATATCTCGACAGAATTCATAATAGATGCAGTTCTATTACAGTTATCAGGTTTTGGGCATGCAACTGCTGACAGGCAGTTCATAGCAAACCAGCAGTCCAGATAATGATAGAACCGAAGGCAGTCATCCACTGTGGTCCAGGGATCACCTCAAGCATTCAGTTGACACACTGGACACTCATGTCAATGACATCAACAATCTCAATCACAACAGACCTTGGTGTTAGTATCAGTTCATAACAGTTATTGATTGTGCCAAGCTACCTCTGGACAGAGTGTCCACAGCAGTTAGTCAAAACCTGCAATAGCAAAACCACTACTACATCTTCGGGCAAGAAAAGTGATAGAGACATCTCTACTACAAATCTTGACAAGAACCGTAATACTTCTCTACTACATATCTTGACAAGAACCGTAATACTTCAAGCGTTGTCACATATCTCAGCAGGATTCGTAATAGATGCATTTCTATTACAGATATCAGGTTTTGGGCGTGCGACCACTGACAGATGGGAGGAATGAAAGGGGGTGTGAACTATTGCTCAGATGAGGTGGGAATGGCTCCTGACAATGATGAAACAATGTGAGGACTGTCCAACCATGGGCAGCAAGAGACACAGTGCTGATGAGCAGCATTGCAGGATGGATAGGAGAGACAGGAAAGAGGAGGAGCAGTGTTGGAGAGGTGTGCCAGAGTGAAGGCAGTGTTGCAGGTGACAGTGCGAGGATGGTATATAACCTCACTCCTCATCGTAGCTGTTGAGTGAATCCCCATCCACTCTACACCATATTTGTCAGAGGTTGTGTGCCCAAAACCTGATATCTTTAATAGAAATGCATCTATTACGAATCCTGTCAAGATATGTGGTAATGTGTGGTGTATTACAATTTCTATCAAGGTATGTTGTAGAGAAGCCTCTATGACTTTTCTTGCCTGAAGATGTAATAGTTGTTTTGCTATTGCAGGTTTCGACTGACTGCTGTGGACACTCCATCCAGAGGTAGCTTGGCACAATCAATATTGTGTATGAACTTATATTGACACCAAGGTCTGGTGTGAGTGATATGATTGGTAGCACCAACATGAGTGTCCAGTGTGTCAGCTGAGTGCTTGAGGTGATCCCCAGACTGCAGTGGATGGCTGCCTTTGGTTCTATCATTATCCTGACTGCTGGTTTGTGTCATGGGAATGGATGCGCAGAGGCCAGAAGATCTGTCAAATTCATATGAAGGGAGCGCAGGGATCAAGGGATCGGGCAGATCATGGGATTTGAGACAGACTTCACTGAGATCGGTAGTAGTGCCAGTCCTATGACAGATCTCACTGAGATTGGCAAAAGGAAGGATAGTACTATGATGACAAGATTGGCACGAGAGAGGATGGTACTATGGATCACACCGAGATCGGTGATAGAAGAAAGGGTATGGCAGATTCTGCCAGGATCAGTAGTAGGAAAGATCCTATCACGGATTCCGCAGAGATCAGTGGTAAGGATGATAGTGTGGCAAAGCTTCACATGCAAGTAGTGGGACCAAGCACCACCAAGAAGGGACCTAGCTCAGGAGCATGCAGCTGGTTACCACTTGGGGGCACACAAGATAGGAATAAAGGGGGACCATTGCTGGTCCAAGGGAGGAGAGCAGTGTAAGAGAAACTGGCAAGGAAGACATAAAGAGGAGGAGCAGTGTCGATGGAGTTGGCACAGCTCAGGAAAGACAGATGGATGGTGCAATGAGGAGGAGGAGCCTCATTGGAGACTCCTGTGAGGTACTCAATGCAGAAGGTACTCTCTGGTGAGAGAGCAGGAGCAGTGACGTGGGTGACACTGTGAAGAGGTATAAAAGCCACACCTTCTCGTCACTAATGGTCAAGTGGATTCTCATCCACTCTACTCACCATACAACTAGTCAATACTTTAGAAACATAAGTACTCATTAGTTTTCAGTCAGCATAAGTTGCAATCAATAGATTGCTCCTCATCGAAGCACATGTGTTGTATCACTATTTCCTGACATCCAAAGGCAGTTCTAGCAAACCAGCAGTCTGGATATAGTTAGAACCAAAGGCAGTTGTCCACTGTGGTCTGGGGATCACTTCAAGCATTAGTCGACACACTGGACACTTGTGTTGGCATCATCAATCCATACTCACACCAGACCATTGGTGTCAACATCAAGTTCACTTAGAGTTGTATCATAGTTTGATCATGCCAAGCTACCTCTGGACAGAGTGTCCACAGTGGTCAGTCAAAATCTGTCATAACATCAATACAACTACAGATCCCAATGAGAAAAGCGGCAGAGATGGTTCTGTTGCATATTTCACTAGGAATCGTAATACCATTAGCACTGTTGCATAACTCGACAGAATCGGTGATAGTACTGATACTACTACTGATCTCAGGTTTCAGGCACGCGACCTCTGACAGTTTGCTATGAACCACCTTTGGATGTCAGTGAGTGGTGATACAACACATGCACTATGATGAAAGCACTCTACTTGATTGTGACTTTGCTGACTGGAAACTAATGTATACTTATGTGAAGTGATAACTAGTTTATGGTGTAGAGTGGATGGAGATCCACTCAACCACTTATGATGAGACAGCATGGTTTATATTTATCTTTGCAGTGTCACCTGCAACTCTGCTCCAGCCCCCTCTCTCCAGAAGGCACCATCTTTGTTGAGTACTGTGGCAGAGGTCTTTACCAATGTGCCATCCCATTGCTGAGCCCTGCTTCTCCTGCTCCTGCATCAAGAAGAGCCAGTGTCATCTCATTGCTGATAGGGGTCGCCCCACTTCATCCTAATGACAATGCATGCCCCCTTCTTCCATCCACCTCCTGACCTCAGCACCCATCTCCTTATGCTGATTTCATCATCATGTAAGGTCCCTACCTCATCTGGTGGTGAACCCAGATGTCCTTGTCACTTAATCCATACTGGGTCTGTTGTATGATTGTCCTTGCCACTAATCTCTGTGGGACATGTCATACAATCTTGTTTACTACAGATCCTGATGGGGTTTGTGATACCATTTTGGCTCATGCTGATCTAGGTGAGATCTGCCATAGAGCTGTTTCTTCTACAGATCTCAGTGAACTCTTCTGCAAGTCCCACAATCTGCCCAATCCCTCGATTCCTGCACTCCCTTCATATGAATTGATGGATCTTCCTGCTTCCTGCGCATCCAGGCCCATGACAATATTTTATTAGTTATAGCTTTCATATAAGTATACTTAGTAGTCCATCAACAGCAGCAATCGTAAGACATTGCTCCTATCATAGCATGTGTGTTGTATCACTGCTCATTGACATTGATTGACATCCCAAAGGCAGTTCATCCAGTGGTCTGGCTCTCTCAATCATTAGAACCAAAGGCAATCATCCACTGTGGTCTGGGGATCACTTCAAGCACTCAGTCAACACACTGGACACTTGTGTTGGTGCCCACAGCATCACTCACACCAGACCTTGGTGTCATTGCAATACATCTATCATTATTGATCGTGCCGAGCTACTCTGGATGGAGTGTCCACAGTGGTCAGTCAAAACCTGCAATAGCAATCAATCTATCACATATTTGGGAGAAAAGTCATAGATAATAATAAAGGCCTTTTACCACAGATCTTGATAGGATCAGTAGTAATTGCAATTCTACCACAGATTTCAGGTTTTAGGCGCAAGACCTCTGACACACAGTTGAGGCGCCTCCAATGGTTGAGGTTTTGTAGTGTCAATGAAGGTGTCAACAATGTCTAGTAGTGGTGATACAACACACACATGAAGCAGTTGTAATGCCTGGATTGCAACTAAAGACAATACTGAAATGACAGTGTCTACCAAGTCCACTGGCCCTGCCTGCAACTTCATTGTCACAGAGGGGTATCACCCATTTCATTCAAGTGTTGGGACCCTCCCTTGCATACTTCTTCCCATATGTCTCCCTTCATCACTGACAATGGCAACAAGCCTACTGCGGTTGCCCCTCCTCTCCATCAGGCTGTTTCGGCACCCAATGCATTACAACCCCTTCTTGCAGTATGATTGATGAGATCCATTGGATGACTCAACCTGACCGATCTCGCTGAGATTGACCGGAAGTTCATATCCTCACCGATCTCACACTTTAGGGGGTTTCAGTTTTTTTTTGCCCTCGAAAACTAGAGTCTTCCAATACTCAAAAAAGCTCAGAAAATTGATGCCCCCAAATGTAAGCTGTGTTTTTAGAGGGTTAGTTTTCGAAGCCAACAAAGGGAGGGTAGTGTTGGCCAGAACATGAAGTGTTGGCTGGAAAATGAAGCAGTTGCAGAATTTTAACTATCTTGTAGTAAAAACACATGACTGCTTAGTAATATTCTAAGATTTTCGCAAACCTCGTTCAGCGTCGCCACCTGTCAACTCCCACCAATGCTCAATGCCACCCACCAATGACCCCTATCTTACTCAACAACAGCACGCAGCCACACATGCCACCTCATCTATTCACACACACATAGACTAATGTGGAAGCATATATAGTCTATGATATCACTTTGTACTTAGCTCCTTCGAACATGACGATTTTACTGCTCGCTATCTTGACCCAACTGTGCTTCCTCAACACTTGTAGCTCCACCATCTTTGACACTCTTGTTGCACAATCAAAGTAGATACAGTCATTATTGACACCATGGGTTCATGCAAAACAAGCTGTGCAGGAAAAGTGGAGGCATTTGTTCAAGTAGATCACATGCAACATCAAGTGAGTGAAAACTCTGGTCCAATTTTGAAAACTCTGCCACATTGGTACTGCTGAAGCAGTTTTTGGAAATTGGATTATTTCCCAAAATGGCGGAGCTTATGTAAGTAATGAATATCCAATGCAAGTGAAAATTCAAAAAAAAACTTGAGTTTCCGAAAAAAAAGAAAAAGAAACTGAAACCCCCTTTTCTGCGCAATGTGTCTCCAGCGGCCCTGTGGCACATATGTGTCACTTTATTCCACATATGGACACACTGACCATCAGTAGAGACATATATACCTGGTATTACTTTGTACTTAGTTGTCTCCTAATCACAATAGGGGGTTTCAGTTTTTTTTTTTTTTTTTTTTTTTTTTTTTTTGGAAAATCATGTTTTTTTTTTTTTGAGTTCTCACTTGTGTCAAATATTCATTTCTTATGTAAGCTCTGCCATTTTGGAAAATACTCTAATTTTTGAAAACACTGCTTCAGCTGGACAGTTGTGGCAGAGTTTTCAGAATTGGACCTGAGTCTTCACTCATGTGATGTTGCATGTAATGTGGCACATGATGTACTCACACAAATGCCTCCACTTTTCCTGCACAGCTTGTTTTACATGAACCCACAGTGTCAATAATGACTGTATCTACTTTGATTGTGCAACAAGAGTGTCAAAGATGGTGGAGCTACAAGGTGGTTTGGATTCTGGAACAGGTGGTTTGGATTTTGGAACTGCTTCATTTTCTGGCTGACACTTTATGTTCTGGCCAACAATACCCTAACTCTTGGTCTAAAAACACAGCTTACATTTGGGGGCATCAATTTTCTGGCCTTTTTTCACTATTCGAAGACTCTAGTTTTCGAGGGCAAAAAAAAAACTGAAACCCCCTAATGATCACTATCTACTTCGCTGCTCCTCGCTTGTGCATTCCTCAACAGACTCAAGCTTCGAAGTTTCATCGAGTTTCAGATGAAGAGCGTCGTCGAGATCAATCGAAAGTGCGTTAAAGTCAATGATCACAAGTGTCGATTGTGATAGATGATTCTATTCTAGGTACATGTTGAATCGAGTGCTTATATATGTCTCAATCCTCCTCATGTGCATGTGTGATACTAAGGGCCAATAAGGCAACAGCATGAGGGAGTGAGTGAGAGGTTGAGGAGGTAAACACCAGCTGCCTGATGACCAGCATCTTGGGCTTCGACAGTTGGCCCAGACAATGCACTAAGTCTGAGTGAGCAAAGTTGGTGATTGGGTGTGTGGGCTTGGCGAAGGTTGCATTTGCATGCATCAATTGCCGAGGTGTCACATGCTTCAACTGTTTCAAGATCGCAAGGCAAGATTCAAGCACCCCAAAGTTCGCTCCAGAACGGTCGATTGTTTAACAATCCGAAGACAACTCTCAAAATTTTCTCTCAAGACTTCATGGCGTCGAACAAACGCTCCCAAAGACTCAAGTTCACGAACCCCTCTCACGCCTCCTTCTCAGACCACAACCACAACGACACGACAGAGTGTGAATTTGATTGACTCGCATGCGTACAAGCAACCAAAACAAGAGTGTGGGGTGAGCGTGTGTGTGCCACCGTACCAGTGAAAGAACTTGAGAAACGTGAATCGAAATTGAGGGATCACAAATCTGAACAATCAGTTCAGGCTCTAAACAGGAAGAAATCTGGGGCTCAACCGTGCCAATTACACTCGCCAATCCGCTCCGCACACCACTGAGGCTGCAAGGGCTCAGCCCTAACTCCCAACTCCACCATTCTCCATCTCAAATCTATCATCCTACCCAAAGCTTCGACCTTATCTCTCTTTTTACCCTTCTCCACCTCTTCTCCTGTCCACCAGATTTCAGCGCCTGCTGCAGCCCTAGGCCAAACTTTTTGTTCGAGGTTGGTTGCATCGATGGTTTCGGACCAGATCGCGTGCTCTCCACCTACAAACCTCTGCTGGATAGCCCGCTTGGCTTTTTCATCGGTGGGAGCGAGGGTGGCGGTGGAGTTGGCGATAACTACTGCAGGGTCGAAAGAGTATGTTTGCTGCCACGAAACGTAAGGACACCAGAGGTTGGAGGTGAAATTGCCGAGGAAAGATGCTCCACCGCAGTCCAGGTAGAAGTAGCTGACGGGTGCAAGGACAATGTTGATGTCGGGGTTGTTCTTGAGTGCAATAGCGGAGTTGTTAGCGTCGTTCCAAATCTCCACCAAACTATCCTTGCCTAAGGTCTTGGCAACGGTGGGGAACTTAACCGCCATCTCTTCCCAAACCATACCCTTCTTCCCAACTCCACCAGTCTCCTTTGTTACCAGCGTCATAAACTTGTTAAGGTAAGGCTCCATATTGGCTTCGGAGGAGAGATTCCAACAGTGGAAATTTGGTTCATCTCCACCAGAGCTGACGTAGACCGACTTGGAAAGGGACGAAATTTTTCGTAGGAGTGAAGAAACGAACTTAGAGATAGGGGCGGGGACAGAGAAGGTTTCGACATTGGTGGTGTCTGAAAAGGTCCAGTTAGAGACAAGTCGAAGCTGACCAGAAGGAGGCTCAGCAGCAACACTAGCCCAATCCGGATTATTGGGACAAGCCATAAGTGAACCATTATCCACCGCTTCAACTCCAGCTAGCATGTGTCCTGGCATATCCGTCTCAATAATCACATTCACACCCCGTGCAGCTGCGTAGGCGATGATTCCCTTGATGTCTTCCTCGGTGTATACCATCCTCTTGATTTCGCCTGAAGGGGTTTTGTAGAATCCATAACTACCCTTCTCGGCTAGAATAGCAAGGTCCTTGTCGTTGAAGGAGAGGGGGAAGGACTGAGTATCAGTCGCGTGCCAATGAAGTTGATTCATCTTTACGAAACCCATCGTGTCGATAAGTTTCTTGATTGTTTCGATGGGGAAGAAGTTTCGAGCCGTATCCAACAACAGCCCTCTGTAGGGATAGGCTGGTTGATCAGAGATGGTGAGTGGGACGTTTTGGATGAACCTTGTTCCTCGCTCAACTTTCCCTTCAGCTGTCGGTGGAAGAGCGTAGATAAGCTGCAAAAGAGTCTGCAACCCACGCAAAGCGCCAAGCGAGGTATAGGAAGTAAGCTGAATCGAAGCGCCGTTATCCGGAACAAACAACCGATACGATTCAGCGTCGAGGTATCCAAGATCCCCAGGAGCCGACTTATCAGTTTCGAGATTAAGAGGCTTGGTGGAGCAGTTGTAGGAGAGCTCACGAATGGCGTGTGCTGAAATACTGCATTTGTTATCCCAAACGCCGGTTTGGACGGAGGAATCTTCGATGACATGCTTATCAGCTCCCGCATCTTCATCCTCACTAGCAACAGCAGACTTCCTTCCCTGGAAGGGGGTCTGCAGTCCCCTCCTCGACACCTTCTTCGCCTCACCAGCTCCTTTTCCACTCTGAGTGTCTTCAACTTTACCCTTAACCCCAACACAAGGATTAGGCATAGTCTCGGGCATCAACTCCAGCACCTTAATCTCGACACTAGCGATCAGTGGCGCTTTCTCCAACCCCCCTCGCAGCCCCTCCCCACGGTCAGGGGTAAGAGGCCAAAGATCGACACTATTAGCCAGTTTAGCCGCTGCATCAATAGCTTCGGTGAGATCGGAGGGGACTCGACTGCGATCGGTGGATTGGACGAGGTTGAAGGAAAGATCGGTGGAGATACGAGTGATGGATTTGGAGGTGGTTAGGGATTTGGGTTGAGGCCAGAGAGCGACTGCGGAAGAGGCAGCTGTGGTTAGGATGAGGGCCGTGCGGATGAACCACATGGCGAAAGAGGTTTGGAGGGGGGCAATATGGGGAAAGGGGGATTGCGATGAGGGAAAGAAAAGAAGGGGGGTGGACGGGAGGGGGTTGCTTATGTCTTTCTCCACCCCTTGGGGATAAGAGAAAGGGAGAAGCGAGCGCGTGAACAAATGACGAAACGTGTGGGAGGACTCAAAAGGAGAAGGTCCGTGCTTGGTATTGGACCCACCGACAACGAGGGCAATGGCGGCGGGCACGTGAGGTGTTGGTTACGTGGCAGTGCTCAGGCACAGCGCGGGTGGTGGTGCGAACGAAAGCCAAGACGCTGCAAACGTGACCCTTTTGAGTTGGCGCTAATGCAGTCCTCATGAGAAGGTGAGGAGGGTTTAGTGCGGTTAGCTCGGTTCGTTCAAGAGCAGAACGCATAGTATCATCCCAGCTTGACTCACACGGCCGCACAAGTGAGGATCAGTCGGACGATACAGAAGCCGATACAGAAACCATATTAGATTGCAGGTCAGCGAGGTGGCTCGCTGGCCCAAAAGCTCCCAGCCCGCCATAAGGGGGCCAATCGAGCGCAGAGAAGAGCGGGTCGTATAGGCGGAACGTAGAGGGAATCGGGTGGGAAAAGAAATATTAGCAAGGTCGATGTTGAAGCGACGCTTGCCGAAATGAGAAGATGATGGTGGGAAGGTGAAAGAGGAGTGAGGAGTAAACAGTTGAAGTGCGTCGGCATTCCAAACCGGATTCATGAGTTCTAACCAAGACACTGAGAAACCGAGATCGTGCATAAGCGATGCACACAATGAAGCACATAAGGGTTGCCATAGCAACGGCTCAGGAGTATTGCAGAAGGCGACAACTCAGGAGCACCAACATGTTTGGAGACAGTGATAAGGTATATATATGCTCGTACCGTCACATCCCACCATAGCAAATATAAGCATTCAAGAAGTCATACGCCTGAGACAGAGGAGCCTGATCGTGGCTTCAGGATAGTGTATCCTACTTTATAATCTTCAATTCAAACAAAGCCGATTGAGCGGGTTGTGACGCGTGTGGTCCTGCTCAGTTGCGCACCCCTCGTCACGTGCAGCACGCGTGAGTGACTTCTTTGACAGCTGCACGATGAGCCACATCTAACATTTTTAACGCTTGGACCCTTCTTTGCCTCACTCACATCCTTGGCACAGGCCCACAGATCCACCGAGATGCTATGCATGTAGCTCAGATTCACAGTTCGTCCACAACAGGAATGTGGTTTTCGTACGGAGATGGATGTATTGATTGCAGAGCAAAACAGGGGCCGAAGCCGAACAAGGGTAATGAAAAGGGGATTGTCTCGGGGTGGGACGGTCAGTAAGACTTTGGAAGTCCGAGAACGTGTTGTCCCAGATAGTTGAGGATCATTTCTCGGCTGTCCCCACACGCAAACACACAACACACAAAGGGAGGGTTGGTTGTCAGCGGTACTCGATCTGGTGAGTTCCGGAAGGAAGGTGGGAAAGGGGTTAACTTACCTGACAGGCGCGAGACGCGGAACCAAGCTGTTTTAACCGCCGGGAGCGTGATTCGGTATCAAAAGCAACCCCAATGTGAGTGAATCTCACCATCATCAACACCCTCAACGTCACTTCTTACTCACATTTCCCTGAAGTAGCGCTCAACATGATAATCCTTCGCATACCCCATTCCACCCAGCGTCATAACCGCCGTCTCACAAGCTCTGAACCCAGCCTCTGCAGCAATGTATTTCGCTGCATTAGGCTGTGCACCCGAATCACTTGCTCTATCATCATACATCCTCGCTGCGGCGTAGGTTAGGTGTCTTGCTGCTTCCAACTCAGCCCAAGCTTTCGCTAAGGGGTGTTGAATCGCTTGCATCGCGCCGATTGGCTTTCCAAAAACTATTCTCTCCCCTGCGTATCGCACTGCGCGTTTGAGTGCTGCGTAGCCCGTACCTAGTGCTTCTCCAGCAAGCAAGCACCTCTCGGCGTTCATTCCGTGTAGGACATACTTGAATCCTTTTCCTTCCTCCCCGATAAGACAGGAAGATGGGATTTCGAAGTCATCAAACCAAACCTCGTTCGCATCTACCGCATTCCCTCCCATCTTTGCTATTCTCCGCATCTCCACCCCTTTCGCCAACTTCGCCTTCCCCTCATTCTCCGGCGTATTTGGAACATCCCTAAGCGGGGCAAAGAACAGACTCAACCCCGAACTTCTCCTCCCTTCTTCCGGCTCAGACGTCCTCACTAAAAGCACCATGTGACTCGCAACTTGAGCTGAGGAAGTCCAAATCTTACTCCCATTCACAACATACCTATCTCCCCTCTTCACCGCTTTCGTCGTAAGCTTAAGTGTCTCCGAACCGGTGGTGGGTTCTGTGATGCCAAAGCAAGAGCGGATACGTCCATCGATCATCTTTGGTAACCAATCCTCTTGTTGGTTAGGGGAAGCAAATTCGATGATGGGCATGAGTGGGTAGATGTTGGCATGGATCGATTGGGCTCCTGCGATAGCAGCGCCTGATTCGGCGATGGTTTGAAGCATGATTGTAGCTTCAGATATTCCGAGTGAGGCCCCACCGAAGGAGGTGGGCATGCATATGCCGATCCAACTACCGGAAGAGAGTGCTGAGTAGAGCTCGTGTGGATATTCCGCTTTTCTGTTTGTCATGTATGGGAAAGAATGAGTCGGCGAGATGAAGGGGGAATTAGGGATGAGGGAAAGGCGGGAGGGAAAGGAGGACTCACTGATCCTTCTGCATCCAATAATCGTCATCGAATTGAGCACAAACGTCTTGGATTGCACGTCGAACGTCAATTTGGGATTCGGTGAGACCTTGTTCGGACATTCCGGTGAATTCGGCTGCTGCTTTTGGTGTCGGTGTTGAGGAGAAGGTCCTGCTCAGAGCGACTGGGCTCTTCCATGGTACTGAAGGTGTTGCCTTTCTCCTGCCGGTCAAATACGACGAGCTCGGTCTGGCAATGATAGAGATGAAGCAAGTGGAAGTTCGAGTTGCCGCAGCTGGAGTCATGAAGACTGCACTGGTTGATCTTGCTGCGATCATCTTTGTCGAAGTATTGAGTCTTAAGATGGTGGTGGGAAGAAGGAGATGTAGCAGCCGGAACAGCGCTCGTGTCACCGAAAGCCTGGGGGACGACCTGCATTGGCAACTAAACTCCGCCGCCGTAAAGTGTGGGGGGAAGCTCGTCTTCCCCGCGCTTACGTTCGACCAGTAATTACGCACTTTTTCTCCACCCTCAAGCCGCAACATCCATCACGCACAATCAACTGCAAGTTTTCACGCTCGGCTCTCATGACCTCTTGCCAGAGCACACCCAACTCTCTCCGCCAAAGATTGTCACTAAAGCGACCTGGCAGGCTATCAGGTCACAAACTCTTTCCGCTCCAACGTAAAGAATTAAATTATGCGGGAACATGATCACAAAGAGAAAAGACTTGTCACCGGAGAAGATGTCTGTTCTCCAAGTTCGGAGCATTTGGGAGTGAAATGCCTATACTTCAATGTTGTGTGAATCGGGTACACCAGCTAAGGGACTAGCTGGTGTAGTGGTTTTACTGCTCACTATGTTTCGATTTGGTTACCCGATTCCCGATTGCTGACACACTACTCTAGTGACAAACCCGCTACTTGCTGGAGTTCCAGGAGGGAAGCGCAGCCACACTCTAGGATGCAAAGGCTGAGGTCCCGGATGCGTTCCCAGCGTTGGGTGGTGATGGAGGATGTCTGCATCACAGAGTCAAGTTTGATGCCAAGGATATCTAGACGAGTGGTACCCCAGACTGTCTTCTTGCAGCTTATACATGTATACACAGAATGCTGGAGGACATATATATGCATTTGAATCATCTTGTACTTAGATCATGGTTATTATTGCAATTGGTACTTGTGATCAATGCTATTTGTCACACACCCTACAACAGTTGTCAAGGGTGATAACTCCCCGTTGATGCGTGTAACAATGTTTTAGATATCCTGGTCGACTGTCTCACTTCCTCCCAAAGAGACTAGGTACCCTCAACCGACCAAACTTCGAAGTGGCAGTACTAAGGATGCTCTTGTTCTCCGCAGGATAAGCGCCTGTCGACCCACCTCCCATACTCGCCGACTCGCTAAACGTCGTCCTCGTTTTCCTCGGCTTCAAACTCAACCTCTTCCCACCTCGCTGGTTGCCTCTACCAAAATCGTTTTGAAGCTGACCGAGCACATCTTCCGACTGCCATTCAGGCAATTTGTTCGCCAGCAATTCGCAGAACAGTGGCTGCAATCTCCTGATGTGCTTGAGACTGGGGGGTGGGTAGCCAGTGGCAAACTTGGGCACTTTGAGCTCCCCTGCTTCCTCTTCACCTGCAAGATGCTGGTTGAGGGGGTCGACTTCGTCATAGAATGCCCAAGGGAAATCGTACTTCTCTGTACCACGTACACCATCGGCGCAAGCACCGTTATCAATCGTCTCGCCATTGTCCTCCATCAGATCGCGCATCATCGCGTCAATGTCCTTGATATCGCGGCGCATAGCCTCATCCGTCAGATCTTTTTCCGAGACTCCTCCGGGATGAGCAGCTTCAGGCTTGGCAAGAAGATAGTTCTTCCTCGCCTCGAGCTCGTATCGCACCTTCATCCATTTCGTGTATCGAGCGAGCTGATCAGCTTCAGCGATGATCTTCTTGACATCCGAATCGGTCAGTCGGGCGTCCTGGAGAAGCTCCTCGAAGTTGATCTCCAAATTCGGTGCACGACGGTCAGCAGGATTCGCAGGGTCAGTAGTCGACAGAGCCATGTAGTCCAATCCGAGCTGACACCAGTCCCAGAGTCGCTTTGAGATAGGTGCGCACTCGTGGAAGAGTGCATACAACGACTGCTCGTGACGCGCAGCAAGCGCAATCCAGGCTTCAATACTGTCATCGCCCTTCTTCTTTGTCTCGAGCATATCATCGATGAAGTTCTGAAGATCGCCGAGTCGTTCTGAAAGGTTGGAGCTGCGAGCTATCTCGCGAATCGCAGGGTAGAAGACAGTTTCGAGCGAGTCCTTGATGATAGCTGGGATCAAACTGCCACTGGCCATCTCGACGGCTTGTTCACGATCGCGGTGCTTGAGGGACTCGCGGAGGAGCAACTTGAGCAAGGCAAACTTGCGAGCGCGGGTATGTTCGGCACCTTGTGCGCCCCAAGATGGCATCGGTGGTCGATCGGCACCGGCTGGTGTCGTTTCGGGGTAGGCGAGGTTCAAGTCACCACGGTAAGGAGAGAGTGCAAAGCAACGTTGAAGTTCAAGAACATGGTTCTCGGCTTCCTTGCTGAGCTTCCCATCAGCAGAGAGCAAAATGGTGGTAAGAATATCCTCACCACGCTTCTTCGCCTCGCGTTGCATCTTGCGTGACTCGACTCGGTCACCACGACGAACGTAGTCTTCGACCTTCTTGGTGAGTTCAGGATCGTCGATCTCCTTTCGAATCGGCACGACGAACTCCTTCTGGATGCACGAAGCCTCTTTGCCAATGACGTATGAGAAAACGCGTTGAATGAGCGACTTGGCTCCACCAGGTCGAGCCAGCAGCAACGACAAGATACCAGAGATCATCGTCTCGGCATTGGCGTACTTGAGCAGCTGTTTAGCACCCCAGTATGGAGCCAGCACGTGAATGCCTCTGACCATCTTGAAAAGGTCATCAGCATTAGGCGCTGTTACGAACAGCGTGTGAAAGATGTAAGCAGCGTGGATACGTGCAAACTCGACCGAGTTGCGATAGTGTGGCGGCAAATTACGAATCATGCTGACATCCAGGTACGAGATAGCTTCTTCGAGACCAGTTTCACTCTCGATGATGCTCTCCTTAAACGCACACCAATCGCGGCGTACTTTGGCCCATTCCTTGCCTGCAGCTTGCCAGACACGACCTCCTTCGCCCTCGTAAAGGTTGTCGATCTGTTTCATGAGGTCAGCGTCGATGCGCTCGGGCTTGTCAAGGCCACGCTTGACAGTGCCCTTGCCCCAATTCTTGCCGACACCCCATTTTTCGGTGCCAGGCTCGCCAAGACCAGGTCCATGCGTCTCGCCTTCGCCACGAACACCGAAACCACGAGCAACAAAGCTGCCCAGGTAGCGGGTAGCAGCGAGAGCGTACAGACGACGCTTGGAGATCTCACCTCGTTCGACCGAGGAGGAGAAGTTGCGAGCAGCCATCTCGTCAAAGAACGGCTGAATACGCTTCTGCCAGTACTTTTCAGGCGCCTGATCTAGACCGGGGAAAGTGTGAAGGTGAACGTGGAAGAGGTGTCGAAGCAAAAGCGGTTCTTGCAGATCTTCACCCTCGCGCATCGCCTCATCGTTGGCGTAGGGGTCGCGAGCGGCACCAGCGTACTCGCCACCATCCTCACCGCGCTCAAAGGTCTTGACACGAGTCAGCTTAGAACGCTGGCTGGAGAAGGGGTAGCCGTACTCTGTCAAAGCACCAAGCTTCTCAACCTCTGCCCATTCGGACTGCATCTGCAACATGACAAGTGCCTTGAGCAAATAGTGGCGCTGTTGGGGCGTGAGCGGCTTGACACCCGAATCGCGCATTTTGGGACCTGTGGCGCCATGAGGACGACGACGGCTGGCTCTACGAGCTTCGGCTCTCTTTCCACGCTCGGGCTCCTTGTTGCGAATGGCAAGCAGGCGCTGTTCCTCAGCCTCCTCCTTTTCGCGGATAGCACGGTCGCGAGCTTGAGACTCTTCTTCGCGCTTACGTTCGAGCTGAGCCTGTCTGGCTTCTTGCTTCTTGACCTTTTCGCTGCGCTTGGCTTCCTTTGCGGCAAGGGCGGCAGCAGCAGCAGCGGCAGAAGCTTCCTCTTTGGCTCTGCGCCTCTCTGCTGAGCGCTCAGCCTTTTCAGCACGAGCCTGTGCTTCGACTGCCTTTGCTTCCTGCTCACCTCGAAGCTTGGCGGCACGTCGCTGCTCCCTTTCGGCCTCAGAGCTGCACTTGGCGGCGAGTGCGCCGGCTCCGGCAGTGGCAGTGGCACCACCAGCCAAAGCAGCGATGGCTGCAGCAGGGGTGGCACGCAAACGCTTTGGCGTAACTTGCTCTTCCTCCTCTTCCTCGTTATCGTCCTCCTCACTGTTTTCAGAGCCTTCAGACTCGGGCAGCGGCTTTGCCTTCGATTTTGCAGGAGCTGGAGCTGGCGTCTTGGCCGATGCAACAGCGGGAGACTTGCGGGTGAAGTTCATGTAGCCCTTGGGAGCAGAACGACCATTGGAGCTGGTAGCAACCAGCTTCGACTTTGACTCGGAGGCGGCGGGAGTCTTGGATACGGCAGCACCAGAGATGGCTGGAGTGGGCCGCTTGATGGCTGAGTGGAGACCATCCGAAGTTTGTTCGGTGCTTTCATCCGAGCCGTCTTCGTCCGAGTCCTCCTCATCGTCGCTCGTGGTTTCGGGAATCTTCTTGCTGGTACCGTTAGCAGGTGGAGCGGTGGAGGCAGCTTTTGACTTGCCGTTCAACGAAATCTTCGAAGTTCCAGCCAGAATCATAGGGATCGCATCATCGTCGTGCACATCAGTAGGCTCGGAGGCATCTTCGAGCAGAGCATCGTCAATGGAAGAGATGTCACTCTCGCTGTTTTCCTCTTCGTCCTGTTCAACGGCACGTTGAGCTTGTTTGCTCCTGTCTTGCTTCTTGACAGCGCTCGAAGCAACGTCACCAGTAGAGACACCAGTGATGGCAGCAAGTGCTGCCTCGCGCGAAGCCTGCTGAGGAGGAGGGCCAGATCGAGAGCCGGACAAAGCTCGTTCGCGTCTCTCGGGCTGAGTCTGAGACTCGGGCTTGGACTTAACCTGAGACTGTGTTCGAGAGCGAACAACGGCGTCAGTGCGAGAGACTGTGGGGAATTTGGGATCGGTGCTCTCAAGAGTAGCAAGTGTTCTCGCACGCTCCCTGTCCATGCTTCTTCTGACAGCACTGGCGCTTCGCTCGAGGTTGATGGGATGAGAGCTGCTTCGCGAACGTTGAGAAGCCTGACGCAAGTCACGGTCATCCCGATACCAGCGAGGATCAGACTGGTCGAAACCCTTGGCAGCGAGATTGGCAGCGCTACGACGCTTCTGCATGGCAAGCAGCATCTCTTCCTCCTCGATACGGGCGAGCTCCATCTCGCTCTCGTCACGTCGATCGCCAGGCTGACGGCTGCTGTATCGGTTGAGACGGGAGTCAGTCCTCTCCAGGCGAGGACCGCTAGAGCCGTTGGCACCATGGCCACGGCTGCTACCAGAGGTGCGACTGAGTACACGACCAAGCATACCGCCTCCGCTGCATCCGTTCGAAGACTGAGATCTGGCGACAGAGCGATCAAGGTTGAGCTGAGCGCCTCGGTCTAGATCATCGCGACGAGCTTCACGGCTGTTATATGAGCTGGGCTTGCTAGGCCTACTGCTGGGTCGAGTGGTGGTGGACCTGCGTCGAGGGCCGCTCTCCAGCTTGCTAGGTCGAGTAGAAGTGGCCTTTCGCCTGTAGTCGGCTTCGAGATCGCCGTTGGAGACGGCACGTGTAGACCCACGCGAGGTGTATTGGGTGTTGGAGAAGTCTTCATAGGGTTCAGGCAGGCGGTAGGGGTCACTCTCCTGGCGACGTCGGCCATTTACGGGAGACCCACCTCGTTCGGACCTGGGGGCAGCACCACGGTTGGAGCGAGCCTCGGCTTCTGGACGACGAGAGGGGTTCATGCTGCGACGTAGGTTGGAGGGTCGATCTCCTTCGACATCGTCTTCTTCCTCGTCGAGGTCGTCTAGTTCGTAGCGATCATCCCGGTTTTCGAAATCGGGAAGAGCAGGTCGACGAGTACTGTTGGTGCGAGAGCGTGGAGCGGGCAGACTCTCGAATCTGCGACGGCCATCAACTGAGCGATGTGAGCCTTGACGCGGGTCAGAGTCGTAGTGACGACTGGAACGCTTCGAGCGAGCATCGATGTAGGCGTCAGAGTTGTCGCCGCCAATGGCAGCAGCACGCCTGCCGTTGAAGGAACGCTCGCTTTGCCTTGCACCGGAAGTATTACTGTCTCGACGCGAGCGTGGGAAGGTAGGATAGTAAGATGGGCTTGTAGGCTCGGCAACAGGCTCTCGAGGAGGCAAACCCATGTTGGTGAGAATGCGATGCCTATCGGGCGGGTCTCGTCGTGATCCTGCAGACATCTTGATTAGGTCCTTCGACGTCGAGGATGAGCCAAGAGTATATGGATGGATGAAGGGAGACGTTGGTGATGCTGCTTGCTGCGCCCTTTCGACTCGGTCAATCTAAACCGTCGGCAGAAGCAATGTGGTCGGCGTCTTCTTGTCGCGGTTCCTAATGCGATGTGAGGTGTCTACTGCGGTCGGGCAGGCTGAGGGTGTGCGGGGTACAGAGCTGGCCAGAAACTGACAGCCACAGCGATACAATGTGGAAGAGCTGCAGTTGCAACTAGCGTTTGTGATCGGAAGGGGAGGATGTCGACGAGAGGAAGGAAGGCGATGAGGATGACGGAGAGGGGGTGTCGGTGGACGAGAGGCTAGCAAGCAAGCAAACAATGGCCGACAGAGACAGAAGCACGGACGGTAAAACGAGGCTGAGTCTCACTGACTGACCAACTGCGAGGAAGGATGGGGACGATGTGGCTGAGCTCAGGTGGTCAGTTTGACTGGGACGGTAGCCTCTAATAAAGTAAGGAGGTCGGACTTTTTAGCTTGCAAGTGAGACACGAGCAAAGGACGAGTCTGCGACCCAGTCGAGGTGAAAGCGGAATGCCTTGCTTCTTCTCGCTGTTTGACAGGCAGAAGGCAGGCGCTTTGCCGAGGCGAGGTAACCAAACAGATGGACGGGGACGGATACTGTAGACAGACAGACAGGCAGGCGGCGCAAGGCTTGGAAGCGAGATTGAAGCGAGGCGATAGTTAATGCGACACGAAGGCGGCGGGGCAGCGACTTATCCAGAGTTGTGATTGTGATTGTTGAGCAAAGAGCAAGCAAGGAACGGCGGAACAAGAGCGTCCATACTGACACCGTGTGAATTACAGCACTGCACCGGCGAGGTCGCGTCTGATTCGTGTGCAAAATCTGCCCTCGCCAAAAGCGGAGACCCAAACCGGCTCTAAGACGGCATGCCATGTCCGTGCGTCGGTCTGTATACCATAGGGATTGCCAATGAGAAGAAGAATAGCCCAATGGTTTGTTATGTCATCTTCTTCGTCCATCGCTCACTTCTACTGTGAGAAAGTCGGCTGATCCGCTATCGACAAGATCAAAAATGACCAACATTGTCGGCTCTATTCCGAACAGGCAAGCTGGAAAATAGAGAAGAAAAAAAAAAAAAAAAGAGAAAAAAAAAAAAAAAAAAAAAAAAAAAAAAAAAAAAAAAAAAAAAAAGGCACAAATGTGGGATGCAGTGTGAATCCGGAAGAGAGTGAGGCTGTGTAAAAATGTGGAGCGTGCAGGCTTGGATGGTAGGACGCGGTTTGATTACGTAAGGTGACGACGATGAACGTAAGTACAGATGGATGGTCTTCTCTACAGGGGCTATTGACTAAGTACCACTTCTTATATACACTTCTTATATATCTACAACAGTGGAGCGGAGCATGACGGGGAAACTCAGCGGCAAAACTACCTCCTCCCTCCTCGGACATCTACTTAGCTGGTATGCCGGTGCAATACTGGGTGATTGGTCTGGCTCGAGCCGATATACCTGCTACCCTCTAACATTATCATGGGGCCCTGGGCATGGGGTCCTGCCCCCCTCTGCGGGTTAAGCGCGAGGCAGACACGTTTGGCGTGTCTGATCTGAATCTCTGCGAAAATGCCATTACAAGCGTTGAAAAGCCTCTTACTGCCTACCCTTGGTAGCCTTCTTGTTGAGCGCCTTCTTCTTCTGCTGCAACTTGGCCGTCTCTTCGGCTCGCTTGCCTGAAGTGTAGTTGAGCTTCTCGTACAGCTTTCGCTGACGGTTGCTCATCATCATCTTGGACATCTCCTTAGCCTCTTGCTCTTCGGTCTTGCGAGGTGCAGAGACGCCGCCAGACGAAGCCTTGGAAGTCTTCTTGACCTGCTTGAGTGCCGCAGTGTGCTTGCGACGCATGTCTTCGAGTGCGTCTTCGCCACCAGCAGCTTCGGCTTCGAGCTCGGCAGCATCTAGAAGACCAACTTCGGCCTTGTCGGTGGGGTCGGCCAAAAGAGCTGCAAGTGCTGGGCGTGATGTTGCGTTCGACTTGGTGGTCATTGTCTTCTCCTCACTGCTCTCCTCCTGCTGCTCGTCTGCATCCTCATCAGAGTCAATCCCGACATCTTCGTCCGACTCGTCGTCATCCTCAGAGGCAACAGCGTCGGCATCGGCCTCGAGACCAAGCTGCTCTCTTGCCTCTTCGGGTACGTAACCGCCACGACGAGCCACCTCGGCATCATCGACGAAGGGACTCAAGTGTGGTGGTAGTGTCTGACCGGGACCGTAAGGACCAGCAGGCAACAACTTCCTTGCGTTGGCGCAGTCGACGATGTACTGAGGCTGAACGAACACGCGCTTGCCAGGGTATCGTTTCATGCCGCTTGCTGGTACTGGCCTGTCGATGATGTGATGTGTGATCCTTGCATCGTTCTCGTCCACTGCACTACCTGCACCTGCTACCATGTCCCATCCAATACGTCCGGGAAGCGCACCGAACGATCGTAAAACAAACTCGATCACCGCTCGTGGGCATTCTCGGGAGATGTAAAAGACGTATGGTTCGAAGAGTCCATTGGCAGCACCTTCGCTTGCTGCAGAAGCTGCCTGAATCTCGTCGAATGTTGTCAAGTGTGCTGTCGACTCTTGCTCCTCTGTCGACTTGGATGGCTGCTCGACAAACTGCTCCTCCTCTCCTGTGTTGCTGACGTCTTGTATGTCCTCATCCTGCTCGTCCTCGGCATCACCAACAAGGTTGCCAGACTTGGAGATGGCCTTGATCTGCTTCTTGACGTCCTTGGCCGAGACCTTCTTGCCCGATGCAGTGACGACAGTGTTGGAAGAAGACGAAGATGCTTTACCGTTGGTGATGGCCGGTGTGACGTTCTCACCACGCAAGACAGCAGCACTGGCAGGATCCAAACTGAGCGCACCAAAGCCAGCAGCCTGCTCGTCCTTGGCAGCGTCGAACTTGGGCGGGTAGACGAGGTTCTCATCCGAGTAGAGCTTGAAGAGAACAAAGCCAAGCAGGGTTTGGTAGAGTTCGAGGAAGGTGTACATGATGCGGAAGTCGATGTCGGATGGGATGTGCTGAGTGAAGAGGTAAGGGACAAGCCATGTGATTGTCTCGCCGTTGACCTCAGCCTGGAAGTAGATACCCTTGATACTGAGGAAGACCTTCTTGAGAGCCTTGGTCTTCATCACGTACAGCTGCCATTCGGCACAGAGGCGCGAGCAGGTAGCAATCACATCGGCGGAGACCTTGTCGGTAGCGGGCAGGTTGGCAAAAAGTGTGAGCAGAGAGAGCGCATCGTCGATGTCCTTGAGCGAGTCGCGGAAGGTTGGGTATCGCTCCTTGATGATGTGATCGAGTCGGTAGGTGGGCTTGCTCTCGTCAAGGTTCTTGGCAGCAGCCCATTCTCTTCGGCCAATGGCACGCGAGAGCTTCTTGGCAAAAGTCTTGTGCTCACGCAATGACTGAAGCACAGGCTCGTGCTGCAAGTAGGCGATGTCCTTGGAGAAGAAGAAGGTGGTAGGAGCCGATGAGCCCTTGTTGGCCTTGCGAATACTCTTTGGCTGACGAGGGAAGATACCCTTGAGAATGCAGAGACGACGGAAGTCGGCAAGGGTGACCTGGAGCTTCTTGATGGCCTGGTTACGGGTGATGTAGTTCTTGGCCGCACCCGACTTTCCCTTTTGCTTCATCTTTGCCATGTTGGGCGAGTCCTATGTGGCGCTCGCTAGGTGGAGGCCGTGCGGTGAGTCTAAGGGGAGAACGTGAGAGCTTTTTCAGTGTTTGGGTGACGGATTTGGGACCTGATGAAGGTGTTAGGCGAATGTGGTGGTCCAAGGAGGTGTTGGGTTGCTGATGTTCAGGACGGAGGGAGGGATGAAGATGAGGCTTCAGAAGCGCTGAGCAAGGTTGAACTGAAAAGAACGAGGCTTGTGGACCCACAGAAGCAGCTCATTCAGGGTTCTCTTTCTTTCTTCTCTTCTCGCAGCTCACTTGCGAAATTTTCTCAGTTGAATTTCAGCAAAAAATTTCCCGCCGAATGCCACTTTTTCGCTTTTTTGACTCACGTGATGAAAGTGCGCGAAGCCGATTTCCGTGTATGTTTGTCCCAAAGAGACTTAACAACTTCTACTCGAAAAGCATGATTCCCTCTCTCTTTGTGGACTTGGAGCATTAGATGATCGCCAAGCTGTCACTAGCTGGTGAAGACTCGAGATGAAGCTGTCTTGGCAAACATGAGGCGGAGTTGGGGTTAGCAAGGAGCAATCCACCGTGCTGAACATGGGCAGATGTCGGTGTGGATCAAACGAGTGGACCCTTTGATAGACCCTTGCAAGGTTGATTCCCTCTTGCGTATGTTCCTGTGTTCCTGTTCTCAAACGTCCACGACTGGCATTCAAGAGAGTCGCAAAGATATAAGTTAGGTGAGGGGAGAGAACTGGTGTCGTCGCGAATCCGGCACCGAGACTCGGTGTGTGCGCTGTCATGGTCGAAAAGAAAAAGGAGTTTTGCAACTCCGACACGGATAGCTATGCTATGCTACTCGCCTGCCTTGGTTGGCTCTTGAGATTCAGTATTCCACATTTCTCAAGCTCCTGCGTGTTCAGCACGCGAGAAGACAACTAGGCCAAAGCCTGCTTAGACCCGGAATCGTCGGTGTTTGGGATTTAGCTTCTTCTTTCTTCTTTGGGATCGACGGAACCGCTCCAGCACCATCACCGAACACAAATGCTCCGCGGCAGAGATTCAAACGTGATGTGCTACAAGGAACAAGTGTTTGCTGATCAAGGAGATTCCGTCGTAGAGGTGGTGTTCTTTCGGCTGCTGACCAGTCTCCTGTTCATGAGACAATGAAAAGAATCTCGCTGGCGCCTTTCGTGTACCAAGGCAGGAAGAAGAGCATGAAGCGAGGGAAGCAAGAGTCCGTTGCAAGTGGTGAATCTGGATTGATGTAGGTTTTGCGCCGCTGTGCATTGCGTCGACTTTGCTGGTAGCTGCTGCTTCTGCTGCCGTTCCCTGGCGCCATGGAATTCGAAAAGCAACAGCCCAGACGTCGCGGGATCTGCAGCGACACACCACAGAACGACGATCCCCTGTGTTGTTTCTCTCTCACCTCGCGCTGTGACCGCTGTTCCTGTTCCTTGAGAATCGTGGATTTGCCTTTGTTTAGACTTGCATTCCTCGACATGAACCTAGTCGCTGGCACCTTTCTCTTCTTCTCCTCTTCTCCTGCAAAGTGTTGATCTCCTCCTGTCTGAGTGTTGCTCTTCATTTGCCTGCGTGTCGCAGGCTCAAACCCACACACACACACAAAGGAGAGTTCGTCAAAGCTGCTTGAGTCTCTGCCTGCCTGTTTGCGGTCAACGAGTAGCAGCCTTGGCCCCCTATTCTCGCTACCTGCCTGTGCCCCTCATCTGACCGTGGAAAGCAGTATAGACTTGCGCTTGTGCCTCCCGGGTCTCCGAACACCTGAACTCTGCACAGCTCGAGCTTGCTACTCCGTCTCATCATCTTACCATCTTTCGTCACCCTCCCTCCTCTCTTCTCCCTCCTCCCTCCTCCCTCCTCCCTCCTCTCCTCTATATCTTCATTGCCTTTCTCCTCTTATTCTCTTCCCCCGCACCATCGGTTCCCCTTGGCTTCGTCCTCTTACCGTCGTCACTCCTTTGACCTAGCCCCCAACGACTTGCTCCTTGTTCGACTCAACGTGTTGTTGCATTCAACCTCTTGAACGAACCCTAGCACCACAATCAAAATGAAGTTCCTCGCTGTTTCTCTCGCTCCTTGGGCCCTCGTTGCCTTGACCAGCGTCTCTTCGGTTGTCGCCATGCCCAACCTCGTCGAGCGACAGACTACCGATGCCTCGTCTTCTTCGGCTCCGTCGCCGCTCACCCCTAGCAGCACCAACGAAGGCACTCCTCTCACGATCCAGTGGGACACCACCGCCAACCAGACATGGAAGAGCATGGAGATCAAGTTCATGACCGGATCCAACCAAAACATGACCGAGCTCTACACGGTCGCTACTGGCATCGACGGTACCAACTCTGGTGCAGGTCAACTTGGTTGGACTGCACCCAACGTCTCTCCCAACGCCAACATTTACTTTTTCCAGTTCACACACAACGGTCAAGACCCTACTTGGACCACTCGTTTCCCTATCGCTGATGCCAGCGGTGCCGTGACTGCTGCTCCTTTCGCTCGTCAGCCTGAGGGTCCCGCGATCCCTTGGGGTAACGGCAGGATCGTTTCGGGTGCCGCTGCTGTTTCTTCTTCTTCTTCTTCGTCCAACTCGTCTTCGTCTACCGCTTCCGCTTCGGGATCGGCAGCTGCTGCTTCGGCTTCGGTTTCATCCGGTGTCGCTTCGACCAACTCGAGCGCTTCTTTGGCTGTTTCCAGTGCCGTTCCTTCGCAGACCTCCAATACCTCGTCGGGCTCAAGCTCGAGCGGCCAGTCTTCTTCTGCCTCGAGCGGCCAGTCTTCTTCTGCCTCAATCACCGCCCGTACCGCCACATCTGCCCTGGTTGGCTGCGTTGTCGCTGCTCTCGCCGGCAGCTTGCTCGTCTAAGAAGTTCGATCTTCGAAAGCAAGGCCTGGGCCTAGTACTGGACGGCCATCTCTTGTTGATGCGGTCGCTCTTGCTCTGGTAGCCAGGCCTTGATCAACGCGTCTACTGAGACTTATAGTAGCGCGGCTTGCCCATCTTCGCTTGCATCTCTTCGTTCACTTGTCCATACTCTTTTTGCATTGTCTTGCACACACATCAAGTGATGACAGTTACAATCAATCATTGGCCAGGGAAGTCACACACTAATGAAGAGTGAGCCTGTCACGAGTTCCATGTTGAGGTGGAAGGTGCTTACCGTCTGTCCGGTCAATGTGTATTTTTTGTGAGAGAATTTCGTGGCCTTAAATTTTTTTTCCTTTGCTATTTCCTGAAGCTCAATATTCTTTCCTTGGGTTTTCATGACTCTGCAGTCCAGGGTCTTATGGGTCAAACGGTGGACTGTCACTTGTGGACTGTAAAACAGCTTGCCCCGGACCTCTTGGCTCCTGTTGACAGGCTACTTCAACCGACAAGCAAGCCAAAAGGAACATAGCGGTGCCGATCCAAGATTCGATCGACGAAGGAAAGAAAATAAATAAAAAGCAAAGCCGAAACCGATAGCGAAACCGATAGCGAAACCGAAACCGAACCAACACCTGCACATACCTCTATTGCACCTGGAAACCATTGCTGAGCCGGATATAAGGATACCAGACTGCGAGTCTCTCCCGACACTGCTTGTTTGTCAAGTTATTGCGGCATGGAACGAGTGCAAATGACCATCCATCGCCATCCATCGCCATCCATCGCCATCCATCGTGTCGGTTTCAAACAATCATTCTGTTCGAACTGGCTCTAAAGAGCAAGGTGACGCGGCGTGACTCTCTCCCCCCTTTTTTTAACTCTCCAAAGGATGAATTGAATCGACTGTGCCGAGAGCCGAGAGACTGCTTCTTTAGCATCAGGAATTGCGCGTTGCTGTGCAAGTTGAGTTTCTCTTAGGCCATACTCGCGCGGAATTTCCGAAAATGCTCTCTCTCTCCTTCAGCCTCTTCGGCAGAAGCCAAATTTCGCGAGCACACGTCTTTGTCAGTGGCTTTGACATCACAGAAAAGTTCAGCCCTATGAATCATACGCGCAGCGCTTCCAGTGACAGATAAGCAAGCAAGCAATATTGCAGACATAGCTAGCCGCTTGACTTTGTGCTCCTGCTTGATCGCAAGCCAGTGTGTCGTGTGCAAGCAGATCGAAGGAGTAGAAGATGAAGAAGAATGGTCCTGTGTGCTTGCTGCAGCCAAGATGGGGACAGAAGAATGGCGGGAGGAAAGGTTTGGCCGGTGCATGACTTCTTGGCTGCCACTTTCCTTTTTGCCTCAGCTTTGATTGGGCAGAAGGCAGCATGCCGAACTGAGTCTGACTTGTCGTGCTGAATGGTAAACTCCGATGAGCGAAAAGAGACACAGGCCAGGCAAAGAGATGAGCGGAAGAACAAGGGGGTTATGGAAATGAGGAAAATTTGACTAATTTCCACTTGGACATGGAGAAGTGGCCCTGGCGCGCCGATGAAGTGTGGGTGGATCATTTTCGCTTGTGTGTGTCGAGGTTGGTTGCTTGTTGGCGTCACCGCTGCTGCTGCGTCCCTGCCTGTCCTGCTCCGGTGTATGCTGCTGCTGCCTTCCCGCCTGTCTTTCTGTCAGCAATCTGCCTCGATTCCAACTCTTTCGCCTTTTGACCGTTGCCGTTGCCGTTGCCGTTGCCGCTCGAATCTCGCCATCGCCTCTCTGTCTCCAACTTTTTGATTTGTGTGCTTGGTCCCGTCGGTTTTTGGCCTTCGCCATCCAGTCAGCCGGTCCTTCATCCTCCACCTCTCCTCCCGACACATCCTTCTGGCCTTCCATCGTCACATTATCCTTGCTTGATTCTGCTCCATTTCTTTTCTTTCTTCTTTCACTACCACCGACCACACGCATCCCGCATGCACACCGCTTGAGGTTGTTTGCTACAATCACGCCCGTGCCAAGACGGAACTACATACATCCTCGCTTCTTCCTTCACGCACGAACGCGTCATTGCACTCGGCGACGGACATCGTCGGTCTCCTTCTCTCGACAAACAGCCATCGCTCGGCTTTGCATTCAGCTGCATTGCTTGCTCCCGTGATCAGTGCTTGCTGATTTGCTTCCCGTCGGTCTACGGAGTCACTCGCATCAGATAAGCTTCCAAGGGGGGGGGGAAAAAAAAAAAAAAGGAAAGAAAACACCCTCAACCCGCTTCGATATAAGGTTTGCGTCCCACACACTCGTCCTCGCACATCACCGGCAATATCAAACACCGTCTCGTGGATTGTATCGACACCCGTATAGACCGAAATCGATTCAGTAACTTCCATTCTTTGCGGACTCTGGATCGACGAAATCGAGCGACTCAGCTTTGGCTTCCTGTCACACGACGTTGCTCTCCAACTCTACAGCTCCTCTTACTACCTCAGAGGGAGCACATTTGCATCTGGCACCAATCGTCGCATTGACACACACTATACATCCGTCGTTGGCTGCAAAAGCAACGACGAACATAGCATAGTACAATCTAGCCAACATGCTGTCTTCAAAGCCCATGGACCCTATCGTCCACCACTCTACTCAGCCGGACCAAGGTCGACAGGGTGCTGATGTCGTACACCTCGCAACACAGACCAACAATATGACTCTTAGAGAAGACTCGACCGCTCCTGGCTACACGGCTGTCCACAGCAACCGCGCCGACCAGTCTGCATCTGCTACATTCTCTGCCGTGCCAACACCCGTTCAAAGAACGAATGCGTTCGCCCTCTCATCTCCTTTGCAGATGGCTTCTCCTGGCACCACAGCAAGTATCGGCTCTGCTAATGTCAACGGCATCGTCTCTGGCCCAGTCGATCCTATCACCGGTCCCAGTGCTTCAGCTGCCAAGATTCGATCCTACAACCTCAGGCAGATGGGACTCAGCGAGCGTGCAGACCACTCTGGCGTCGCAACACCCATCGGTACTGGCGGCTCCTCGGCTCACTCGCAGCCATCTCATGAATCTACTTCTGAGTCCATCTCACCCGTCATCAGTGCGTCTCAGGCGCAGCAGCGATCTGGTCTCAACAAGGTGCTCAGTGGTGCTATGACCGGTACCTCCTTCCAGCCCGTGCAAGGAGCCGGTGCCAGTGGTCTCGCTTCTGCGCGTGGTGTCGATGGATCCAGTGACTCTACCAGCACTCCTCCGCAGTTCATCTTCCCCAAGCTCGGCTCTCGTCGTAACGCCGAGCGAGTCGGCAGCAGTGGTGGACGAAAGCACAGCGACGGTGGCAGCGGTACAGCTTCTCCCTCCGACAACGACGTTCACGGCAAGAAGAAAAAAGACAAGGAACACTCTACGCATCATCACAACCCGCTCACCGATCTGCGCAAGTTCCTGCAGAACCACATCGGACACCACAACAGCGATTCTCGCAGCGACAGCAGCCGTTCTGGTGTTGCCACGCCCAAACGACACGACAAGGACTCCCCCCCGCTCGGTGAAGACCACGCTCACTTGGCCAAGAAGTATGGAAAGTGGGGCAAAGTGCTTGGTTCGGGAGCTGGTGGTACGGTGCGTCTCATCAAGCGATCCAAAGATCACACCGTGTTTGCCGTCAAAGAGTTCCGCCAGCGACGACCGGGAGAGAACGAGAAGGAGTACATCAAGAAGGTCACTGCCGAGTTCTGCATCGGTAGCACGCTGCACCATATCAACATTATCGAGACCATCGACATTATCTCTGACCACGGCCACTACTACGAGGTGATGGAGTATGCTCCTTACGACCTTTTCAGTGTGGTGATGAGCGGCAAGATGTGCAGACAGGAGATCTACTGTGTGTTCCGACAGATCTGCGATGGTGTCGATTACCTCCATTCCATGGGCCTTGCTCACCGAGATCTGAAGCTCGACAACTGCGTCATGACTACAGGTCACGTTGTCAAGCTCATCGACTTCGGTACTGCCACTGTCTTCCATTCTCCAGGCAAGAGCAAGGTGGTTGCAACGGGAGTGGTGGGCTCGGATCCATACTTGGCACCCGAAGTGTTGTCGCAGCAGACCTACGATCCAAGGTTGACGGATGTTTGGAGTTGTGCCATCATCTTCCTGTGTATGATTCTTCGAAGATTCCCGTGGAAATTGCCGGACATGAAGACCGATCCAAGCTTCAGGCTGTTCGTCACTTCGCATCCGGAGTTGTGCAAACCTCCATCTTCGGAGCCTGCCAAGAGTCATAGCGAGGGACCAAGCAGGCAGAGTAGTACACCCGCGTCAAGTATCATGGCTAGTCGTGTCACCTCGAGCGACCATGTTTCGCAGCTTCGAAAGACACTTGGTATGTCGACGATCGATAATGATGACAGTGCTACGCCCCAGATCCGATCCGCACAAGAGGCTGGGTACATGACACCACACTTGATTCACTCCAACCCGCAATCGCCTTCGCTCAGCGACACTTTCGATGGCAGCAAGATTTTGGGTAGTGAGGATGGGAATGAGGGAGCAGCGATGGCCAGTCCTCATGCGATGTCGCCTACTGTTTCTTCGCCCAGTTCGACGCTTGCGGATGATCCGACGCCCCATCCAGAGGGTGGTAGCGAAGGTGCTTTCGACGACATTCGTCCGCATGCTCATCGCAGTGATAGCGTCTCTTCTGCTTCTTCTCAGACCACCTTCACTTCGGGTGCGGCGGATAGCATCTTCCGTCTTCTCCCACGTGAGACCCGTTCGGCTCTATCGCGCATGATGGCTGTCGAACCATCTCTCCGATGCACACTTGGCGATCTTCTCCGTGGCCGAAGATTCAGCGACACGGATAGCCCCCTCACCCGCACCCCTGTCATGTCGAGATCCAACTCCACGGATATTCTCCGTTCCGCCATCGACGGTGCTCACGCCAAAGCCCACCCTCATCACCACACCACCGATGGCTCTATTTCACCACGTGGAAGTGCGTTCGACGGTGGAATTAGTAAAGACGCCCATGCGGCAGGATTGGGTTCGATCGGATTGGCCGAATTTGAGGATGACGACGATAAGGGCGATGAGTGGTTGAAGAACATTAGGACTTGCGCGCATATCATGAAGGATGGAAGGCCGGGTGAACAGCCTGATCATCCTCATGTCAAGGTGATGAGCGAGGAGAGTAAGAGGAAGCATAGTCTTTTCCATCGCAAGGATTAAATGTGCCCAAACAAAGGTGTATCACAATGGCATGGCTTTTGACGATGATGACGCTAGAGCGTATAACGAACGGTTTATGCTGTTGTACTAGAATGGAATTCATATGACTTTTTCGGATCGGACTGCATTCAACAGTGTTTGTGCAGAGCAAAGTGAAGCCGAATGTGCGACTGAGTATTAATGGATGCTAGTATACACTGAAGAAGAGGCCAGTTGAGAGTCGATAAGCTTGCGAGTGAATTGTTTGCCCTAAAGGTCAGAGCGAATCCGGCTTTGCACACTTCCTATTCTCCACCACACCTGTCACCGGATCAATCATCTGATTCCAACTAATCGGAACCATCTCATTCCCACTTAGATTCCATCCTGCTCCACCTACACTCGTTGTCACCTTCCCCCCTTCTCCCCCCTCCCCATGCCCGGTGCTGCCAACACTAGTACTCGTAGCACTCACCGCATAGATCACACCCAACGAATTCTCCGCAGTACTTAAATAATAGCTCCTTGCATCACCAAGACTGATCACCGTAGCTCTGACGATATCTCCTGGTCTGAAGCAGTCTGCGAGTTTGACTTTGTCTTTTTCTGTTGTTCGGACATCTTGTGATCTAACTACGCCTTGGAAATCTACTCCTTCGCCTTCACCTGCTGCATGGTTGCCTAGTCCGGATTGGACGAATGTGCTGGAGGTGGAAGAGGAAGAGCCGCAGGGGAGACCGTCAACGATGAGGATCGAGAGATAGGCTTGCCGCGGAGTAACGCGGGTAACACGCGCGATAACGGTGGAATCTGGTTGAGGGACTACGAAGCGGTTTTCCACGCCGGAGATCGAAATGTATTCGGAGGTGGGTTTCTTGGAGGTGGAAGAGGAGGAGGAGGGAGTGCGAGCTTCGTAACCGACAAGAGAGGAAAGGATGTAATCGCCACGGGTGTATGTGCCAGGTCCTAGTTCGAGTTGCAACTTAGAAGAAGAGGAGGTGACGGAGAGTGGTTGACCTGGCAGTAGGAGCCTGCCTGTGGATGTTGAAGCTGCCATATTTGCCGCTACTGTTGCTTTAATGGCGGCGTTAAAGAAGGGCGAAAGGAAGAGAGGCACGGAAGACAGTGATGATGAACAAGTTGTGGACAGCTGCCATAAAATCTTGCTTACCTAAGCACAATTTGGTGGAGTAAAAAGTCAAGAAGAAAAAGTGTCTGCACCCTGAGAGAAGCGCAGAGCTCGAGCAAAGCCTGAAGGGTTCTCCCAAAAATTTGTGGAAGTTTTAGAGCTCTTTTAGTTAAAGTAGATAAAGCCGCACAAAGCGTGGAGACAGTGAAGGTAGTGCTTACGGCCGAGTAAAGGACCTGAACATCTTAGCACGGACCACATGTGTCACAACCTACTCAAGGCAAATGCTTTGTTATGCTCCGCAGTCAATGTGGCTCTCCGCCACTCTTCTTTTGTATATATAGACTCCTAGCTCTCTCGCTCTCTCTCTCTCTCCTACCATCATCATCAACCACTGACTCCAACGCACTGACGACTGACTCCAACGCACTGACGAAGGACTTCAACTGATTAAGAGTCTGACACTCAACGCAATGCCGCCATCGACAAGAGCTGGACAGACGGGAAGGGGCGATGATGATCAAACGACCCCAAGCAACGGACAGGAGGAAGGATGGCTCACGCAGGTAGTCAGGATCCTCCAGCTGGCGAACCCAGCACTAACGGCCGAGGAAGCAATCGTACGAGCTATGGGTCTCATCAGCATTAGCAACCAGACCCCGCGCAGGGAAACCGAGAAGATCCCCAAGGAGGTGTCGAGCGCCATTGCGCACATCAAGAAGCTCAGCGACAGCAACTGGCACACTTGGGAACCTACCTTCATCGACTGCCTCCAAAGAGTACATAATGCGAAGGAGATACTGTATGGCACGGTAGCGCCTGGAAACGAGGAATACGACGAAGACTTGGATAAAGCCCTCGTGGGCCTCATCCACGCCTGCTGTGACAACAGTCCAGACAGCCGTATCGACACCTACACCGTCAGGGGAGTGGATGAAGAAGTCCAACTCGGTAGCACACTCTATGCCAAACTCAAGAAGGCACTAACGTTGAACGACGCTGTAAAGCGAGCAGGACTGCAGGATCGTATTCACACAGTGCGATTGCACAATCGAGACGTTGTCAGGCTAGGCAAGGAACTCGATTCGATCTGGAACGATGCGGCACGCCTGGGAAAGCGTTTCGACGAGGACCTCAAGAAATCAACTCTCTATCGCTGCACGGCCCAAGACTGGTTCTATGCCAACACCGTCGACGCACTGAAAACGGCCAGACCAGACTGTAAATATGACGAAGCCTACCACGCACTCGCCAAGAAACAGCAGGATGGTGAGGTCACCGGCCGTATTAGAGGAGCAGCAAGGGTTGCCACAAGTACGGACCAGGCGGAGCAAGGACCCAGAGGCAGGCGCGATCCTCGCAACCCCTCGGCCCCTCCAAAGTGCTACGCTTGTGGAGGACCTAATCACATTGCTCGAAACTGCACGAACACCAACAATAACCCCGCACCTAGTAGAGACGGACCCACCCCCAATCTGGCACAGGAAGTGAACCACTAGGAACTCGGGTGCACCTTTCTAGCAGTCGACAGGGGCGAGCGATCAGCATGCGACACCTGGATCATCGATTCAGGTGCAACCCATCATATGGTAAATGATGAGAGAATGCTGCTCACCTCAACGAACAAGGTCGGCCAAATCAGTACGGCAGGGGACGAAAAGCTTCAGGTGAAGGCTATAGGAGATGCCTCCCTTCGGGTCGGTGAGGCCACCATCCAACTATTGGATGTGCTTTATGTACCGAAACTGAATGCTAACTTATTGTCCGTACAAGGCTTGATCGAGAATGGTGCACGAGTAATCTTTGATGAGTTTGGAACTACCATAAAGCAGAACGATGGTACCCAAGTACAATTCAAAAGGGACAGAAGACAGGGCCACTTCAAAGTGCGAGGACAAGCACGGGTTTTGGAACTGGAGGAAACACGAGATGGCGTCCCAGAGGACAACCAGAACACAGGAAAACTAGATAATGCCCCAGAGGGCAATAAGGACATGAAGCATCGAGACAGCTACCTATGGCATGAGAGGTTCGGACACCCAGGACGAGACAAAACGAGACAAATCCGGGCCCATTACCTAGGTACCGACGAGGAAATGGAACATGAGTCGAAGCACTGCAACGCGTGCAGTCAAGGAAAACAGACTCGAGCACGGATGAGCCAATCAGAGTCAGAAAGAATGGAGGCACCATTAGAGCTGGTACACGTAGACCTGATGACAGATTTCAAAGGACATGCCAACTACCACTACGCACTAGTTGCTGTGGACGACTTCTCCTCTCTGATCTACGTAGAACCACTCTGCACAAAGAGTGCCGCACTCACGGCGCTGAGAAGGTGGATAGCTAGGATGGAACGGGCAACGGACAGGAAACTCAAAACACTCCGCAGCGACAATGGAGGAGAATGGTGCAGCATAGCAGCCGAAGACTGGCAAACTCAAGAGGGTTTTAAGTGGCAAAAGAGCGTCCCGGGGATCAGCGTCCAAAATGGACGGGCGGAGAGAGCAATCAGATCGGTCCAAGAAAAGATGCGCTCGATGCTGATTGGTCGAGCTTGCCCCAGAGAGTTGTGGCCGTACGCAATCACAGCAGCAGCACACGTGATGAACCTTACCCCGTCAGCCACCAAAACCATTCCCCACGAGGCCTTTTATGGAACCACCGCGCACAAGCTGGCCCAGCAACTGCGAGTCTTCGGATGCTTGGCATGGGTTCATGTTCAACAGAAGGACCAGCAAGGCAAGCATGGAGCTAGAGCAAAGCCAGCCATCATGATTGGGTATGACGACGAACACAAAGCATGGAAGTTTTGCAACCCGGACCAGCCTGCATCAATTCAATGGAGCAACTCAGCAACGTTCCATGAGGACAAAGGATGGAGTGATCGCCAACAAGAGGCAGTCAGGCCCATGGTGACCATGGAGGTCGAGGAGGAGGGTGTCACGCCAGCCATAGTAGAGGAGGAGACCAGATCAGAGACTGCAGTGGAGGATCTCCTACCAGCCGTAGACAGCACAGTGGGTGCCGCCAACACAGCAATACTGAACCTGGACCCAACGCTTGGGGAAGCAATGAATGGTGAGGACGCCCAGCTCTGGAAGGAGGCAATACGAAAGGAGCTAGAAGGACTTGAGGCAATGGGGACTTGGGAGGTGGTGCACCAACCACCAGGAGTACCACTTGTGGACTCTAAGGTTGTGCTTCGGCTGAAGCTTGATGCTGACGGTGTACCTGTTAAGCACAAAGCGCGACTGGTTGCAAGGGGCTTCACACAGAGAGAGGGGATCGACTACCAAGAAACCTTCTCTCCAGTAGCACCCCTCGGAGCGATCAGAGCCATCTTAGCACTAGCGGTGCAGAACAACTGGGAGGTACATGCTCTGGACATCACTATGGCTTACTTGAACTCCACGTTAAAGGAAGCAATCTACATGAAGCCGCCAGAAGGATCAGGAGTAGCACCCGGCAAGGTGTACAAGGTAGTCAAGGGCCTATATGGCCTAAAGCAGTCTGGGCGAGAATGGAATCAGGAGTTCGACAGGTCTTTGCGACGCATGGGATTCTTCCAGGTAGAGTGCGCTCCCTGCATCTACACCAAGGGACAGGGTGAAGATATGGCCATTGTGGTCATCTATGTCGATGATACATTAGTCATAGCACCACGGCTGGAAACGGTCCTAGAGGTTAAGAAGCAGATTGGTCAGAGATGGAAGATGGAAGATAGTGGTGAGGTCTCTCACTTCTTGGGCATCAAAATCAGTCGAGACCGTGCGATGCGAACCATGACGATTGGTCAGTCAGGGTACATCGACCAAGTGCTGGCAAAGCACCTGGACAAACGTACGAAGCCAACCATGGTTCCAATGCAGAACATACCGGAGGGAACCCTTGTCGCAAGCGCAGCACAACAGAAGGAGTATCCGGTGATTGTTGGCAAGCTGCTCTGGGTTGCCAACAGCACCCGGCCCGACCTTAGTCTCACCGTGGGTGTTCTCGCTAGGCACATGCGTGAACCATCGCAGGAGCATTATCAGGCAGCACAAAGGGTCTTACGCTACCTCGAAAGCACAAGGCAGGTTGGATTGGTTTATAGGGCAAGTGAGTCGCAAGAGCCACTGGTTGCACACAGCGATGCAAACTGGGCAAGCGATGCCACCATACAGAGAAGAAGCACATCGGGGTCAGTGGCATTAGTGTATGGGAACCCAGTAGCCTGGAAGTCAGTGACACAAAAATGCGTGTCATTGTCCGCTGTCGAGGCAGAGTTCATTGCAGCCACGGAAGCAACACGTGAGGTGCTCTTCCTCAAGCAACTGCTACGCTCAATTGGCATTGCCACAGGCACACCGACGGTCTACTCGGACAACACTGGTTGCATACAGGTTAGTAAGGACCCAGCACAGCACTGGAAGCTTAAGCACATCGACACCAAGTATCACTTCGTCCGTAACAACGTACAAGAGGGAAGGGTGCAGATCAAGTACGTAGACACCACAAGAAACTTGGCAGACGTACTCACGAAGCCCATTGGGAGGCAGGCAATGCAGCAAGCAAGATCTGGGCTACACCTGCAAATACCGGCAGCAGTGTACGGAACGGGGTCCCCGAGCTATGCGACAGTGTTGAAGAACGGAGGTCACACCTTGAAGCAACAGCATAATGAACAGGGTACATATGCTGTTGAGGGGGGGAGTTAAAGTAGATAAAGCCGCACAAAGCGTGGAGACAGTGAAGGTAGTGCTTACGGCCGAGTAAAAGGCCTGAACATCTTAGCACGGACCACATGTGTCACAACCTACTCAAGGCAAATGCTTTGTTATGCTCCGCAGTCAATGCGGCTCTCCGCCGCTCTTCTTTTGTATATATAGACTCCTAGCTCTCTCGCTCTCTCTCTCTCTCCTACCATCATCATCAACCACTGACTCCAACGCACTGACGACTGACTCCAACGCACTGACGAAGGACTTCAACTCTTTTTGTCGCAGCCACCAACACCATCACAACGAAGTTGACAGGCGCTTCTCCACACCATCGTTGATACCGTGCGACTCTGTACCTCGAGTCTGCATTTGGAAGCCGCTGCAACATTCAAACGAGTTGCAAAATCAGCTCCAAAGCGAACAAACTTACCCAGGCTTGAGTAGCTTGCCTTCTTCGTTTCCTTCACACCACCATCTTCCCTCTATCCACTCTTAGCTAGCTGAGCCTAGCTACCATCCGCCGCCATGCCATCCAAATCCAAAACAAAGAACAAGTCAATATGGCGTTCCGACAAAGCCCAGCACTTCCAGCTCGTCCATCGTTCTCAACGAGACCCCCTCATCAACGACCCCGATGCCGGTGCACACGTCCTTCTTTCCTATGACCCAGCCAACCAATCTCGCGCAAAGGGCAAAACCCGCGCAGACCTCGAAGCAGACTCCTCAATCGTTCGCGACAAATACGGCAAACCCATCCGATCCAATATCGGAGAAGCCGCCAACTACGGTATCTACTTCGACGATACCGAATACGATTACATGCAACATCTTCGACCTATCAAAGATGACGAAAATACCAAAAGAGGTGGTGAAAATGTGGATGAGGAGATCGATACGATTATGGTTAGCGCTAGTACTGGGGATAATACGGGTAAAGGGAAAGGGAAGGATAGTTTTGCACTAAAAGAAGAGGAGCGGGAGAAGGGGGAGGGATTGAAATTGCCAGCTTCGGTATTGCCGAGTGAGAAAGAGATGCCGTTTAGTTTTACAAGTCGCTTAGCGGTGGAGCCTAGTTTGCAGGGCTTCCAGCCGGATATGGATCCGCACTTGAGACAGGCGTTGGAGGCGTTGGATGATGAGGCGTTTGTGGATGATGAGTTGGAGGACGATTTCTTTGGAGAGGTGGTGAAGGATGGTGAGTGGGATGGGATTGTGAGGCCGGATGATGAGTGGAGAGAGCAGGCTCCGGAGGGTGATGAGGCGATTTGGGCGGATGATAGTGTTCGCGCGCAACAAGATCTGGAGGAGCTGGGAGAAGAAAACATGTCCCTTGAAGCGAGAGTGGCATTGTTCAAAAAGCAACAAGAGCAGGCACGAAATGCTAAACCCTCCCCTGCATCCAATGATGGCGACGAGCAGGACGAGGAGGATCGAGACCAGCTAGCATCCCTCCGCGGTGGCTCGAAGGCAGGCACCATGTACACCGCTGGAGGATCCGCCATTGGTAAAAAAGGCAAGCCAGGCGCACTAGCACGTCGAGCAGCATCCACCAAAACACCTAGCATTGGCGGAGGAAGCACTGCTTGGTCCATGTCCTCCTCTGCCATGTTTCGTAACAAAGGACTCTCCGATCTCGATGATCGTTTCTCCCACCTCGGACGCAAATACGGCATCCGGGAAGACTTTGATCCTTCCATGGAAAATCTCGAAGATCTCGACGAAGAAGAATTTGTCGATTCGGACGGGAAGGAAGCAGACGAAGTCGTCACTCGTGAAGATTTCGAGGGAATTATGGATGATTTCCTCGCCAAATACGAGACGAAACACGGAAAGTTTCGTGAAGCGCTCGGTGGTACAAATTCCACTTCGGTCGAGAAGTTGACGATTCTGCGTCAGGCACTGGGTAAGGCTAGGATCAACGGTCGAGAATGGGCCGGAAAAGACGCGGATGAAGGCAAAGGCCAAGGTGATTTGGGAGAGTACGAGGATTATGAAAGTCCAGATGAAGAGATTGTTGATCCTGTACCAAGGAGTCATATGAGGGAGAAGTGGGATGTGGAGACGATTCAAAGTACAAAGACCAACCTCGAGAACCATCCTCGAACCATCTCGGCGAAGGAAAGTGTTTTCGGCGGAAGCAACGCGAGTGGTTTCCGACCAAGGAGCGTGCTGGGTAACGGTACAGGTGGTGATGGAGGAGCAGTAAAGTTGGGCAACGGTCTAGCGCCGAGTATGACCAGTTACACTTCCCAGCGACCTTCAGCTTCTGCATTTTTGAACGACGAGGAGAGGTTGCCGAAGATCAGGATTAATCCGAGAACTGGGTTCCCTGAGATCATTGGCTATTCTAAGCCAAGGGGGAAGAAGCAGAATAGTGTATCGACGCTCAAGGAGGAGGAGGACGATGACGAAGATGATGGACGTGGACCACCCTCGGGAGGCAAAAGCGATTCAGGGTCAGACACAGAGGACGGTGAGAGTGATGAGTACGATTCGGACGCCACAGAGGGTGGGGAGCTTGCGAGAAGGATGTCTACCATTGCTGTCACTGCAAAGAGGGATAAGAATGAGAGCAAAGAGGATCGCAAGGCGAGAAAAGAAGCTTTGAAGGCGAACAAGAAGGAAAGAAAGGAGAGAAAGATGAAGACCAAACAGGCTTTCGCTAGTGAGAAGAAGAAACAGACGAAAGCGGAGAGGGGGAGGAAGGAGACTGAGGGTGGACCTAGCGGAATGCGTCTGCTTTGATCCTACCTTTTCATGCAGTATCTTACCAGCTTCTAATCCATTCCATCCAATACCGGCATCATTCATAGACATCTTTCTACGTTCCAGGTGAGTCTTGCTCCTGAGAATGGCTTCGTGTGAGGTGAGGTATGGCGATGGAGCGAACAGTAGGGCCAATCTAGACATGTTAGGATACAATTAGCAACAGTTTGTAATTTTGTCCGTTCAGGCACGCAACAGTGGCCAGAAATGGCCCACAAAGAAAAAGACCCTGTGTACGAAGCTGGACACACTGCTGTGATGCCGTGAAATGGTGGCTCGATGCGGCTGCTTCTTAGATCGACAGCCGAAAACCACACCACACGGGGTCCCCACAGTCTCGCCTGTCGCACCGTGACGGGTTACGCGGCCTCTCGCATACACCCTCCCAACCCTCCTCCTTCGCGCTCTCACCTTCACCACCACCGCCAAAGTCTAACTCCATCAACCTCAAGGATGAAGCTTACGATCCCCGTAGCCGCACTTGCGGTGGCTCTCACCAGCGTCTCTGCTTTCCCCATCGACAGCAGTAGCACGCACGATCTCACCACCACCGGTGGTTTTGCCGGATCGCTATTCAACGCTCTCACTTCCTCCTTCAAAGATATGTTCTCCGCTCGTCTGGTCCAGACTGCACCCGATCAGGAACCTTATTGGACTACAGAGTTTGGCAAGCAAGTGTTGTGGTACCGCGGCATTCACTTTATGGATCTTACCGACACTCCTGACCTTGGTGTGCTTAATGCTGCTCGAACTGCCGCCTCCCCTCAGTCGCTGCTTCAGGACTCCTCCAAATTCCCTGCCAAGGTTTCGCATAAGAAAGAGCTCAAGTCAGTCTTCAAAGAGATCAGCGAAGACGGACCCAGGAAGCATCTGGAGAAATTCACATCCTTCCACACTCGTTATTACAAGTCCGAAACTGGCCGTCAATCCCAAGCATGGCTTTTCAAAACCGTATCCGAAGTTGTCAAGAACAAAGACTACATCAAAGTGGAAGAATTCACTCACCCCTGGGGTCAAAACTCCATCCTACTCAAGATCAAAGGTTCAAATTCCACCCTCACCGAACACCGCGGAGTAACCATCTTGGGTGCACATCAAGACTCAACGAACCTTTTCCCTTTCTTCGCTGCCCCCGGTGCCGACGATGACGGTTCGGGAACAGTGACCATTATCGAAGCACTCCGCATCCTTCTCTCTGCAAACTGGCAACCCCAATCCGACGTCGAATTACACTGGTACTCTGCTGAAGAGGGAGGTTTGCTCGGCTCCCAAGCCGTCGCTCAATCCTACGAGAGAAAGGGTACGAAAGTGAATGCGATGCTACAGCAAGATATGACAGCTTTCGTCAAGGCTGGTACGGAAGAAACGGTGGGATTGGTCAGCGATTTCGTTTCGACCCCCTTGACGAAGTTTATAGGGCTGTTGGTGGATGAGTATCTGGATATCGGATATACGGAGACGAAGTTGGGTTATGCTGGATCGGATCATGCCTCTTGGACGAAGATCGGTGCGGATAGTGCCTTTGCGATCGAGGCTACGTTTGAGAATAGTAACCTGAAGAGGATTCATACGACGGGAGATACGTTTGATCATCCAGAGTTCAGCTTTAAGCATCTGATGCAGTTTGTTAGGTTGAGTGCTGGCTTTGTTGTTGAGTTGGCCGGATGGGGGGAGGCTAAGTAACGTACCCACTCTGCTCAAGCTTTATGTTTTTCCTAGGTGGATGATGATCACGCATGCAATTTCCACTTCTTTCACTTTTATGTTTGGATGAAGGCGTGTGATTGAGTAGAGTTGATACAAGCCTCCCCAGAAGGGATAAAGGGGCGAGTTGATGTTAGCCCTGAGCCTCCAACTCCCTCGACGCCTGAACATCCTCCAATGTCATATGTCTCTTACTCCAATCCGCCAATTCATGTTTAGCGATACTACCCGATTCACCTTCATTTCCATCCCAAGCGGTTGACATCAGACTCGGTTCCTGTGGATGCCAACTTACATCTCTCACCGTACAAACCGCTCCACCTCCCGTACCTCGATGCCCCCTCCCTGCTCTCCCACCTCCCCTCCCACCACCACCACCACCCGCTGCTAAAGGATTATCGATCCTCACATCTGCTCCCCCAGCCGAACAGTGTCTATTTGGATGTTTCCTCTTAAACCACGGCAATGGAGGCGCAGATGGATCCGACGCCAACCCAGGTTCTCGGAAAACATCATCATCATCATCTTCACTCTCCCCCCCTTCTGCTGCCTCTCCCGGTAGTTTATACGCGTGAATCTGGTTCGCTGGATCCTTCTCCGCATACAACGGTCTCACCTTGGACCTGTCCAACACCTGCGCTACTGTACCGTCGAGGTTCCAGATGTGAATCTTCCCATCTGCACTTCCTGAATAGATATACTTCTGCCCCGTAGTCTCCAACGGTGAAAAATGACACCTAATCAACGTCTTCAACACCGCATGACCTCTATACGTCATGACAGAACAATCCTGCGGATGAGCCTGATACCTCGGTTGCCGATACGACATGTTCCTATAATCCCAATTCCTCAATCCATAGTCCAAGTGAGTCATACGGTCGAATTTAGCAGAGGAATGCATCATTCTTAAATCCCACAATCGACAAGATTGATCTTTGCCGTTGGAAATACAATAGCGACCATCACCTTTAGGCGAAACGTAGGTGACTCCTTCGGTGTGGCCCATAAGTACGCCGGCCGGTTTGCCTCCGGAGAGAGAACGTCGATCCCAAACTTTAACGAACGAGTCATCGGATCCGGAAATCAGAACGTTGGATGAAGCTGCGTCGGCAAAAGCTACTGCGTTGACGTCGTCGGAATGACCTTCCACTCGAAGCACACGACGACGAGCTTCAATGTCGTATACGTAAATATCACCGAAGTGGGCTCCTGTGACGATTTCCCGGGAATCGCTGGAAAAGCGGATTGACCAGATCTACAAGAACAAAAGGAAGGAGAGTTAGTATTCCATTTCTATGGGAGGGGAGAAGGAGGGAATCTCCTTACCGCAGAGCGCCATCTTACCCCAATATCATCATCACCAGTATTGCTAAAATCCAACATCACCTGGTTATCACTCGGTGTTCTACCTCCCGTATCGAAAGCTTGCTTTGTCGGCACCAAATGAACAAAAGGTGTGATACTTGAATAAATCATCCATTGGTTATCCGGACTCAAATTAGCATCTGTAATCGTCCAATTCCCCTGTTTTCCTTGAATACTCTTTGTCATGTTGAGAGAAGTATACTGTGTTGTACCCATCGAACTAAAAAACCAGCTGTTTCTTACTCGTCTAGGTCCATCATCGTGAACTTGCACCTTCTTCGGTCCTGCAGTGGTCATATCGTACATATGCACTCTAAAATCTTGCGTGCAGGTGTAGAAGAAGGACGAATCTTGAGAGTACTGCCCACAATAGACTCGGGCTGGATAGGATGCGACAATGGTACCGTTGGTGTTGGGGACAAAGGAAGCTAGGTCGGCTTTTGCGATGCGTCGTCGTGCGTATTTGCGTTGGTTGACGAGATTGGAGAGATTGGTGGTTTCGGTGAAGGCGGAGGGTGGTGCATCGAGCAGTCGTTTGGATTGTCGACCAAAGTCGCCGCTCATGGCTACTTCTTGGCCGGATCGAATGGGTTGTTTGACAGGATCCCAAAAATCGGCCATTTGTGAGGAGCGGGCCATGTGGTACCAGTTGTCTTCATCTTCGTCTTCTTCGTCGTCTTCTGCGGCTACACCGCCTGTTGCTGCGGCGAGGAGTCGCTGCAATCCAGATATACCGATAGTATTCAGTGCTCGCGAGATAGCAGCTCTAGTATTGAGCGCACTGGTGTCTTCACCGTCTCCATCATCGTCGTTACTTGCTGCGAGGTGCGCTCGGAGAATATCGCGAATATCGATCGTAACGCTTTCTCCATTGCGGTCGTCTCTCGCACCAGTCCCATCTTCATCTTCATCTTCATCTTCGTCATCATCATCATCATCATCGGCCATCTCGATCTCCAGCCCACTGGCGTCTTGTACGAGATCCTGATACACAGACCCATCTTCGTCGGTAGGGACATACTCTGAATCGCCTTGATCATCATCGCCATCGTCGTCGAATTGAGCACCAAACGAATCGTGTGCTTCTGCTTGGGCTACCATCTCTTCTAATGCAACTTGAAGAAGCATGTCTTCCTCCTCTTCCTCATCTTCCTCATCTTCGATGTAATCAGCGTCTTCGTCTTCGAGAAAGATATCGGAGCCTTGGTCGTCAAATTCGCCGACGATAGCTCCTTGGCGCGCGTATTCTCGTGAGCCTGACATGGCGGCGTTTCGCCAGAGTAGAGGTTCGAGAAGCTGGTCTGGGAAGAAGAAGGGAGCTTGTTCGGGACAAGTAGCTCAGTGAGCGCACAAGCGCCTGAGGTTCGGTGGTGATTCGTTCCGGAGGATAAGACTTATCGGCCTCGCTATTGTGAAAGAGACAGCAATCGGCGCTGTTCAAGCAGATGATAGGAAGGATCCGTGAGAGAAGCGTTGAACTGATAGCAGGGGAAAGGATGAGGGTTTGATATGACAAAGGAAGGAAGTGTAACACACAGTGCACAGGGCAGCTCACCGGCTTCTTTCTGCTTGCGGAGTGGAGGTGTAAGCCGCCGATTTGGGTAGAAAGCCGCGCTGAACTGTGCTCAAATTTCAGCGCGCGTGAGCCAGAGAGAGAGAGAGATGCAGTCAGGGTCCATGTTCACCTTTTTTGGTCATTTCCCTGGGCTTTTGACTGCACTGCTCACGTAAAGCAGGCAGCCAAGAATTCACTGTTGCTTCCGCATTTCTAACAATCTCGAAATTGACACCGACTTCCACAACCAAAGGTTCATGCTGATTGACACGATAGTGAGAGTCTCGACGGCGCAGACAGCACAAAGCAGCACAAAGCAGCACAAAGCGGAAAAGAGGGTTGGTGCCGGGTCAGAGAGTCGATAGCTCCTGTTTTCCCGGCTTTTGAAAGGCAATGTCATTCAAGATTTCATCTCCTGCCATCGTATACAATGCTACAGCATCCTCCTCCTCCATACATCGAAAAACCAATTAAGGTCTCCGACATTCAGAGGCGACTCGGCTGCCACACACGGGTGGAAAGAAAGACCTCAAACGAGCAGACCGTGACAAGAACCTGTAAACAATCCTACCCTGAACAGAGTGGACAGTTTAGTTCTCAGCCTCATCTTGGTCGTACGAGACGTTGAAGAACTTGATCTCGTAACCCTGCTTGGAGGTGGCGACGACACGGAGCCAGTCACGGAGCTGCTGCTTGCGGAGGTGCTTCTTGGTCAAGTACTTGAGGTAACGCTTGGAGAAGGCGACGTTGGTGTCGACCCAGATTTTGCCCTCGCCTGTAGAGTACGGAAAAGAGATAGCGCGAAACGTTGTGGAAAAACAAACGCAGAGGTCGATATCGAGGACGAGAGAGCTTGAGTCAGCTATCTCCGACTCGAGTGCGCGATTGCGACCTTCTTTGAAGAAGGGGGTGTGGGGGGATGGGGGATGCGACGGAAGGTAGCGAGGAGATGGATGGCATGATGAAAGGAAGATGCCGAAAAGAGACTGCCGAGAACAGCTGACAGTGTGCGGAAGCTGGGGAAGCGAAGAACGTCTTCACAACCATGCGATCGATAGTCGTGTCACATTCACTTCTTCTGCGTTTCCGAGCAATGCACCATGAAGCAACACGATAAGCAGGACCTTCTGATGTGCTCCCAAAGGCAATTTTGAAAGCAACTGCGGACTGCGTCGCATTCTGGTACAAACAACTCCTCTCGATTATTTCTCTTCCCGACTAGATCTGCCATGCTTGCCATGCTATCCTATCTCCCTTGTCGCTGAAATCTTCCATCCTCATCCTCATCCTCACCCTCGTCCTCATCATCAAATGTACTTACCCTCACGAGTGATCTTGACGTGGTCACCGAGGTTACCGGCCTTGCCGTCAACCTTGATGCGGTCGTGGAGGTACTTCTCGAAAGCGGCGGCATCAAGGATACCGTCGTTAGCGGGTCCGGAGAAGTCGATGAAGAACTTGTGCGAAGTCTTGGACTGCTTAGCAGCCTTGGTGGTCTTGGTAACAGCCATTTTGAATATAGATATGAGAAGCCTACTGGTGGGATCAGCAAAGCGAGGTAAAGGATGGTGTGGGAACGGAGGAGGAAGACGACGACGACGAGCCAGATTCCTGAAGCTAGTCGTCTCTCCCTGCCGCCTTCCTGTTTTCCCAGCCAATGTTCCGGGAGATCCAGCTGCTGGCTGGTTCCTTTTCGAGTGAAATCGGAATGCCTGTTTGCAAGCGTTCCAGCGAAAGTTTTTTTTTATTTTTTTTTTACAGTTGCCCAAAATCACGTGCAACCTTGAGAGAGCCCATTTTTCAAAAGATTGTGTTAAAGTCACTGTAAACACATCTACTGCTTATGCATGCATTATTCAGCAACACTTTGGACGGCTCCGTGCATTTGAGATTTCAGTTGCTGTCAAGGGGAAAAAAAAGGGAAGATTTTTTGCTGGCACGACTGCGTAAAGCAGCGGAACAAACGAAAAAGAAAGCTCAATTGTAGTCAACCCTCGTCGTCGCCATCAGAATCGGTCACTGTCGGCCCACTCCCTCATCCTTTCTCACCTTATCCCACTCATCACCCATACCCTCCCCCTACCGACAGCCAACATGTCTCTTCCGCTCGGTACCTCGGTCGCCGAGGCCCAAGAGAAGGGCGACTTCATGATCAAGCCCGAAAACACCGGCCCAAAACTCAACACTGCCGACTGGCCTTTGCTCCTCAAGAACTACGACCAGCTTCTCGTCCGCAGCTCTCACTTCACCCCTATCCCTCACGGTTGCTCTCCCCTCAAACGTGACTTGCAGAGCTACATCAAGTCTGGTGTGATCAACCTCGACAAGCCTTCCAACCCTTCCTCGCACGAAGTTGTTTCTTGGCTCCGACGCATTCTCCGTGTCGAGAAGACCGGTCACAGTGGTACCCTTGACCCCAAGGTCACAGGATGCTTGATCGTCTGCATTGACCGTGCTACCCGTCTTGTCAAGTCACAGCAGGGTGCTGGTAAGGAATATGTTGCCGTCCTTCGTCTTCACGAGAAGCTCGAGGACCCTAAGAAGCTCCCCCGCGCCATCGAGACGCTGACTGGATCCTTGTTCCAGCGTCCACCTTTGATCTCGGCCGTCAAGCGTCAGCTTCGTGTTCGAACCATCTACGAATCCAAGCTCATTGAATTCGACAACGATCGTCACCTTGCCGTCTTCTGGGTCAGCTGTGAGGCCGGAACCTACATCCGAACGCTTTGTGTCCACTTGGGTTTGTTGCTGGGCGTTGGTGGTCACATGCAGGAGCTTCGTCGTGTTCGTTCTGGTGCCTTGTCGGAAAACGACTCGGTTGTTACTATGCACGATGTGCTCGATGCTCAGTGGCTCTACGACAACCAGCGTGACGAATCCTACCTTCGTCGTGTCATTCGCCCTCTCGAGTCGCTGCTCACGGGATACAAGCGTATCGTCGTCAAGGACTCGGCCGTCAACGCCGTCTGCTACGGTGCTAAGCTCATGATCCCCGGTCTCCTCCGATACGAGAAGGATATCGAGACACACGAGGAAGTCGTCCTCATGACCACAAAGGGTGAGGCTATCGCTCTTGCCATCGCACAAATGTCCACCGTCGACCTCTCCACATGTGACCACGGTGTTGTTGCCAAGGTCAAGCGTTGCATCATGGAGCGCGACACTTACCCACGACGATGGGGTCTCGGTCCCAAGGCACAAGAGAAGAAGGCCATGATCAAGACCGGAAAGCTCGACAAGCACGGTAAGGCCATCAACGGCGTTACACCAGACAAGTGGAAGAAGGAGTACGTTGATTACTCTGGTGATGCTGCTCCTGCTGCTGTTTCGGATGTCGAGCAGGTCGCTGCCGCTGCTGTTGTCGCACCAGTGACACCAAAGAAGGAAGACAGCGATAGCAAGAAGAGGAAGCTTGAGGAGACACCAGGTGCCGCGCCTGACGGCGAGACCGAAGAGGAGAGGAAGAAGCGCAAGAAGGAGAAGAAGGAAAAAAAGGCTGAAGCTGCTGCTGCCGGCATTGAGACACCAAAGTCTGAGAAGAAGAAGAAGGACAAGAAGGACAAGAAGGACAAGTAAGGGTTCCAACCTCCCTTTAGCTCGTACGCTCCCCTGCATCGTTTTTGTTTCTTTCCTTTTCCTTGAAGTTGACTGCGAACAACTGCAGCTCCCGGTCCTGCCACATCTACAACACAGTGGTACAGAGAGGATGGGATGACATCACGATTCTGTTTTTCCACACTTCAGAGGTTGTAAGGAAGGACTTGTCTCTGCTGTGAAGGAGCGATGCAGCCAACAGTATGGATCTGCTTCCATAGCTCAGCTTGACCCTCACTACCTCAGCGTGGGGCCTTCACCACCTCTTCATCTCGATGTCCATCTCCATTCTTTCCCTCTCGAGAGCTGTCAGACGGCATTCACAGCGGCAACTCGCGCATGCCCGTTTAGCTCTCTTCTTCTTCTTTGTTGTATCCTTTCTTCACCCCTCCCATTCGGCATCTTTTTCTCTTTCCTTGTCTCGTTCATGGTCTCGGTTTTCATTGGTTTCCATCTCTGTACTCTAGCATTATATTATCGTTCTCGCCATCAACCTTGCTCCAGGCTGCGACTTTTTCCCTGGGTTCTGACTCTATATTATTGCAAATGAAACACGACTATAAAGCGACGGCCCTCTGTATCCTAGCCATCACAGGTCGATGATCCGAGATCAAATATCCTGCATCTCCTTCACTCCAATTTGGCAGCGTACCAAACGCCTGTATCCTCCACTTCTCATTGTCTCCATCTTTATTCTTCGCCATTGTATCAGTGACTACTACCCTCTTCACCTCCTCTCTTACAGCAGCTGATGCTTGGTCTCTAGCCCATTTTATACCCGCTGCGGGGCTTCGTGGAGGGGCAGGCGATTTGGAATGATCCAATACCGCATCTTTCCTCGTCTCATCCCAAACAGCTTCGTTGTCGAGGATCATGATAAAGTCGATCCTATCATCAATGGCTCTACGAGGAGATGGTAGGAAGTCTGTAAACGTTCGTAGTGGACCTACTGGCTCGGAAAGCATTCCTCCGCTCTTCCCCTCGTCTCCCGAAGGAGGAGCAGGAGGAGTACGACGACCAGAAGAGTATTCCGATCGCAATGAATCTTCGTTATCCGTCAACAACGGCGACTTGAAACGAGTGGGAACGGAAAGCGCTATATCGAGGAATGTCGATCCTGTCGAGTTTGCCGGAAGAGAGTAGTGTGGTGAGACGAGGGTGGACCAGCTTCCTTCGTTTCGTGGAGAGTTGAGGTCGCCGATGAGCACTATCAATGGCTCCTCCAGTTGCTTAAGCGAGGAAGATGCTTGGGAGGAGTAGTGGGCCTCGGTGTGAGCAGAAGCTTGTCTGGCACGTTGGACAATAAGCTCGCTCGACTTTGCTCTAGCTTGGACTCCTTGATGATCGTAATGTGTCGAAAAGACGTGGACGATTTCTCCTGTTGCTAAGAGCTTCAAGCTGACATGTGTGCACATTCGAGTGAGTGCTGCATCCCATCCTACACTGCCAACTACGTCTGGTGTTGGGGAGAGCCAGAAATGCTCAACACCATCCTTCCCCACTCCTCCTTGATCAGCGGAAACGCGTTCGAAGGTGTCTCTCCTCCAAAACACAGGTACTGCTTCACCTGCTCGTTTCCCATCATCCCTTCCTACCCCTGCATGATCGTATTCCTCCCCTAACCATTGGACGAGATTTCCATATTGCCCATCGAGCACTTCTTGAAATGCGAATAGGTCCCAGTCGTAGAACAACGGCGTGTCGGCAATTTTTGGCCCCCGGAGCAACCAGCTCCTCTCCCCTCTGTACTGCTTTGTGAGGTATGGCGATCCAGCAGGGTGGATAGATGCTGCGAACTGGGATGGACCCGCACCCATGCGTGCAGCAGAGAGAAGATTGTCGAACATCGACTGAGAAGAGTCGAATGCAGCATTGCGGGAGTAGCGAATGTTGATCGAGCCGATGGAGAGCGAAACTCTGCCGCGTGTGCGACCGTGCTTCCCTTTGTAGATCTTGTGTTTTGCTGGTTCGGAGAGCGAAGGTTGGAGCATGGTCTCAGTGGATGTACAGGAAGAGGAGAAAGGTGCGACACGGCAAAGACCCATCGAGACCAGGTCGTAGGTTCGGAATCGGAAGTAGAGAAAGAGGGTGACGGCGAGTGCTGTTAGTAGGATTGAAGCTGATAATGGTCGGTGACGCATCTTTGCCATCGCTTCACACCTTCGTGGCGGTGTGAGGGGTGGACGGCGAGAAGGCGGAGGGAGAGGAAGAGAGAAAGGGAGGAGTGAGGGTTCTCTATCCGGCGAATGTGAGTCGAGACTTCTGAGCTCATGCAGCTGTCCCTTCAAGTGGGGTAATTCTGCAACTCTGCTGTTGTGCGCATCAGTCGGTCTCACAAATTTAAAGTGCGGAAAATTGGTTAGCTGAGACTCTTTTTGACGTCGAAGCCTCTACACTCACTTCCTTGTTCAACTGTCACACAACACAGCTTCACTTCGACCATCACCATTTCGTATAGCAAGATGTTGACGCCGACACATATAACGCTACGACTCTCCAGAAGAGCTTTGCGCAGCTCCTTGCCGAGGATTGCTGCTGAGAAGCGAGCATTCGCACGGGCTTCCCGCACCCTTGACACGTCCTACCCTCGGCTTCAACAGAACGACTCTTCGAGCTCTTCATCAGGCTCCTCTTCATCTAACAAGGCATCTAGTAGCCCGATAAGCATAACAAACATCCTCATCGCATCAGCAGCCATCGTTAGCGTCACACCTTACGCTCTCGACCTCTACGGCAAAATCACTGGCACCTCTCCTCCACCCTCCACTTCGATCCCAGGTAAAGTCGAACCATACACCCACAACCCCCTCCCTCTCATCTCCTCCGCCTACTACCCAGACCCTTCCACCGCATCAGCACACAAATTTCTACAAATCGGTCTTCCCGCTTCCACCTCCAAGCCCTCCCTCGCCTCCAAATTCACCAATCCCGAAGATGACATCCGCAAAAAACTCCGCATTAGAAGCATCTACATCAAAGAACCTAGCCTAGTCATCGAACGAGCCTACACTCCACTCTACGATACACTCCCCGGATCCTATGCGGCTTCACTGGCCTCAGCAAGCTCATCCGATCGCAAGCTTCTGGATCTGATTGTAAAGAGATACCCAGACGGCGAGTTGGGTCGGATGTTGCATCGTGCGGGGCCAAATCCGACCGTACCGCAGTTAGAAGTGAGAGGTCCAGTTGACACTTGGTCTTTCGAACGTGATTCGGCGCATGGTGTGTTGCCAGTACCAGAGAGAATTGTGATCGTTGTGGGTGGAACGGGTGTTACGCCGGCTTATCAGCTGTTGACCAATCTATTCGGTCGACCTGGTGCCGCTGGGGTAGGCTTAGGAATCAAGGGAAACGCGCCGAAGGTGGAAGTTTTGTACGCGACGCAGGATTTGGAGAATGCTCTGTTGCTCCCGCAGTTGCATGAGCTGGCGAGCACAAATGGAGACAAGATCAGTGTGAAGTTGTTCGCCGAAAGGCTACCAGGTGCGACAAAGTTGAGTAAGGCTGATGCTGCAGCACTAGGTCAGCTCGTACCAGCGGCAACTGGGGGAAGTAGAGGCGAGTCATGGATTCCTTTCTTCAGCAAGCGGTCGAGTCGGGATCCGAAGTTAGAACTCACAGCAGCACAGACAGCGGCGAAAATTCCGGTCTACGAATCGCGTATTACCCAACAGCATCTTTCTCAGATCCTCACTCCGGCAGAGGGAAGCGGTAGAACACTGGTATTGATTAGCGGTCCCGATGGAATGGTAGATGCTCTTGCCGGACCCAAGTCTCGAGATGGTCAGTCTCAAGGACCTCTCGCTGGCGTTCTTGCTCGGATTGGGCTAAAGCAGGAGGATGTGTTCAAACTCTAAACAAACCTCCTTGCAGCCAAAGAGGGGGTGTGTGAGATGTACGATTACCAATTACAACGGGTATAGATATTGATGTACAACAATGATTAACGTAAGTGTGAGTTTAGACGCCATGCTTCTTGCGTTCTCCGTCGACCATCACGTTTTTGTTATGCTGAGTAGCCGGTCGGAGAGATTCGGTATGGATGAGGGTTCCTTCTTCTTCCGGATTCTCGTAGCCGTCTGCTCTGCGCTGTTCAACCCCAACGAGGCCGAGATGATGTCTGAGCAGTGCTGCGAGTTGCGATCGTGCTAAGGAAAGCCGTGACTCGCCGGTATTCTTCAGATTGAGTAGAGTTGCAGTGTTCCATTCCGTCGCTACGTTGGACGGGATAGATCTATCTCCTTCTACGCCTGCTTTTGCGGTATCCGGTGATCCGTGAAGAAGAGCTTCCGAATACCGCAAAGCCTCAGGCAACAGTTCCTGCGGAGCAACATCTCCACTCTCCCTAATCGCCTTCACTACCGGTTGCAACTCTTCACTAATCGGTTCACCAAAATTAATCGTCACATGATTCCCAAACTTCGGTAACCACTTTGGCTTTTCCCTCGGTTCAGGCATCATCCGATCAAACCCAGTAATCCAAATTGGTACTACCACCGGCAATTTTTCCGCCTCCAACAACATCCGGCTTATCCCCCACTTGAACCGTCTCAATCTTGTACTCGTGCTGACATTCACATACGCCTCAGGAAACAAATGCACCCAACTACCACCACTCAACTTCTTTATCGATTCGTCGATAGCAGCCTGATGAATCCCACCACCGCGATGCGTCTCGATGCATTGTCCGTTGCGGAAGAATCGAGAGAGGAGAGGGTTGGTGAACATGATATCGCTGGCTCCGAGGGTCCAGCGTACAGTGCGGGGGTTGAGGAAGGTGGATGGGGGTAGTGTGCCCCATATGGTGGGTTCGTCGAGGACTGAGATGTGATTGCAGTATGTGAGCAGGCCCCGGTTGGAGGAGAGACGTTCGGAGGAGTGGAGATGGGAAAGGAATCGATCGAGACCGCGGACAGCGACGTTGCGACAACCATAGCGGAGAAGGGCGCGGGAGAAGGCGGCGACTGCTCGAATGGTGTATGTCGATGATGAGGCGGAAGAGGCGGAGGTGGACATGGATGCGGAAGCGGCTGAGGAGGTGAGGTTGGATGCTGCTGAGCTGGCAGCTGCGGTGAAGGGTTTGAACACCCTTGCTGTTGCCCAGACCATCGTTCAGCGTTGCTCAGGATAGGGGTTTCTAAGCCAAGCTGTTGAGGTTGATGCTGAGCCTAGCCTCGGTGCTGTAGAATATCGTTCCCGCCGGCTATCCAACCCTGAGATCGAAAGGCAATGGCCGTGAGTGTCGACTGTTGACCGAACCGCAAGCCCGCGCTTGGTCGGAAACCGATGATAGAGTGGATTGTTCCGGCGAGCCAGCGAGCCACTTGCTCGAAGGTGTTTGTGGTTGGGTATAGAGTCAAAAGAGTGGAAGAAGGCCGAGTGTTTTGCGTGTCTTCGGCTGGTTTCGGACCCTTGTTCCCAACAGACACCAATAAATTGTTGTGGCCAATCCCGATTCGCACGACCTCTGAGAATCTCACCCGATCTATTGCCGTTGAGCTAAGCAGTACTCTTTTCTTCTTCGTTCCGCAGCGTTGCTGAAGCACGTATTTGATGTTCGGATAATTAAATTTTGATGCCTTTTTCTTGGTCCTGAGGTGGAGGCATTTGACCCGTGAGTAAGGGTGACATAATCCTCCAGCTTCATGAAGGATTCGGTGAGAAGAGCTCATTGAAGTCTTGCTCGTCTTTGCCTGGTCAACCGCTCTTCTCGCATACACCATACAATCAACCTCAAACGCATAATTCACAATGGATCTCAGCTCATTAACAGGCAAGTCGGCCCTCGGCGGTGCCGCCAACTCGGCTACCTCTGCTGAGCGAAAGGAAGCTATCAAGCAGCAAGTGTAAGTTTCACCTCCTCTCCCCTGCTTCACTGTGAGTGCAAAAGCACACATGGGGGTCAACGTCGAGATGTCCACGATTCTTTCGAAATGATGAGGGCAAGCAATTCAAGCCGATATACTGACACCCCTCGTTTGCGCCGCAACAGATCCTCGGAACTCGCAATGGCAAACGCGCAGCAACTCATCACAAAGGCAACGGAAAAGTGTTACACTAAATGCATTCCTGCACCAGGTGCAAGTCTTTCAGGCAAGGAACAGACATGTTTGACAAGATGCATGGAGAGGTACTTTGAAGCTTTCAACATTGTTTCAAGCACTTACGTCAGGAGGGTCGGTAATGAGAGGGCTGCTGGAGCTGTTGCTGAGGCTGGTCTCTGAGCCGCCGAACGCAAGACGCAGCGACGACGAAGACAGACATGTATACATTCAAAAGGCATTGCTGACGCCAAACACATCTCAATATCACAACACTACTCTTTCTCAGAATATGGCAGAGGTGAAATGGGTTGATACCGACAGGGTTACTCGGGTTGCTTGAGAAACAGCGTGTGGATGCAGTATAAGTACAATGCAGAGTGGAGCAAAGCGAGGGTACATGCATTGCAGAATGTCTACGTTGAGTCTCGGTGCAGGAACTGTGGTGGTAGGGATGTGTGTTAGCGGATGTTACCGAACAAGCTGAGCCCTGACCTACGTGGAGGCGAAGCAGCTTCACCTTCCTCGTCTTTATCTCCCTCTGTCCCATTTTGAGCCTGTTCTTGCAGCGAAAGCAGCTGTGCTAGTGTGACATTGCCCCCATTTGCTCCTGGTTCCAGCGCTGTGCGAGACCTGTTCGTCGGTACCGCATTTGCCATTGCTGTAAGAGGACCTCTCTTGACCCCACTGCTCGCATTTCCCATCGCACCAACCTCTCTCTTAGGCCCAAACACGATCAACCGCCGAATATGCGTATCTTTACCATTCATATGATTAGCCAGGATACACACTTGTACCAACCACACTCTAATGCCTTCCCCTCCTTCTGCATCCTCCCCTTCTTCCCCCTCTACACCTCCATCCTCCTCCTCATCCTCCTCCTCCTCCCCCTCCCCTTCCCCATCCGCCTCTTTATCTTCCTCACTCGCAACCGAATCAACAGCACCTCCAGGCGTCATACTAAGATGTTTCCATCCTTGCGGACTGTCAAAGGTCCTCTGTCTGACCATTGTCAGATCGTGATAGTTCGTCCCAGCCTTAACTGCTACTCGTGTCGGCGTGTATGAGTCGTCCTGTTTGACATCGAGATAGATAGATAGGTGGGTGACGCATGTTCTACGGGAGAATTGAATGTTTATGAGATGAGGTTGGTTGCCGTCTGATTGCCAAAGTTTGGTGAGGTCGGGGGAGCGAAGTTCGGGAACGCCGGAGCCGGGTTTGTAGGAGGAGAGGGTCCAGGATGTGCCCGGGGCCAAGCCTACGTCTGTTTTTGTGGTGCGATCTGTGGGAGGTAGGGGAGATGCGGTACAGTTGAGGAGTTGGTCGGTCGGTGAATGTGAGGAAGATAAAAGGGATAGTGAGGGGGAGGGAAGGGACTTACCTTCGATATCATTGATGCGACGACGACGTTTGTGTTTTGTTGAGGTAGTGGATGGTGGCGAGAGTGCGGGTTGTACACGACTGCTGCTGGCTATTGCTTCGTGCTCCATCCTCGATAGCTGCCGTGGGGGGGGGGGGGGGGGGAAGCAAACTAGCAGCGCAGTTGTAAAAGTTGACGATGAGGAAGATGAGATCAAGGACAGGCAACCCAAAAATAACCACAAAGTTGACGAGACCAACACTTCCGAGTCGCGCACGCGTAAAGTGGAGCTCTCAGAGCCTCAAAGACAAAAAGTCCGCTCAAGATCCTGTTCAACGCTATCAGCCCAAGTCTACTTAAACGTTGCACCTTGTCACACAAACTGTTGGCTGTCTGTGGTTTGGAGAGTGTATCATCTATTGATGAAAGCGAGTCTATGGATGTTTTCTAGTCTTGCACGAATGCAATTAGGGATGAGAAGCTCTAATCCTGCCGACGATCCGAACTTCCCCCTACACCATCGTTATCCTCCTCTGTATCCTTCGCATCCTCGTAATTGGGCAACCCCTTATCCTCAATAAACGCACATCCAATCACCGTCCCCAAACTCACCACCGCTATCCCAGTAAAAACCCATCTGAGCGCAAACGCATACGACTCGACCGCCGCCTTCTGCAACTCCGTCGGCAATTCTGGCACGATACTACTCTTATGCCTAATCTCCGAAATGATCCTATCCGCATCCTTCCCTGTAATCTTCTGTCTCAACTGTCTCTTGAGCAAAGCCTGAAACAGTGTTCCACCACCAGAAACACCCAAAATCTGACCCGTATTGCGTGCCATATACGACATACTTGTCGCCACTGCAACATCGCTTCGCGGAACAGAGTTGATGAGAGCGATCAAAGTGCATGTTAGTACACCTGCTGTTCCGAATCCGTGCGGAACGATCGATGCATAGGTATACGCTTCCGAGCTGTCTTGGGTGAAAGTGGTGAAGCAAATGATCGAGACGGTGATGAGCATCGAGTTGACGAGGTTGTACGAGTAGTATCGGCCAGAGCTGCGCATGGTTAAGCCGGCCAGAACAGAGCCGACGCTGAGAGCAATACTGTTCGGGATAAGGTGGAGGCCTGCAAGGGAGGGAGTTTCGAGTTTGACTGCTTGAAAGTAAAGCGGGAAATGGTAGAGAGTACCGAAGGAGACGATGGAGAGGCAGAAGTTGGCGAATGCGACTGCTGCACCGGATCGTTGAGTGATGAGACGGAGGGGGAGGATGGGGTTGCGTGCGATTTTGGCTTCTGCGTAGAAGAAGAAGCTTATGCTGGCGAAGCCGATGACAAAGCCACCCCAGACGAAAGGATTGGAGATGTGAAGATCGTTTGCACTCATCAGACTGAGACTGATGAGGGTGCTGGAAAGACCAAGCACGAGACTGAAGGCGCCGTTGAAGTCAATCGATTTCAGTTTCTCCCACTTTGACTGCTGAACGAGCGCATTCGGTGTCTTGACATTGACAAAGATGAAAGCGAGCACGTAGTCCATCAGCAACAGTGGGATCTGAATAAGGAAAGCCCTTCTCCACCCAAGCGTGTCATTCATCCAACCACCAATAGGACCACCCAAGCCTGATCCGAGACCGAAGATAATGTTCGTTAGCCCTTGCAACAGGCCTCTATTCTTCAGCGGCACGAGGTCTGAGAGCACGATACTGGTTGTTGTTGTAAGGCCTCCTCCACCCATTCCTGCGAGCGCACGAGCAAAGATGAGCATATTCATCGACGTCGATAAACCGCAAAGCACCGTACCTGTAGTGAAGAAGGTGAGTGCGGTGAACATGCAATTCTTTCGTCCAATAATGTCTGCCATACGGCCGTAGAGCGGAGTGAAGCAGGCGACGGAGAGAAGGTATGCAGAGCCGAGCCACTGTGCTTGTTCAGAGGCGTTGAAGGAACTGCTGATGCTCGAGATGAGGGTTGCGGTGACGGTACCGTCCATGCTTGCGACGAAAACGGGAACCCAGAGCGCTGTGAGGAGGGGCGCAAGCTTGCGTAGTGGTGGCATGACTGTGACATGGTCTTCTTGCTCTGTCCCTGCTTCTGCTTCTGTTGAGGACGAGGATGATCCTGCGTCATTGTTGCGATTGGTGTGGTTGGAGGAGGTGGATTGGTAGTGCTCATCCCGCTGTTCAGAGGAGAGGAGAGAGGTCCTCTCATTGGCAGAGGTGGTCGGTGCCATCTAGGCGGTTTATTTACCGTAGCGTCTAACGGTATGGTCACGACGCTATGAGGCGTCGAATCTGCTTGAAGGTAGTTGCGGATGAAGGAGCAAGGAGGACGGTGCGCTCGTGTGATTTGTTGTGATACCGGTAATCTGGCGGTCGTCATTTGCTGCTTGAATATCGGCTGTATCTTCGGCCTCTTACCGGTCAATTTTCAGCTTTCGCACCTCTGCCCTGATTGGTAGCTGCCGAGGAAGTGATACGAGTGCCGACATGCTTCATTACTCGATTTTCAAAAAAGCTCTGTTATGGCGCGGAAAATCAACAAATGCTCTAAAAATGTGATCTTCCGTCTTCCGAGATTTTAACGCATTTTTTTTTTTTTTTTTTTTTTTTTTTTTGGGTGGTGTTGGACGGTTGAGAAGGAAAACGCCAAAAATTTCACTTTTTTCTGCGACCCTGAACGCTCAAAGCTTGGTTCAAGGTCTATAGTGAACAACGTTCTTCCTTGTCTTCTGGCTAGCTCGTCCATCGCTACTGGGTTTTGATCTCCACCATCCCATCAAAGTCAATCCAGCATGCCTGGCATCAAGCGTTCCAGGCCAGCGGAGGATGCAGCTGCTAGCTCCTCCAAGTCCAACTTCACCAAGAAAACCAAGAGCTCTTCCACCCCTAGTGCTTCAAGCTCGGCACCCACCACCTCGCTCCTCTCAGCTCAAGAAGTCGACTTCCCCCGTGGTGGCAGCTCCGGCCTCACCCCCCTCGAGTTCCGTGAAGCTAAGCGTGAAGCTCGTTCCGAATCGACCGCCAACGAGCTCCTCTTCAAGGATGCAAAGGATGTTCAGGCTGAAGCGAAGCGAAACAAGAACAAGCAGAAGTTCAACAGGGAGAAGCGCAACGACGCCAAAAAGAAGCGAGCCACAACCGAAGTCGTGAGGCCAGCGGCAGGAGAGAAGAAGGATCATATCCGTATCGAACACATCAACTACAAGCGTCTCATTCCTGGATCGAGATTGCTTTGCTCCGTGCTGGCAATTCACCCGCTCGCTGTGGTCGTTTCGCTGCCGAACCAGATGCTTGGTCACATTCCTGTTACACAGATCAGCTCTCAGTTCACACAACGTTTGCAAGCTGCTGCGGATGCCAATGCTGAAGATGACAGTGATGATGAACAAGACGACGATGACGAGGACGAGAGCATGGACGAGGACAGCGATGGCGAGGAGCCTGCCAACCGCACATCCAGCAAGAACTCCAAGAAGGACGCCAAAAAGGTTCCTGAGCTGCGTGACCTCTTCCACGTTGGTCAGTGGCTCGTTGCCAGCGTTGTCCAGGTTCGAGGTGGTGACGTTGCCAAAGGTCGACCCACTCGTGAAGGCGGCGAATACGAAAAGGAGTCTCGTCGTGTAGAGCTCTCCCTCGCACCTCACCTCGTCAACACCGGTGTCACCCTCTCCGATCTCGATGCAGGTGCCACCCTCTCTGCCTCCATCTCGAGCGTCGAAGACCACGGCTACATGCTCGACAGTGGCATTCCTGAGTTCCGCGGCTTTGTCCCCTTCGCTGATGCTGCCAAGCTTCCTTCCAGCTTCCACGCAAGGAAGAACGGAAAGTTGCTCCAAGTCGGTAGTGTTGTCTTTGCCAAGATCACCAAGATCCCCGAAAACCGTCGAAGCTTCGAAGCTACATTCGATCCCAAAACTGTCTCAACCAGTCCAATCAAGCACGTTCCCAGCATCACCTCTATCCTTCCGGGCACATTGACAAAGGTACTCATCACAGCGGCGTTGCCAACTGGACTCAACGTCAAGCTGTTCGGCATGTTCGATGCTACCATTGACCGGTTCCACTTGCCACAGCTGCCAGAGGGCAAGGATATCCAGGATGTCTACAAGGAGGGATCCAAGCACGTTGCACGTGTGTTGTGGGACTTGCTCGCTCCTCCTTCGACCGCGTTGCAGGGTGATAATCCAGACCACGAGCGCAAGTTTGGTCTTTCCTTGGCTCCTCAAGTTCTCGCTTTGCAGGCTCCTGTTGCAAAGGACCAGCAGCTGTTGCAGCACGCTTACCCCATTGGTGCACCTCTTAAGGTGAAGGTCGTGCAAACGATCAACGACTGGGGTCTCATTGTCTCGATTCACAACACTGATCTGCGCGGGTTTGTGCACATCTCGCAAGTCTCAGATGACCATGTTGTCTCGTTGCCTCCCTCTTCGGGCCCCTTCGCCAAGGGCACTGAACACAAAGCTCGTGTTGTCGGCCACTCTCCCACTGACCGCACCCTTCAGCTCTCACTCAAAGCTTCCGTCTTGGAGCGCAAGTTCATGCGCGTTTCTGAGGTGGAGGTCGGCGAAATCGTCAATGCTAACATCATCAAGCTCGGTCTTCCCAACACTATCTTCCTCCAACTCCATGGTCACGTCGACGGTGTTGTTTTCGCAAACCACTTTGCCGACGTCAAGCTCACCCACCCCGAGAAGCGTTTCAAGCCCGGACTCCAAGTCAAGGCTCGCGTTATGGACGTCGATCCAAGCCGCAACCGTATTGTTCTCACCTGCAAGAAATCGCTTGTCAAGTCTGACCTCCCCATCGTTGCATCGATGCAAGATGCACGAGTGGGTGTTGTGACACATGCAACTGTCTTCCGTGTCCAGACCAACTCTCTCATCGTCAGCTTGTTCGGCGGATTGAAGGCACTTGTGCCTGGAAGAGAGGTCAGCGAGGATGACTTCAATGACGTCAAAGATTCGTTCACCGAGGGCAAGGTGGTCAAGATGAGGATCACCGAAGTTGACTACGAGAACCAGAAGCTCGTGGGTAGCATCAAGCAAGCTTCTTCTGAGTACTTGGCCAAGCTCAACGTTGATGCGGTTGAGGTGGGTGAGAAGGTGACGGGTAAGGTCGCTGCTGTGCACAAGGAGGTTGTTGTGCTTTCGCTTGTGCCTTCTGGTGTGCGTGCGCTCTTGTCGCTTTCCGTGTTGGCTGCGATGCGAGGCACCACTTCCGAGGCTCTGCTTGAGAGTCTTGAGGAGGACCACGAGATTGAGGACCTTGTGGTTTCGGTCAAGAACCCGGCTAAGGGCATCGTCATTGTCGCTGACAAGGTTCGCTCCGGCAAGTCCACCGACCATTCCGCCGCCAACGGAACCGCTACTTCAGCCCAAGTCAAGCAAGGAGCAGTAGTCCAAGGCCGAGTCATCGAAAAGAACTCCAAATACCTCGACTGCATCGTCGCACTGGGCACTGCCACTCGTGCCAAACTCCACATCACCGACCTCTCCGACAACTACTCCAGCGATTCCTCCACCCTCCCTAACCCCGGCCAGAGCGTTTTATGCTACATCCTCTCACTTAAACCCAACGGTAAATCCGCCGTCATCTCCACCCGTCCATCCCGTACCACTGGTTCTGGCGGCATCGTCGACCCTGAAATCAGCTCCATCTCCGATCTAACCAAAGGTCAAAAAATCCGTGGATTCGTCAAAGCAATCACCAACGTCGGCCTCTTCATCACTATCGGACGCAAGCTCGACGCACGTGTCCAAGTTCGCGAGCTTTTCGACGAATTCGTTCGCGACTGGAAAACCCGTTTCACCCTCGGCCAAGTTGTTTCGGGTACCATCATGGACCTCAACCCGGGCAACAACGAGGTTGAAATGTCGCTCAAATCCACCCCTGGATCGATCAAGCCTCGTGCCGAGAAGGTGGAGGAGCGTGCACAGGCGATGCAGAAACAAAGGCCGAAGAGGTTGACTGATTTCAAGGTCGGGGACAAGGTGAAAGGTTTTATCAAGAACATTATCGGTTTTGGTGTCTTCGTGCAGATTGAAGGTACGAATGTGAGCGGGTTGGCTCATATGAATGAGTTGAGCGATGGAAAGGCGGACGAGGCGTTGAAGGCGTTCAGGGTGGGAGATAAGGTGAGGGCGATTGTGTTGAGGGTGAATGAGGAGAAGAGGAAGATTAGTTTCGGGTTGAAACCGTCGTATTTCGATGCTGCTGATTTTGAGGGTAGTAGTGATGAGGAGGAGGAGGAGGATGACGATGAGGAGATGGAGGACGGCGAAGCCGCTTCCGACAACGACGAGGCTAATGACGAAGATGAAAAGGAGGAAGAAGACAGTGCCGACGAAGGAGACTTTGTCGAGATGGACGAAGACTCTGAAGACGAAGAAGCCGCCACTTTCTCTTTCAAGTCCAAAAAGTCTTCTCTCCCCTCATTCGCTCTCTCTGGCGGCTTCTCCTGGTCTGCAGGCGCCAACGACGACGACGAAGAGTCTGACCACTCCCTCTCATCTTCCGACTCTGATTCCGACTCGGACTCCTCCGCCACCACCGCCCGCAAAGCTGCGCTCAAGAAATCCGAAGCCAAATCCAAATCCAAACGCTCCACCAACATCGAAGAAGACCTCACCGCCGACCTAGCCTCTAAAGCTCCCGAATCCGCCACCGATTTCGAACGTCTCCTTCTCGGTTCCCCCAACTCCTCTTTCCTCTGGATCCAATTTATGTCTTTCGCTCTCCAACTCTCCGATGTCGACAAAGCGCGTTCCATCGCTCGTCGAGCACTCAAAGTGATCAACTACAGAGAAGAACAAGAGCGAATGAATGTCTGGATTGCTCTCCTAAACCTCGAAAACACCTATGGCTCAGAAGAAACCCTCGAATCCACCTTCAAAGAAGCTGTCCAGGCAAATGACGGTTTCACCATGTACCTCAAAATGGTCAACATCCTCGAAGCCTCCAACAAGATTTCCGGAGCTGAAGAGATGTTTACTAAAGCCAAGGGAAAGTATTCTACTTCGCCCGAATTTTGGATGGAATACGCTCGGTTCTACCTTCGAACTTCTCAACCCGACCTCTCCCGTGCACTCCTCCCTCGAGCAATGCAAGCTTTGGAGAAAAGGGAGCATACATACACAATCACCGCTTTCGCCATCAACGAGTTTAAGCTGGGCGATCCTGAGCGAGGTAGGACCATTTTCGAGGGCTTAGTGGATAGTTATCCAAAAAGACTCGATTTGTGGTGGCAGTACATAGATCAGGAATCGAGGTTGGAAGGGAATCAGGAACAGGTAAGGAATTTGTTTGAAAGAGCAATGACGTTGAAATTGACAGCGAAGAAGGGGAAGAGTTTGTTAAAGAAGTGGTTGGAATATGAGAAGAAGAACGGGGATGGGAAAAGTCAGCAAAAGGTTATTGGGAGGGCGAAGGAGTTTGTTGATGAGATCAATCGGAAGAATGCTGCTCAAGGAGAGGAGGGTGAGGGTGAGGAGTAGGAGCGAGATTCTGTATACACAATCCGTAAGGCTATTGAGTCATATTTGTTACCATCCTTCTCTGAATGTGTGAACAGCTGTCCCTCTCGACAATGAGCAAGTGTGAGAGTTGAAGTCGCTGCTGAGCAGGAATCACACAAGGACGATTAGTGAAAAAGGGACCATGCAACTTTCAGGCTGGCGGCAATGACCTCGAAAAGGATTGGTATAGCTAGTATTGAATTCGATTGCATGTGGCTAGACGGAACAAAACGGCTAGAGAGATGCGAGGGGGGCTGCAGGCTTCGATTCTGGCGACGTGGACGTCAGAAAGCAGTCTCTTCCGTCCTACGAATGGTCATTCATCGTTGGTCTCGCTTAAGCAATGTGTCGACCCAACAACTCGTTCAAGTAGTAAAGTGCAATAGGAGCTGTATTAGCCGAAGCAGTATGGTTTCTGTCAGCCTCGCAATACATTTCGCCTTCCGCACCATTCCCATGTGTATTGACGGAGGAGTAGAATACTCACCAGTCCAAAGACCAGCAGCGTAAACAGCAAATTGTTTCAGAGTGTTCCGTGCTTGAAGACGTTCAGCAGCAGCCTCTGCGGGAGATGGTTGTCTTGGTGCTCCTCCGAACATCGTTACGATTTTTTTTGTACGAGTCTTGGATGATGAGGAAGGAAGGAAGGAGGTGGTGAGCTGAGAAGAAGTGAGTGGAGGTGAGGAGAATTTTTTGGTCCCTACGGATCCCACCCGATCCCGATGTTCCCGATTTCGAGTTGAAGGCGATTCAGGGTCCAGGAGAAGAAAAGTCGCCGAGGATGTTTGACATTTGGTTCTTGTGCTACCAACAACGACGAATACGGCAAGCATGTCCAGCGGTAATGGCGAGTCCAGCACTAGCAATGGTGGTAAAGGAATGAAGCGTACGACAGTACAGCATCAGCAACTACCACCAAGACCAAAGCTCGTTCCGCAATATCCTTCTGCCGAAACCCCTCGCCCGCCCGTCTCCGCCTTTCACGATGAAGAGCCAGTATGCCTTCCATTCTTTCTCTCCGGTCTCACCCAACCAACATCTGAATCGGGAGAATGGGTCTCTGTGATCACTGCGCCTGCCTACGCACCATTTGAAAGCTGGCTAAACGTAATGCAGAGTTTGATTCGACATCCAGAACGAAACTCAGGCAATATTCTGCGGGCCGATATCCTCAGCGAGACCTGCGCTCAACAAGATGAGGGAGGTGGCAAGCAAGGAGGGTGGAAAAAGCAATGGACAATACGACGAGCGTTGCTCCCAAGAAGACCAAATTTAGATTGGAGGATGGAACAGGATTGTTCCCTTCACTACCGCCTCCACCCTCACAGTGCAGGAGAGGAACACGGAGAGGAGGGGGTGGAGGAAGCAGCAGTTATATACACCCCTTTGATAGGTGCCGAATCTCATCCCAAAATGACTATACCCGAAGAGGGTAGGGGAGGACTGGGTCAAGCATCACCAACGGAAGCCTACATTCCATTCTACCACCCAAAAGTCCGCGCTTTAGCCTTCCACTACCACCCCCACCCCTCCTCTTCCACCGGCAACACTGAAGAACCAACAATATACGGCCGACTCAGTATATCCCTAATCCCCTTCCCCCCCACCACCTCTTCCCAACCCGAACCATTCCCCGCTACCCACCGTCTAACCCGAGTCGCACTCTCACTCATAACCACCCTCCATACGCACACATGGGGCGACCTGCACAGCTACCAAAAACGAGTTCATCACGACCAAATCGTCCCCCGCACCCTCTATCAAGATCTCTACCTCTCCCTCAAAACCAAATATGCTTCAGAGTTGATCGCGGGTTGGGCAGAAGCTACGGATCCGACAAAACACGTTTTTGAAGAGATGGGAATCGCTGCGTTTCTCATTTCTCTTTGGAGTCTTGAATATGGGAAAGAGGAGGGTTGGAAGGGGAGGGTGAAATTTGTTGATGTTGGTTGTGGGAATGGTTTGTTAACCTACATACTTTCGCGGGAAGGCTTCTCGGGTGTAGGGCTGGATTTAAGAGCGAGGAAAAGCTGGTTGAATTACAGCTCGAAAGGTGCGATGTTGAAAGAGTGGACGTTTACTCCCGCCTCCCTCCTCCAACACCGAGATGAAGAGGGGAGAGACGTATGGGAGGGGGCGTTTTTGATAGGAAACCACGCAGACGAACTTACACCTTGGATTCCCGTTTTAGCGACCCACAATAACTGTGCGGGTTTTATAAACCTGCCATGCTGCTACTACGGTCTGGATGGTACAAGAGATTTTCCTTTGTTGCTGAAAGGAAAGGGAGAGGCGGTATCGAGGAACGAACAGTACCTAGCGTACGTCTCGATGTTGCATGAGAGGTTCGGATGGAACTTAGAGTCAGAGGCGTTGAGAATTCCGAGTACTAAGAATTGGTGTTTTGTTGGTCGAACCTGGCTGCCCACTTCCACCGGGGACCAGGGGAGGGAGGTGATAAGGGATAGAATTCAAGAAGCGATCCAACAAGCCCTCACTCGTGGATGGGCCGCTCGCACGTCCACAAAGTAACAGAGTCACACCAGAAATAAGAGTGTTGCAAAACCACTGTATCGATCACTACTTGAAAGCATTACTACTCGGAATGCCAACCATACCGCATAAAAGCGTCCACAGTACTAACCTTGGCATCCGTAAAAGCACTCAGTATCCCTCTCGCTTCCATATACAACCAGACCTTCAACATGGGTAACATTCTCCTTATCTCTTCTTTCTTTGGAACATGCATCATTCCTCCTCCTTGCTGATGTTGCAATTCCCTACCCAAGTGCCTTAAAATTGGCAGCGCGGATTTGAAGAGATCCATGTTAGGATCGAGTTGTCTTCCAATCCCTTCTAGAAGTAGGATCGAGATAACGGTGTTGACGAAATCCGCTTCCATCTTCACATGATGATCTCTAACCGCCATCAAAACCTTGTTAAGTACGTCAGAGATTTTGATCTTGGCAAGAGAGAAAGTCTTGGACTTGACGGAAAGAACAAGATCTTGCATCTTCATCGCAAACACATCTTGATCCACCACCAAATCCGGAGTTTTACATCGTTCGACCATTAAATGTCCTGCCAAGGCACCATCGAACTGTGCCACGGCCGAAAAGAGATCCAAGAAGTTCCGTCTATTCAGCGGAGTCAACTCTACAGTTAAGCCTGCATCCAACAACACAATCTCAGGTTGGTATCCTTGGGCATCCAATCGATCCAACTCGTCCAGCCAAGCATCCTGGTCGTGCCTCAGCGGTCGAAGACGGGTAACAATCGATTCATCCACCTGATCATCCGGCGTTGCAGGCGCCTTCTTATGTCCCGGAGCATAATCGCTATCGAATTTACTCAAGATCCTTGCAAAAAGATCCGAAAGCAGCGACTCCGTACTCGGCTTATAAAACTTGATCATGATGTTTCCCGGATGCAAATCTGCATGGGTAAAATTGTCGATCAGGAGCATATTCAAGAAGGCATCCAAGCCCAAATTCGCTATCCTATGATCGAACTTTGCTCCTCCCATCTGTAAGAAGTACTTTAACGGCAAGGCATCTTCGTATTCTTCTATGAGGACCTGCTTTGTGCTAAACTCGACGAGTGGACGGGGGAAAGAAATGGCAGATCGACGACGAGCGAAATTCTGCTCGAAACGATTGAGGTTGTTCGCTTCGTTACGCAGGTCGAGCTGAGAGAACATCATTTCGGAGAATACGTCCACCTCCTCGGGAAATGAAAGCCATTCCGCACCAGGGATAGCGTTAATGACGTTTGCAAAGAAGCGCATGATCTTGATATCTCTTCCGATCGTCTTCTCTACTCTCGGATGTAAAATCTTAATCGCGACACTGTTGGTCGGAATCTTGGGTGGCGCCGCTTCTTCCTCGTACGCCAGTGCCAACGTCTTGGAAAGTTTCTGTTTGGTCTCCGTCCTGGCCGCTTGCTTCTTCTGCCTTCGATATCCCGGAGGCAGCAAATCGTGCTTCAGAGTAGCCTTGTACACCTGCGCTACCGCGCCAATCCCCATCGGTTCATGCCGGAACTCTTCGAAAATCTCATGGAACGGTCGTTGGAAGATGCGTTCGATGACCCTCTTCGTATAGCGGAACGAATGCGGTTTGCCATTCGAATGCAACCTTGCCAACCTCTGACAAAGTCCATCGGGGAACAGATCCTGCCGACTACCCGCCCATTGAGCAAGTTTGATGAAAGTTGGACCGGCACGTTCCATCTGTTTGACGAGGAAAGAGTACCACCAGATAGCTCCCCATCGATCTCCGTCTTGGTCTTTGCGGACTTTTCTGCCTCGCATTCTTCCCTTCTCCCTCCTACTCCCCACAAGAAGCATGGGCGAGGTGAGGATGACGGGCATGAAAAGACAGAAGAGGTAGAGGAATCGCCTGGCTGTTCCGAAGGGTTCGATGATGAACGTGTGAATAACATTGCCGATTTTGATGAAGGCTCGGATGATGATGTTGCGGTGATGGAGATCTTGGTCGTCTTCAGGGACAGGTGGGGCGAAGCCTTGATGCTCTGGTTGCACTTGCTGTTCTGCTTCGGACTCGGACTGCAGTGGGTCTCGGGTGAGATAGTATCCGATGAGAAGGGCAGTTCCGAGACCTGCGATGGCTATCGAGCTGATGCGGCTGACCTTTGCTGTGGAGGTGGAGCTGAGGAAGCGCACATGGTGCTTGTTCGGCTGCACTAGCTGACGAGATGCCAGGTTGGAGCCCGTTGCGGACTTGAAGGCTGGCGAGCGAGTGCTCGACCTGAAGACTGAAGTGTGAGATGAGATACTGCGGTTCAACGGTTTGAAGCATGCATTTCGCGAGAGGTTGGTGACGTTCGATCGTGGTTGTGATGTGAGATGCTGAGCAATGCGGCTAGCTGGAGCCGATGCCAGCCTTGTTCGCAAGATCGGAAGCATGATGGGCTATGCTATCCTACTGTAAGCTTAGTGCGAGATAGAGGTGATCGACGACGTCTTAGACTGTCATGCCTGTCGAGACTGAAGGGCTCGTTGAATGCGAGCTGCGCTGTTGATCGAAATCGTCCGTGAGCGAAGAAATGGAAAGGTATGATGACAATGTTGCGATAGATGAAGGATGAAAGGAGAGCATTCAGGGTTCTGATGGAGGATGAATTGCAATCTCTCTCAGGCAGCGATATGCTGCTGTGTGTGAAAAGTGCCGCTAACTACGTAGCGATGCATTTTCACAGTCAGCGATTCTCAAACAAAGCGGTTTATTTCTGGTTCATTTTTCCTCCACTTTTCTTTTTTTTTTTTTTTTTTTTTTTTTTTTTTTTTTTTTTTTGTTTCCCCTCTCAACGCGCTTCCAACTCGACACGCTCTTTCGCACTTTATTTTATCGCAGCGAGAAGAAGAACGCGTTTCCAAAGAAATGAATATTCATGACCTACGAAAGACGAACCCTTAATTCCACACAAGTTGACTTTGATATTGCTAAGGTAGCACAAACATCGCCTTCCCCACACACTTTCTTCTTCTTCTCATCCCTATACCACCCTCGACAGACTGGCAACCATGAACGATTCCAACGACTACGAGCAAGAACGGCTCAAAAACATCAAAGAAAATGAACGACTCATGAAAGAGCTTGGAGTCATGGGAGGTTCTTCAGCCATAGGAGGACGCTCCCCTAAACGCTCAACCCCAACCAAACCAAAGAAAGCAGCTGCACCCAGCAAGAAGGCCGATAACACCCCTATCCGCGTCTTACCCAAGCGAAGCAGCGCACGATTAGCCGGCCACGAGGCAGATTCAGAAACACTCAAGCGCAAGTACGAAGCGGAAGCGCAAGAAGCACGGAAAGTCGCTGAAGCTGCCAAGCGGGCAAGGCATCAGCAGTTCGATCTGTCCGGTATGACAGGGGGAGAGTTGGAGGAAGAAGCGATCATGGCATTGGAAGCAACACTACATGGACTCGCATCGAACGCTGTTTCAGCGGCAGAACTTGTTGATATCAATGATGAGAAGAGGAGGAGAGCAGGAAAGAAGCAAGATCCGGAACGATCAGTGGAACGACAAGAATTAGAGGATATTCTCAATCGAATGACACTGAAGAGTGCAGCTAAAGTGACGCCTAAGAGGGTGTATTCGATCGCTTACCATCCAGCTACGGATAAGGATTTGGTGTTTGTGGGTGACAAAGAAGGGTCGATTGGTGTTTGGGATGCTGCGCCCTCTTCCTCTTCTAGCAGAAATGGCAGGAATGGGGTGAAGAAGGAAGTCGACGATGACGAAGAGGAAGCCGAAGAAGGATCCTTCCCCCAAGGTACAGCCTGGACTTTACAGGTACACGGTCGTAGTCCAGTGACATGCATCAAGTTCGACCCTGTCAACCACAGCTCTGTTTTCTCAAGCTCATACGATTCCACCGTTCGCAAACTCGACTTGGCTACCGGTAAATCCGACCAAGTCTGGGCGGGAGAACAAGATGTTCTCCTATCCATCTTCGATGTTCTCTCTCCCTCGACACATCCTAGTGCATATATCGACACTCCGAATCCTTCACTCGATCAACGCTCGATGTGGATTGCTGATCATCGCGGTGGTCTCTTGCACATCGACTTGCGAGAGAAGACAAGAAGGGGCAACAACACAAGACGATGGCAGATATGCGAGAAGAAAATCGGTGCAATGTCCGTCAACCGTCTTGCTCCACACTGCATTGCTACTGCGTCTCTAGACCAACACGTTCGACTCTTCGACGTCCGAGCACTAGCATCGGTGGTAAAAGAAACAGCCGAGGCGCCGTACAACTACAAAGGAGTCGACGCAGACGACCTCGAAGCAGCCCAAACAAAAGCACAATTTGCAGCCAACAAAGCACGACAAGCTTGCACCTCTGTCGACTTCAGTCCACGTGGCGATCAACTCGTTGGCGTGTCTTATGACGATGCGGTCAAAGTATGGTCTATGGACCCTAGCTGGCTTTACTCCGAGCATGGACTCAAATGTCAATCTGCTACTACCACCACCACCAACGGCACTGCTAAGGGCGGAAAGAAGAATGCAGCTGCAACAATCCAAAAAGAAGAACCCGACACTCCAACAGGTGGCTTGTTCAACTGGCTCTCTCGAGCAAAACCGCTCAAAACAGAAGCCGAAGTTGAAAAAGCTATCAAACAAGAACGATGCACTCCAGCAACCAAAGTCGCAGATCGACCCCAAGATGTCTTGCACGAACCGCTACGGATTCCGCATAACAATCAAACGGGCAAATGGTTGACCATGTTCCGTGCTAGATGGAATCAGAATCCGTTGATGGAACCGCATTTCACGATCGGAAGTATGACAAGAAGGGCAGAGATCTATGCGAGCGATGGCACACTGTTGAGGACGTTGTGGGATGAGGATTTGGTAACAGCTGTTCCGGCTGTCACTTGTATGCATCCTGTACTGCCAGCGAGGTTGGTGACGGGTAATGCTTCGGGACGGTGCACTTTTTGGTCTCCTGATGCTTAGGCCTTTGCTTCCACGCACTTAATGATACCCATTTCACTCTTTGTTGACACACTTCTCATTGCAATTGCAATCACCTTGCCTTCTACTCAACTGCATGCTTTCTTTAGCCACTTTTTCTTCTTCAGATTTATCGTATTTTGCTATTCGGGACTAGATCAAACAAAGATCTTATACAGGAGGTGTAGGATGTGCTCGTTGCGAGAAACTTTAGAGCTTTCCCTCGGAACCAAGATCAGCATAAGCCTCCTTGCAACGGGTAGCCATGGTCTTTTCACCCTCACGAACCCAAACACGGGGGTCAAAGAACTTCTTGTTGGGCTTATCAGCACCGTCAGGGTTACCGACCTGGCTCATGAGGTAATCCTTCTTGTTAAGGATGTAATCACGGATACCAAGCAGGTAAGCCCACTGGGTGTCGGTGTCGACGTTCATCTTAACCACACCGTGCTTAACAGCAGTCGAGATTTCGTGCTTCTCGGAACCGGATCCACCGTGGAAGACAAAGAAGACCGGGTTTTGCTTGTCGCTCTTGATCTGAGCACGAACGTGTTCCTGGTGCTTACCGAGCAATTCGGGCTGAAGCGAAACGTTTCCGGGCTTGTAAACACCGTGAACATTACCGAAACCAGCGGCGATCGAAAAGTTGGGAGTGATCTCCGAGAATTCGCGGTAAATGTCCCAAATGTCTTCGGGCTGAGTGTAAAGAGCAGCATTGTCGACACCTTCGTTGTTGACACCATCCTCCTCACCACCCGTGATACCGATCTCCATCTCGAGCCAGATACCGAGAGGAGCCATGCGCTTGAGGTACTTCTTGCACGTCTCGATGTTCTCCTCCTTAGGCTCCTCGGACAAGTCAAGCATGTGAGAGGAGAAGAGAGGCTCGTTGTGCTCCTTGTAGTACTCCTCGTCAGCGGCGAGCATGCCGTCAAACCAGGGGAGAAGCTTCTTGGCACAGTGGTCCGAGTGCATGATGACGGGAACACCGTACGAGGGGGCAACGGCACGGATGAAAAGAGCGGCAGCCTTGGCACCAATGATGGAAGCCTCCTGGTTCGAGTTGGAAAGACCCTTGCCGGCAAAGTTGGCGGCACCACCCTGCGAAACCTGGAGGATCAAGGGAGACTTGGCGTCACGGGCAGCCTCGAGAGCCGAGATGGCGACCGAGGAGGACTGCAGAGCACGGAAACAAGTCGCAAATTTGGCGCGAATTGCAGTAGAAGCATGGCAGACATTGTCAGAATGCAGAGAAATGCATCAGAGAGCGGTCAGCAAACTTTTTGTTACACTTGAGAATGCTGCATTTGCGCACAGCATATAGTTCGATTGGTCAGGTACTTACGGTAACATTGAAAGCGGGAATGGCAAACTTGTTCTCACGAGCATAGTCGAAGACCTTGTAAACGTCCCTTCCGGAGACGACACCGACGGGAACAATGTCAAGAACACCCATTCTGTTGTCGTCGCCATCAGCAGGCAGAAAAAGCAGATGCAAAAAGCGATGATAATTGTCAGCGTGGCCTGCTGCATTCCTGTATCAAAGTTGTTCTGTCTTCCAAAGCTATAGCTCTCCATGCCAGTCCACGAGATGGATGTCGTGAGACCTTGCCGCGTGGCAGCATGACCAGCACCTTAGGGAGCGAGGGGGTGTGGATTGTGTTTATTGCTACTCACTTTGATAGTTGTGTGAGGGATGAAGAAAGTGATGGTATAAAGGCAAGAAAGCGATGGTGGAGGAAGAGTAGGGAGAAGAGAGCTGAAGCGGAGAGCACTGATGCTGAACCCACGAGAGGAGCTGTGATCGATCTTTGCTGGACAAGTTGCACAGAATGCAGCAGAAAACCAACGCTGACCGATGTTGGTTGCGCTTCTCGACACATGACCTCTCCCTCTCTTCCTGTGCCTTTTCTTTCTCTCGCTGCACGGGCACGTGAAATCGATCCCAACGAGACTGACTTTCGATCGGGTTGCAATCCTCCATCGCAGCAGAAGAAGCGAGATTTACCTCCACCTTGCTTCCACACTCTACCTCCCGATGCGCACTACATCGCGGGCCTCATCCCTCCCGGAAACATCCGTCTCCGAAACATCTGTCTCTCACCAGTTATCTTGTAGCTTAGCTTACATGGTCCGGGCGTCGGGAAGCAACGCAAAACGCGCACGGACAATCACGGATACCAGCCCAAAATCCGGCACTTCCGCCATCCTCTCTCTTCTTCCAGAAGGATGCTATGGAAGAATGTTGAACATACAGATCGGGGAGTGGAATGAGATCGCAGATCGTTATCGGCACTGCTCTGAATGTTCGCTTGCCCACTCTCGTTGCTCCTCACAGCAAGGTACGACTTCGGTGCATCTCTGTCTTATCGATGTTGCTGTTGAAGCAACCAAAGTAAATCTCTCCGCAACGCGAAATAATTCCTCCGAGAATAATAGCAGCTGCGATGAGGCATGACGCTTTTCCGCTGTAGCCTCTCAACGCTGACCGCAAAGGTTTGCAGCGTCCACACGGACAGCGGTCGTTGATACTTCGGTCTGCTTCGCAGGGAGTCTGATGGTAGGGGGTGAAATCGGGTGCCGATCGACTTCTACTTGGCTCTACGCATACTCTCGGAGAGTGATCACATAGGCTTATCCTGCAAACGGAGCTGGTTGCTGAATCCGCGTCAACATACTTGGACAGGTCATGGTATTCGCAATTAACAATCCCACAGTCTTGGCAGGCAAAGCAAGATACGGAAAGATGCATCTAAGATTCGAACCGGAAACGGATATAGCAAAGTTTCTACAGACACTCTAGAAGCCCTTGTCGTACTTGCCAGTGCTATTACCATCAGTGCAAGGTGGAGCGCGGTTAACAATGTCCGAAAGCAGCGAGAAGGAGTTCAAAAGCATAGGTTCCGTTGTCAGTAACTGTTCCCCAAATCAGCGCAAGTATCTCGGACACATTTGCTACAATCTTCGTACTTACGCATAGAAGGCCTTCATATGGGCCACAATCTTCTCCAAAGCTGCCAACCACTTTTCCAACTCGACATCCACCTTATCCTGAGGACCCAACTTGGCATAGAAATCTTTCCTGTAAGGACAAGCCTTCATTGCCAGCGCGAAGACGGGTCGAATTAGCATACCGTGATGTGGACGCAATGTGGTACCGTATGCGCTTGTGAAGCTGGTAGCGAGTTCTTCGTTTTTGTTGTTGACCGAATTACGCACTGCCTGTGCTGTGAAATCGAGACCTCTGAGGAGCCACATGAGTCCTTCGGTGGCAGGACGTTTGGATGTACCTCCAGGACCTTCGTTTTGGATGAGCTTTTCCAGGGTTCCTGATTGAGCGGAGCCGGTTGCGTTTAGTCGCGTGTTGATTTTCTGTTGTCCGGCAACAACAACATTAATGGGCGGTGGGAGGAAAAGAGTGTTCAGTAGGTGTGTTGGTTGTTTGGTTGTGGAGAGGTTGAAGGGGGGGAAGACTTACTGCGATGTTGCCGTTCATGTCATTCTGGACTACCTTGAATGCAGAATTGCCGAGCAGGTCGAAGAGCTTGACGAGACCTTCGCAAGCTTCGAGGAAAGCTGCTGTGTCGACACCGCCCTCAGTGGGGACATCAGCGAAGGACTGCGAAGACCGAGGGGGTCCAGAATTTCCAGAGCGTTAATGACGGGAGGAAGAGCCAGGTCCGTCGGGTGGCAGAGAAAGCACGAGCAGCAGAAGATAGTCAGTGAAGCTGATCCAAATCTGTAACGCGAAGTCCTTGATCAAACAGCGGTGGCGGCTGTACTTACACGCTTGCATTGCTCAAAGTAGGTAGTAGCCATTTTGCAATGGTATCTATGGGGTATTGAAGATGATGGTTGGTGCTGAAGAAGGGCGGAGAGGAAAGAGTAGATAGTCACGCGAGCCAGACCTACAAAACGAGCTGGAGGCTTCGGCGTTGATGCAACAAAGTGTGCCTGACCCGCGTATGCAGATCTCTGAGAGTGACAGACAGGCTGAAAGTGTTGATGATTTGGGCGAGAAGATGCCAATTTCAGGGAGAGAGACAGAGAGGGAGAAAGGGAGAGAAAGTGCGCGCACAGACCTAAATTGTCGCCCCCCTTTTTTACTTGCTTTTTGCCTCAAAATCTGCCGGGTGGCAAGCAAGTGTCGGCGTGAGAGCGAATTGGCCTCATCTTTGAACCTGCACAGCATAGCTTTACACCATCTTAGGCCAGCTTCATGTTTGGAGCAAGATCTCATTCGCCATTCCAAGGGTGGGAGACACGCATGGCGTAAGACTGATAATAGCGTTGTTCTTCACACACGCAGTCAAACGAGCGACGAAAACCAGGCGACCTTGAGCTTTACTAGTGATGAAAACAATACAAGGGAGCCAGTCTGAGGCGTGAGAGCACTCCCACGCCGCTACGAGATCAGAGGAGCATGAAACGCGTTTGAAGGCAACGCCGTAGCATCCCAGCGTGGATATCTTAGAGCTTGGCAGCAGCAGCACGAGCCACCTTAGCCTTGATCAGACCACTTGGGTGTGCGGTAGGCAAAAATACCTCGGCATCCTTCTCGTTCAAGTTGCTTAGACCCTTAAATCCGAGGTCGATTGGGATGTAGTGCTTGTTTGGCAATGCAAAAGCAACATCCTGAACCGTCTTGTTAGTTGCATCGCCAAGGATGGCTTCACCCATACGATACATTGTTGCTTGAACACTGGCTGAGTTGTCGAGCGAGAAGACGCGCAGAACGTGTGCCTTGACGGACGACTGAATATCGCAGAACTTTGGCAGTGCTGAGGCGTTGTTGAGTGCAGCGGTGAGTCCGCCCTTTGGCAATGCGATCGAGTAAGTGCACTCGACCTCTGTTGAGAAGATGCGATCACGAACCTCCTTGAGCGTTGTGAAACTGTCGCGGTGGAAGCCGTGAAATGCACTACCGCTGCTCTTGAGCACGAGCAAGCCTTTGATACCGCCTTCGAGGGTGGTCACGTTGATTTCGCTACCGGATCGCTCGCCGAGTGCGCGGACGGTACGCTTCTCCTCACCATCGCGAACAAAGCTGTGCTTGTGAGCACCGCCGTCCTTCTGGTCGAGGACGATGCGTGTCCACTTGTGCTGAATAAGCTCAACCTCGGTCTTTTCGATGTGAGAGTAGGTGGTAAGAAAGTGCTTGACGACGTGAAGCGCATATCGTTCGGGGCAGAGCACGTCTTCGGCGGGCAGCACCTTGGCGAGGTAATTGAGGGTGTTCTTGACAGTGTCGGTAGCGACGACGGGCGAGTTGTCGGCTTCGGTGTAGGAAGGCGTGAGGCTTTCACCGTGAAGCAAGCATCGGACGGTGTATTCAGCGACGCGATGGGAAGAAGGGTCCTTGCTGTCACGGACGATGCGGAAGATGCGAACGAGATCCTTGCCGTACGAGGACGACGCGAGGCGAACGTTGGAGGAAGAAGCCTTGGACGACATTATGAGCAGTGCTATGCTTCAAGCGATTGTGAGCCTGTGATTGCGGAAGGGCGGACCTTTGATGCGGTATGGTGTCGACCTCGAACGTGATCAAGCTTGGAGGGTCCGAAGCGGGGACGAGAAATGGTGGGTCAGAAAAGCAGGGTTGGCTAGAGGATATGGTCAGGAAGGAAGGATGACCTCTGGATCGCAGTCGTTATATGTAGCTACAATGACGAATAGACGAGGGTCGAGATACAGTGGTTCGGTCGCAATGGAAACCGGATAGGCGGGAGCAGGTTGTCAGTTTCGGTGCGGATGTGCGGCAGTGAAGAGTGTGGGGGGGGATAGTTACCGATAAGAGAAAAGAGAGCGGGATTTCTGACTCTGGCAAATCGGTTCATCCAAAAAATCGCCTAACTTTGACAGATTGCGAGCTGCCGTGGCAATGCAACCTCAATTGGTCATTCTTCTCATGTCAATCAACGGCTCAAGCCGAAGACAAAGTCTTGCTCTTTGCAGATCAGCGAGCTACTGTATGTTGAGCCTTGCCGGTGCATTGCTTGCACAATCGTAACTCTGAACCAAAGAGCAGATGCCGTCTTGTGATCAAGGCCACGCCGACGGGATGGGGCCGCCAAAAGAAGAAGAAAAATGTGGAATGGCAACGTGGAGATCGCCGAAGACCCTGTCCAAGCCTTTCATTTCCATCAACCTTGGAACCGTTTCCATGCTTCAGCCCTTCATAGTAGCAGCTACAGCCTTTTTGTTGTCGTCTATGACATGCTGTCGATCTGGTGCAATCTGATTTCAGGTGCAAAAGCCTAGCCTTGCTTGTATTTGTGTGGAGCAACTTCTGTTTTGAGCGGTCACGAGCTCAAGTTCGTTTATCTGTCTCTGGTTGCGTATTACCTTCAGCTCCTGCTAATTGATCTTCATGCTCCTAGCACAAGCGATTGCAGACAGGGCTCATACAAGCGAGCGACCTGGACATGCTCAAAGCAGAACTGAATGCCTCGGACAACGCCGAATCAGCAAACAAGAAAAAAAAGACTCGCCCGCCTCGGCCATATCCGAGCTCAACCCGCACAAAGAAGCGTCTCAGATCGGTCCATCGGCGTGACCAGCTCCCGATATATAGCATCCCGATTCATGCTCTCAACACGTCTCAAAGGGCACGCGCGCGCGTGTTTGATGCCTTTGTGTCACCTGCAACTACTTTTTAGGCTTTCATCTGCGCTTTTCAAACGCACACCGCGCACCGTCGGCAACATCAACGCGAATTCTAACACCATCCACAGAAAGCTTGTCCGACATATCAGATCCTTTCTGAACCTTGGGTTCAACCCATTCCGCGGCATCTCCACAACATCCACCTCGGAACGCTATCATGTTGTGCTGGAGAACATAGCCAGACCAAAGATGGAAGCTGGCAACCTGATACACCGGAGCCCGTCCAACACCTACACACACACACACACACACACACACACACACACACACACACATATCACACCGCGGCATAGCGCTTGGCTCTGTCAATGACATCCCCATCGTCACCAGCACGCTCTTTTGCAAGGTATGAAGCAACTTCGCCTTTTCGGAACGCCTTTGCTTCATCCTCGTCCTCTAGCACTACCAAACCTGTCCACAGTCCTTTCCTGAATCGACGAGCTCGACACAGCAATCAGTCTTTATGTACCCCTCGATCCGGTCAACCAGAGATCTCGAGACCACCAGACGCAATCTCAACGTCCAGCAGCACACTCGTTAATGCAGACACTGCCTCCGACTACCGTCCCTGGGAAGTACGATCCGAAGCCAGCTTGAGCACCAATTCCCTGGACTCTGCTACGATAAGCAGAGGCGGGCGAGCAACACCAACTTCTTTCTCCACGCTGGAGGATATTGGGACGCTTACTTCAATACACATCTCTCCGCTGCCCAGTAGAGCGGATTCTCGTGCCGCGAGGGTCAGTCAAGGGTCAAGTAGGACGAGTGTAGAGGGAGGAGCTAGACGAAGCGTAGATTCGAGCTTGACGAGGATAAGGCCAGTAAAGCAGTTGTGCCCGGACGATTGTAGATGTTCTGATCAGGATATTGATTTGGGACTGTGTAGGAGGGTGGTTGGGTCTTCTTCTTCTGGGTCTGAGTCTGGGTCGTTGTCCGTTGGAATGCATGCCATGCGGCCCAGAGCCATAGCCGATTCCACAATGGAAGCGCAGGGCGATATGAAACGGGATCCACAAGAAACTTCCCATCTCTCATCACAGTCGCAGTCGGAAACTCGCTCGCAAGGAAGAGATTTTGATAAAGATCCCATTCTTGTGCCAAAATCAGCACGGAAGGGGCGTTCATCCACTTCGACGTACCAACATTCTTTTGATCAACTACAAAAAGGTCTCGATACACTCGATAGTAACGAATCCGACGCAGACAGCGATGCGAATCAAGTTCTTGCCGCACAACGAAGGGCTGAGTCGATGGCTCGGTGGACTGCAAGACGGTCTTCTATGGAAGGTCGCTTATCACGCTCACCAGCAGTCAAAGTAGGACCAACGTCAGAACAGCCGAAAGCCTCGCCTTCACGCACAGCTCTCATCCAGCCACGACCAGAGCTCAAGGTAGTAGACGAGAACGCAAGCCCATCCTCACTCCATACAACTCCACTCAAAGCAACACCTGGTCGTAAAAGCATCGCCGCAGTCTTCGAGTCGATGCAAAAAGACCGCAAAGCTAGGGCAGCGGAAGAACACAAACAGTGGCAAGAGAAACAGGCAAGACGGGAACGAGAGAGAGCTGCACGAGCTTTCGGACTTGCGTCGCGGCGAAGGACATCTGCAGGGTCGAATTCGATCCTGGACAGTCCTGCATCTGTTTCAACTGTGCCGGATACGCCTCCGATCAGCGGAGATAGATCGACGAGAGAGGTTCGACAGGGGTCTGCGAGGTCTCCAGTTTCAAGTGCGATGAGTGTCTCGCCGCTGCTTTTGAGTCCAGGGTCGCCGAAAGTAGATGAGGGTGCAGCTGGCGATGTCCAACCGCGGCACTTGGTCGAGGAGGCTACAGCGAGGATACCCGATACGCTCGCTGGAGCAGATGAGGCAGGAACAGCTGAAGAACAAGAAGGGAAGGAAGAGGAAGCAGCAGCAGCACTACCAACAACGCCCAAACAACCATCGACATCTGCATTCGGATTCGCATCCCAACCAATGGCTTTGGACCTTTCGCCCGCTCATACCATCTCTTCGTTCTCCTCAAGTCCTGCCTCTTCACCGCGGAAAAATGCGCATAGGAGACAGGACACCAACACAGTCAGCCAGTCAAGTCGGTTTCCCGCACCAACGTCTTCCCTTAATGCTGCGCGAGCGAGGTTGAATCAGGTGCTTGATACACCGCAGCAGCAAGGGGGGAGCGAAATGTATCAGACGCCGAAAAGTGGGATTTTGAAGGGGATACCACAGCTCAGTAGTGCCGCGAAGAGAGGACACAGTGTTAGGTTTAGTCCCAGACCTGATTATCGTTCTGATTCGGGGAGTTGGGATGAGAGTGGACAGCAGAGTTTGCGTGGAGAGGAACAGGAGGCGGAGGGAGAGGATAGGAGGGAGAGGGCGGTGGAGAGGTTGCTGTTGCCTGCGAGGGAGATTACAATTCCAGATGTATTGGTTTCTGCATCTGTGCCGATGGAAACTGCTGCAGTCGGGGAAGAGAAGGAGGCAAGTCAGGATGGCATAGATCAAGAGGAGCTCGCACAGTCGTCGCCGAAGAAGGCGAAAACAGAAGAAACAAGTCAACTGCATACACCTTCCAAAATCGGCAACGACTCCGGCGCTGCAACTTCTTTCTCCCAAAGTGTGAGGATCCCAGGAGCGTACGCACCAACACCAACCAAAACTTCTTATTCACGACACGTCATCAAACCGAGCCCACAGAATCCACGCATGCGGATCCTTCCTTTCACGTCCTCTTCCTCCACCACATCATCGCAAGGCAAGGGTGAATATGTTCTATTCCCAGACTCCACCCTCGCATCTGCCTCTGGATCTTCCATCCCGCGCGAGTCTACACCACCGCCCTCGTTCGTACGTGCACCAGACGACCCTCGCAACTCACCCCGTTCTCCTCGACCTGCCAATCTGGGCAGAGAGCAATCTGCACGTTTCAATGCGGGATCTTCCTCTGACGATTCCGGAAGTTCATTGCCCGGAGTGGTTGCAAATACGAAAGCGAACGAGGGCACAGGCGCTGGGGTGGACGATTCGTTGCAGCTTACAATAGGAAAGATCTTGAAGACGGTTGAAGAATCTCACAGTGCCAAAAAGAAACGATTGGCGTTGCGGGAGCGATTGACTGCTGTCTCTCACCAGCTAGCTCCTCAGCCGTCACAAAAGAGGGAACGCTCATCGTCACAACCCCAGCTCGAGCTAACAGAAGAAGATGGAGAAAGGCAAAGAATAGAAGAGTTGAGAGGGGAAGTTATGCATGCGTTGGCTGTTCTAGCTGACCGTCTTGGCCAGCTTAACAGCACTACATCTTCTGCTGCTCCTGGTGACATTTCGTCTATCTCGATCGCCTCTTTCACCTCGCCGAGGGACGCGAAGAGAGGTCTTCCGAGATGGACAATGTTGCTGGTGGTGATAGCACAGTGCGCATTGATCGCCTACTTGTTGTCATTGGCAGAACAACAAGCACAACATATGCGGATGTTTTCTCCTTCCCCACACCACATTCTTTACCGAACACCGGGAGAGGTCAATTGGAACGCTAGAGCACAAGACATTCACTTAACTCCCCTTCTTTCCATTCCGGGACTCTCGCATCTCGCTGCTTCCTTCCCGCCTCTCCCTTCCCCCTCCTTTCTCAACTTGTTGGATGGGAATGCTGGGTTGTGGACCGTTTATAGGTCCTACATTAGGTTGCACGGTTGGACTGCGTTGATGGTGCAGCTAGGAGCGTATGCTGTAGCACAGTTGATATCTTGTATCGTATTGTTGATTTTAGCACCAGTGCAGGTGTTGTGGTTGGTTGTGGATCCCACTCGATTCTAAAATATACCCTTTCCCCCGTCACTCGTTGTACAATTGGTTTTGCTTTACTTGCTCATTCTGTATCATCCCTTGCTCATCGGATCACAACCCTACACACGAATCAGTATTGTATATGCGAATGAATGATGTGCAATTTGAGTTGAGGAAAATGCTGAGTTGTGATCTAAATACCCTAGATATGCACGGAACATCTTTTATTTATTTATATATATATATATATATTTTTTGAAAAAGAGTTGTGAAGAAGTGGTGACTACGATATGATGTTATACAAGAGTGATGCTGATGATGACGAGATAGAATTCCTTAGTGATTAGAGTTGAAGCGTAAGTGATACGGAATGCAAGGTTGGCATCGTTGAGATGATAGCCATTCGGAGACGCCGGAGGTGTTCAACATCGAAGGCATTTTTGTTTAAGCTCGAAGACTGCTGCGTCCACGAAGAATGATATTGGAATCGAAAGATCCGCCAGAAGAAAGAGATCAAGACTCTTCACGTTGGTCATCTCCGTCCAGTTCGAGATCGACGTCGTCGAAGCCGGGATCGGTGAAGTCGAGTGTGCCAGTGGGTCGAGTGCGCGAGCGAGGCTGCTGACGTTGTTGCTTGGGTTCAACTTCGCCTCGGTCAGAAGCTCGGTGACCGTAGCCTGCCCAGGAGACTTCGCAGTCTTGGTGGATCCAGCGAGAGCGAGAGCGGGATGTGGAGCCACGTTCTTGCGAGCCTCGTCCTCGGCGGGTGCTGCGACCACGGCCACGACCGCGAACATCAAGGTCCTCTGCAGGGGCAGCGGGAAGGGCTTCCTTCTCGGAGATGAGTGCTAGCGGTGAAGGGCGTTCGGGCAAAGCCGATCGCAACTCCTCGTCGTGGTGATAAGCGTCCTCACCGCTGGATCGTCGCGAGTCTCGAGCCATCATGGGCATCGAGATGGGTTGCGAGCGAGGCGAGATAGGAGCAGGCGAAGCTGCACGTTTCTCCTCGATGAGAGCCGAATCGCGCCTGGCAGCAGCTCGAGGAGGGCTGGGACTGCGACGGTGCGAGCTCCTTCCACGAGCTTTGGATCGACCACGAGGAGGGGTAGCACGCACATCTTGCTGCTGTGCATCGTCAATGACTGTGGTTCGTGCTGTCTGACGACCTTGACGTTCGATTGACTTGGCAGCTTGTGTTGCCTCTTCGGTGTTGACGAGCAAGTCTCGCAACTTCATGTGGGTGAAGGAGAGACCAGCTGCGGCACTGTGCGAGTGCTTGTGGTACTGCTTCATGCTGCGGTATCGCTCATCAGCTTCAAGTCGAGGCGAGATGGAGCCGCGACGAGAGTTGGAAGAAACGAGACTGCTACCGTAGACGTTGTGTTCACCCGAGAGGTTTGAGATGGTACGGCATCGGTCGCAGCCGAGCTCAGTGCTGCGAGGGCTGAAAGCTCGCGAGCTCAGAGGACTGGTGCCACGGAGTGTCTTGCCGGCAGATGAAGCGACCGAGTGGGCAGGAGGCGGTGATCGGGTCTCGAGCTGCTCGGAGCGTCCACGGCGTTGGCTTGTGCTTGCAGAAGGGAAGGCTTGAGCAAGGATGTCCTTAGCTGCCTTGCGTGTCAAGGTGGCATCCGCATCGGTTGAACGCGAGCGGAGATCTGATGAGCCATTTGAGAGCGAGGAGGATGCAGTTGCACGGTGGTCCTGACTGATCGCGGTGACCATGGTGGTCGCCGTGATGGCAGGAGAGGTGTACCAGCTGCCTCGTGAGTTAGTGTTGCTAGGACGGCGAGCATACCATAGAGGCGACTTGGGAGTGCGGCCATCAGTGTTGGTGGGGCGCGGTAATGCTGCTTGCGATCCGGACTTGGAGCTCTTGCGGAGCATGACCGAGCTGGCGGTGCTGACGGAAGGAGGAAGCTGGAACTCCTGCGCATCGAGGTCACTCGACTCATCCTCAGCGGGGCCGTAGGCGGGTGATGGTGTCGATGGGTCAGTGCGGGCAAAGGCACTGTGACTTGCGTTGGACTCCGAGATGGAAGAAAAGGTGGACTGCGAGCTGCTGCGCTTTTTGGTGTGTCGAACCTCGTTGGATGTCGAGGAAGCCAGGCTCAATCGACCCCTGGATACTGGTAGTGAGCTCTGGTATGCGGCAAGAGCAGGTGATGTGAGGTAGGTGGTGCGGTGAGGTGCAGACATCTGAGCGAGCAAGCTTGGGGATGGTGGGCAAGGGTATCGAAACTTGGAAGCATCGTCGAGATTGACAAACTCATCCGACTTGGGGAGGGGAGAAGCAAGGTTCTCGATGAGAGAAGCCTGGGTCACCTCCTTTGCGTCAGCGAGCTTGCAAGCTTCAGAGCAGAAGAGCTTGCCGTGTGCTGTCGAAGCGCCGCAGTTGGTGCAGACATCATCGCCAAGCCATGAAGAGAGCTCATCGGCTGGAGTGGTGCGAATCTCAGAGATCTCGCTCTCCTTGCGCCCAATACGGGCGAGCGAACGTCGGTAGATGCCGGCCATGTTGGCAAAATACTGTAGTGGTGGTTGTGGTCCGACGGTGGTGATGTAGAGCCGCTCAAGCTGTGTAGCAGCAGCTTGAGGACTTGAAGGGGCTCAGATGAGGCAGGAAGCCTATAAGCAAAAGGGCTGGCTGTGGTGTGACTCGGTGAAGTGATGCTGTGTGTGCGTGTGTGTGTATGTAGTGCTGCTTTGGTGGAGGGCGGCCAAGGCTGATGGTGAAGTCGAGATTCCTGTCGAGGGTTACAAAAGAAGGAACAGAGGAGGGGCTTCTTATGTGAAGAAGGGAAGGGTGCGGGGCGAGTACAGGGTGGAGGGTTGGCAAGATCGAATTGTGATTGATGCGAGATGCGGGTGTGACTCCAGATGATCCCAACGGGGAGGGTCGTGGCGTTGTGATGTGATGTGATGTATGGCGAGCGAGCAAGAAAGATGAAAGTTCGAGCTACTGGACTACAATGGTGCTAGTGCTGCTGTTGGTTGGCTTTGTGCAGATTGTGACGGCAGGAAGAGGGGCGGAAGCGTGCATGCAGCTATAACTGACGTGACTTTTGAAGAAAAGGGTGTATGCAGAGGTGCGTGTCACAGTGTGCTGTTGACAATGGTCGCAATTGGTCTGTGTAGTAAAGAAACAAAGGGCAGTTGTGACAAGACGGAAGAGTGGTTGCGAGTGATGGAAGGATGGATAGCGTTATGAGTAAGGGTGTTGCGGGTCCACTTGCAGGAGAAAGAGGGAACTTGACAGGTACACCCTTTCTGACTCCACACGGTGGGCAGTGCAGGGTGGGTCCAACGAAAAAGAAAAAGAAGGATGAAAGAAGGACCTCCATAGACGGCATCGAGCAACACACACACACACATACGTAAGGCCAAGGGAAAGCGGAAGGGATCGCGGGCAGGTGGTGCTTCAGAGGGTAGCTAAAGCGGACGTAAACGATGATCAACGCAAACAGCAAGCAAGTAGGCGAGGGCAAGCGGAAAGGTAGCCGGAAAGAGGGGGAAGGAGCATCACCACACGCAGGAAAAGAGTAGTGTAACAGCATCGCGCACGCAAGGCAAGTCGAAAGGCACAGCATAGTTACACAAAGCTTCAGAGTCATACCTCACAGCTAAGCAGGCAAGCAGGCAAGCAGGCAAGCAGGCAAGCAGGCAAGCAGGCAAGGGTCGCACGTTGAGCAGAATCGAGCTGTCAACAGCTGCAAGCGTACATACGAAAGGGCGCGACTTGAAGGGATCAGGGCAAGGCGTAACTTACAGCGTGGCAGGGAAAACGTCGTCGGAATTTTGGGTAAGAAACCTTTGCAGTCGCAAGGCGACATACGAGAGCAAGCACTTCTCCTTAATAAACAATGAAAACTTGTGGTTTTTTAGTGTTTACGGAAAACAAACATCGAATGGCGTCAAAACAAGAGCGACGCAGAAAGTAGGCCTGACCTGCTCGTACAGCAACAGCAAAATCACAACTTGCAATGCTCTGATGAGCTGACCAGTCCAGCCGATGACTCCACTTACAGTTCAGGCCCAAGTCGTTTAGCTTGAAGCGTGTCGATCTATTTTCTGACGCTTACCGTTGCCCAGACCTTGGACTTCACTTGGCCTTCTTTAAGGCATCCCATTGTTCCTTTCTACTCTAAACTTTTCTAGATGGTGTAAGAGTCCATCTGTATTGCTCAGCCTCACTGCTTCATTTCGGCATTTGGAAAGAGGGACAAAGCCATGACTACAATGTGTTGGGTTAGGAACAAGGCGGCCAAAGCGGTCCTCTTTTTTCTTTTTTCTTTTTTTTCTTTTTATTTTAGATTTTCTTGTGCGGACTCATTCGGAAAGAAGGAAAGAAAAAAAGAAGAGATAACAATGCAGAAAAATGACTTTTTTTTTTTTTTTTTTTTTTTTCTCCTTTTTTTCTCTCTCTTTGCAAAGGTTCTCTTTTGCACCCATCAGTCAGACCCTTCAAAACCGACAGAACGAACGAAAATTCGGATGCTCTTGACAGCATCGAGCTGTAAGGTGAATACGCAGTGTCCACAAAGTAAGTACGCACGCCGGTCATATCACTTGTTCAGCATGGGCAACATGTAATTGTGCAGCAGGGAGAGCAGTTTCGTGGCTTGGAATTTGCTTTGAATGTGGACGGTGACACGAGAAAGCGTTGTGCTGCTGCATTCTTTTTGTTGGAAAAGGGAAAAAAAGGGGACTTTTTGTGGTGCGACTCGAAAATCTTGAAGAAGAAAGGGAAAGTGTGTAACGCAAGGGTACGGAAGAGGAGTTGCCCATCCAACCAGGATCGAGAACGTTGACACGCTTCTCGAAGCTTCTCAACTGCCTTGCTGCTGTCTGAGATGTGTGTGGTACTTGCGCCACTTTTAGAGGCGCTGCAAGTGGGTTCACCTTACCGGCCCTCGACAGCTTGAGCTTTCCTCTCTTCAGGGTTACACAAGGCCGCGGCTTTGGCGAAAGCAGGCCCGAAGACCTCGCTCGATTCTTCTTGTTCGATCCAAGCAAGATTCATGCCTCAGCATCGGACACTGTGCCACATTTCACCTCGATGCATTGCACCATAGCTTAACTTGAGGCGACTGTCACACCATCATTAGTGGAGTTGCAACGTAGACAACCTGCGCCTTGGCATGCTCTAAATCGACCTCGGCCTACAAGAAACTTTTGACGAGGTGAAAAGAAGAAACAAGGTTGTTCTTGGTCTTACTCCCTACAGCAAAGGCCATTTTAGGTTGCAGCAAACAGTGCAATCCGCGATCTTCATGGCAAGCCGACAATTGCTTGGAAAGCAAATCGAAAAGAGTTGGAAAATCACGCTGAATTTAGCGGAGAGAAGCTCTGCAATTACTTGCCTTGAGTGGATACGAGAAGACGGCTTGCTAGATGGGAACAAGAACGTGCTCGCCTTTGCCAATGGCGATTTGACATGACGCCGGCCAAGGGGCACGTTTCCATCGCGATGTGTCGCATCGAGGCAGAAAACGTTTCTTCATGTTTCTTCACTAAGTTAGTCGTGGCGCCTCTATGCGAGTTGCTTCGTGTCAGATGCCTTGCGTCGTTTTAGTCAGTTCTTGCGTCATTTCATCGGCACCGAAGGAAGCTTCTAAGCCCTTCTCAGCTGTCCACCCGACTGTCCTTCCACGCCTTTGCCCTTGGCGAGAGACTTTTTCTGAGAATTCTGACAGATCGGGCTCAACGGATCAACGATTTACGGCACGGAACACGTGTGTCTTCGAAAGTCGGGTTTTTATTTGTCGGCATTTTGCCCCTTTTCCGCTTCTTCTTCTTTCCTCTTTGTTCACCGTCGACCGCCGACCCTTACCATCCAAAAGATTCGAAATGGACCAAGCTGTTTATGCTACGACTCTCTTCTTCACTTTGCCAGATCCTGTTCGACTTTGCAGTCAGAATGTCGCATGCTGCGTCGACTTTCCAATTGACTCGTTTCTCGATTTACAAATTTCATGGCTGCCTCACTTAGCACTCTCGGCTCATTACCCGACGTCGCCAAAGCGATGCGATGTTGCCCATGTTCGCATACACGAAACACTGGAAACGCAGAGTCCCCATGCTGGCTTTGGCCCCGATCTCAAGATCCAGCTGCCTCGCTTCCACCTCGACACAGTGAAGAGAAGCTCGGTTGCTTTCTCCCTTTCTCCCTTTGCCGCTTTCCGCTGCACCTCTCAATTTCGAATTGTGTCCCGCTCTCGGTCAACAGACAGCTAGCCGCCAACCCCTGACAGTCTGAGTCGAAGCTCAATTTTACGATCGACACTCTTGTGCGAGGCTCGATTCTCCGGGGAAAGGCTATCCGCTCTGCGGCGTTACTCATTGCCCCAAAGAGCAAAGGTGGCCCTCCCCTTTTTCCCCAACATTTACCTCGGTCGTCGCACAAGAGGTGAGAGGTCAGCTCTCGACTGCCTCTTTCTCGTTTCGCGCTGTTCGATGAGACCTTGCTTCTCCATAGCGCCCGCGCGACCGCGTGTTGCTTGGCTTGGAGCTTGCAATCTAGCACATTGCTGGGAAGCTACCTCGAACAGAAGCCGTTCGCTGGTGTGTATGGCTCTCGTGGTCTCTCTGTCCGACTGTGATTCAGCTCGTCATCTCGCGTACGGAAGCCGTCTCTCCGGCGATCGACCCTAAAACAGCTCTATTGACAAGGGCATTGGTCATGGGCAGCAACGGCAGAGCACTCAACTCCGCTAGGAAACATGAGCTCAAACCCCGCAATTAGATCACACAGGGATCCCTCGCTTCGAATAGGTTCCGTCTGCTGCCAACCAAAAAACCCCAATGGCCGGAACTGAGAACAATTAAGCGGATTCTCTATCCCACAACTCCGTTCATCGGGCCAGTCGTCATATTCAATCAGAACGATAGTATACTATTGCAATAACGTCACCGGTGCTCTTGGGCCAATAGCCGGCCATCATGGGTTCGATCAAGAGCAACAACGCGGGCACACCCGGTTAGGAGCGGATAGTAGAGGCCCTCGTCGTGTTTGATTGGAAGAACCTAGAGCTTGGCAAAGAGTAAGAGTGGGGACAGTGGGGACAGGGGAAGGTCGCATATCAGAGGTGCATCCAATCAAAAATAGCTGCACTTCCAGCCCGCCTGAAGAGTTTCTCCGAGAGCAGCAGCTAAAAAGGACGAACTCCTCAGATCAGCACGCAAGGCCCTCTCTACACTGTACCGAGGTGGGGCGAATCAGATTGCTGCTGCTGCCTGCGGTATCCGATGCAAGCGGAGAAGTTCGAAATGTGGGGTACGAAAGGAAATGGTGTCCAGCGGTTTCGAAACAGAGCTGCATGCCTTGACACAAAGGCGCTTTTGTCTTCGCCCATGTTCAATCCCGACGCTGCAGCTTGCAGTTGCGACAAAGGGATCACATAAAGCACGCAAACTCATGCGTGAAATAAGCCACCTTGTTGTGATCTGATAGTGGCTGGCAACAGCCAGTCAAGAGGCTTGTTCATGCTCAGCAACGTCGTCTTGAGCCACATATGTTCGCATGGTAGCTCGACGCAAAAAAAAAAAAAAAAAAGAAAAAAAAGAAAAAAAGGTTTGGGCCAAAATTTCCAAACTTTTGGTTCGTCGTGCAAGAGAGGGAGAGGTACGCGAGATGTCTGCCAAGAAATGGCGGAGTGTAGGCTTGATCGTTGCTCGAAACATGGCTGCTGCTGTTCATGGTTACAGATTACATCCCACCATGCTCAACGTCTGTTGTTGACCGAATTCCGAGTGGCTTGCAAACAATGTTATCGAGCCCAAGAAGCGGTTTCGGATACGAGGTCGGAATGGCAATCGCGAGGGCGCACGCGGGTCGATCGTTTGACTTTGCGATCTGTGGCTCCGCTGATGTGTGTCTAGCCCATCTGACATCTACTCGGTCATGTGCCACGTTGGACTCCAAGGAGCATCATAGAAGCAACAATGCACACGTGTGGTCACGTCCCCGAGTGGGATCTTCCTCGTATCCAAGAGACGACGGATTGTGACATGGTGTTGCCCTCGTTGCGGCCAAGCCGGTGTTGGTAAGGCCGAGATGTCTGATACAGGCAAACGCGTAATACGAGGCCGTGTTTGCAGCCTTCTTTTGAGTTGGTCATGGTTGTAATTCATTCTCAGTCTACTAGCAACTTCAAAAGGTAGGAGCTCAGCTGATGATCAAGGCTGGTCCCTTGGGATGTGGCAGCTTACACACTCGCCTGACGAAGCACTTATATCCCGTGCTTGCAGTGTCTCCATCTGAATTGCTCGTTGAGTCTCTCATGTCCAAGCTCGTGTAACGTCACAATTCCATGCCTCTATATTGATCCACTTTTTGTCTGATGGGTATTGTCCTCGTGCCCTCAAAAGGTCGGAATCTTTGATATGGCAGGATCTGGTGAGATTGACTATCCTGACCACAAGGCCCGATGTCACTTTTGCATTTCCCTTCTTTTTCTTTTTTTCTTTCCTGTCTCCTCTCATCCCACGAGTCAGGCATCTACGAGATACACATACTCTCTGCAACACTAGCTCAGGTGGTTTCGGACTAGTAGCTTCGTGGTCTAGCCTAACATACTTGTTCGACAACCTCTTTGCTTCAGATCACACTTTGCAAAAGAAAGAGCAAAGAAAGAATGGATGTAAAAAGGTTGATGGCCCTCAAAATAAATAGATGATTTTCCAGTCCAGAACACCGCCTGACTTCCGACGTGACGCAATGACATCTGGATCAGCCGGCTCTCTGCCAGATTGTGCTGCGCCTTTCAGCTACCGCAGAGACATGCGTAAAGCAGTTCACGAGCGACGCAGATCCGGCAATCTATGATGACAGATTGCCTTGCTACAGTATACTGTTCATCTTCCGCTCGCTTCGAACCTCGCAAAACTTTTGCTGTGCAGCGGACCAAGCTTTTCGCCCATCGAAGCAAGCAGCAGCGTTGGACAAACAAACGTGAAGTCAAGCTTTAGACTTTGAGTCTTCACCCTTGCACCCGTTTACGAACCCTCCTTTCTGGCTCTTCCCTAGCTCAGCGCTAGTAGCGAGACACAGAGCATCGCCGCTTGAAACCAATTCCCCGCAAACGGAAGACGAAAGGTCCATTTCAATCTTTTTCTTTCACGGAAGTCTGCACTGTATGTGGCTTGACCGAGGCATTATGGTGCCGTCGAGTTGCCGAACCCAGCCGCTTGGCACACGTCTCACTCACCCCCGTCTGCAAATCACACAAGCTCTGCGCTGAGATGGTGGTGACTTGCGTCGATCGGTGACGAACGAGACATACTTTCGTAGACCGGAGATTGTAGACCTAAAAATGAAGTACTGCAGCAAAAGTATTTTGGTACCTCACGGCGACCCTTTTTTAATCGGCCCGACCAACAACAGCTCTGCCATCGCACTACGGTTGTCGGCTTTGTGATTCTTCAAAGGTCGAAAAAGTCTTACGGGGCTCTCCGTCGGACTCGCTCTACGCCAAGCTTAGCGATCGTTCCCAGGAAACCGGTTACATTGCCTCTACTGTATCGTTAAGAAAGGCACCGTCGTCCCGGTTCGGCGAACGGATGACGCTGTCCGTGAAGGATCTCTGTACAGTCCGCCTGACGGCTCTCAAGCTCGTGAGTCGTACTCATAATTGTCTGAAGCCTTTAGAAAGGTTGTCCGGGATGCTGGTAAGCAGCAACCGACCGCCGCTGCCGACAAACTGAATCAACAGACGATGACTATACATACACAGGGCAACAGCATCGCGTCGATCGCGTACTGACTACGTCAACATCACAAACCCGTAAGCGAGCTAGAAATGTCCCGTGACCAATCTTGCAGACAAAATAGAGCAAGCCACACTCTTGTCCCGTTTTTGGAGCCCTTCAAAAAGAAAGCCTTCGTCGGAAGGTTGTGGGAAAGAGGTAGGATGGCATAAAATTGGAGCCAAAGATCACACATCGAGCATGAGACATTTTGGGTGGGCGCGCCATTCGCTTACCCGCACCCGTTGAAAGTCTTACTTATTTGGACCTCATACGAACCCTGAATGGTCTTAACCCGTCTAGTTCCGTAGCAATACGGGATGCAAAAAGGATACGCAGTATGTAGGGTGACTGGTTGCTTTGCAAAGAAACAACGATGCGAACTTGCACTCGAAGCTGTTCTGAGGACAGAGCCGTTGCATTGCGCGGTGCGAGAGTGTAGTAAGGAACATCGCCTAACAGCAGCCGAGAAGATCGGGGCTGCATGATGCCGAGATGACATTCCATGTTATTAGGCCTCACGCTCTCCAACGGAAAACAACGGGCCAGGAACAGGCCGATTTGGCCGATTCTCGAGCCTGCCACAGCAGCACGTTGGCAACCTATCTTTTCAGCCTTGTTACCTTGATGCAATGCGATCGAAAGCAACAAAAAGCAGCATGAATGCGTTGTTGGAGGGCGTGAGTTTGTGATCACTACAGCAAGTCAGCGTCGCTTCACGACCACGAGTGATGTGATTGCATCGATGACCGGTCAAGACAGCATGGAGCGTGGATACTGGAAGCCATCGCACTGTGGCTTTTTGTAGTAACTAACCCTCGCCGCTCCTTTATCAACGGCCCTAGCCTTCCTTCATGGTTGTCCCTTGGCTCATAGTCAAGCAACGTTCAGCCCACATGCTTGTGTTTGTGTGCGTGTTCTGACCTCCACTTCGGAGCCTTTTGTTTCTTGTCATGACCATGTGCGTCACTGGAACGCATCAATTTAGTGTCGCTTTGTCGCTGTGACAACAGAATCCACGCTTTCGACGACGCGTCAGCACGCCATTGCCATGCTAGCTTCTTCAGCACACGAAGGAGCTTGTGTGTTACAATCGCTAGCATTGAGAATGAAGTCTGCGTTGCGGCCTGAGCGGGAAGCGTTGCGTGAGCTTAAGGTGGCGCAAAACCCCCACTTTCGGAAGAATGGGCCCGAACGCGACTTGGCAGTGCACAGATCGTGGAACGTGACGCCGCTCCGGCACAATCACAGAGCTGCTAACATGTCGACGCAAAGACCTCCACACCGGCATCCAATGCTACTGAGAACGGATGCATTCGCGCACAGACGAGCTGTCTGTCCTCTTCGATCTTCACACTATGAGACTTGTGCGTCCATCCAAAAGGCTTCTCGTACGATTCTGTTTGCTGTTCATGCTCCTCACACCGTTTAAGCTCGATACGCAGAGATCGTTCGTCCTATACACAGACTGCATAACCACACGAGACTCGAGCTGATGAGAAGGGAGATGCTAGACTGAAGGAAACACAAAATGCTAGATCAAGATAAGCTGAGAAGAGGGTCACGCGCCAACATCGCCGCGATCCAAGACCTCAGTGTTGGCCACGTCCACCTGGATCAGCTTGGCCAACAGCGTGTAGACGATCATGAAAGGCTCAAAGGGAAGGTAGACGAGTATGAATCGCATCGTAAAGACAAAGGCATGCAGACATCCATAGATGGACGCCACATGACCTAAAATCGCTCCAAAGATGCCCATATGAGCGCCTTGCATGAATGGATCGTTCAGGAGAGGCTCTGCCATCGGTTCTGGCTCCGGCGCTGGTGGAACCTGTTCTCCCAATCCAGTGTCTTGCGAGCCAGCTGCATCTCCACAAGTAGCATGGTTAGCATCGCCGTCACCATCAGAAGGACCGGACCTGGTGAGACTCCTCAACAGCTGGCTCACAAGCCCCTTGATCCTGCCCGTGGTATATCGAACGATGAATAGCGACGTATCCCTGGTTTGTCGCCAGAGATGACGGAAGCTGTCGCCAGAGTGTATAATCAGCTGATAGATGCTCACCAGTGATCGCCATGCCTGCCTGGCGAAGTGGGAGATGGTTGTATCCCAAGCCAGCTTGGTAGCGACTACCAGCGCGATAGCCGTCGTCGCGAGACAGCCCAGCAGCATGACCGTCTTCCATGTGTTTTGTCTGGGTAACAGCGCCATCTGGAGCGGTTTCGTACGACCAGGCAGCAACCTCGTCTGCTCAACCTCAAGCCAGAGATCCCAAATCGAGGCTTTACTTGCGTCCTTGTCACCAAGCATCGTGGCAATCATCCGACGGTAGCCTTCGGAAGCCGAATGGTCGTTGTGCACCCAATCTGCCTGCGTCCATCGGCTTGTATGAGACTTCTTAAACCTGGCTGCACGGTCACTGGATGTCGAAAGCCCTCCGAAGGCGACATCGATCAGCAAGGTAAAGGCAGGAGCGAACACAGCCGCCAGCTGGGTCATCTCTACGCGCTCCGTCGTCATGAACTCGCGTGGTTGCAGATATACCGACAGAGAGTAACCACCCCACCAGTTGAGCCAGAGAGGTCCAAAGACGCTGTCTGCTGCTACCACAACCACTTCTCGTACCACGGCAGCTAGCTTTCGTCTGCGCGTTCGGGGCGGTCCGATGACGATGGAGTTGTCTGGGTTCCATCGCACCGGCTCAAACTCGACATCAGTGTAGGCGATGAGACCAGCGACGATTGCTTTGCTAGCGCACCACATTAGCTCGCGGTTCGACTCCATGAGCAACAACGCAAGTTGCAGTGCAGATCGAGCGATGGCAGACCACCATGGCTGGAAGACACTGATGACGAAGTAGAAGCGGTCCATCATAGCAAGGACGAAGCCGTAAGCAACATATCGAAGGAAGCCGAGCCATTCAGGAAGACTGCGCACCAAGAAGTGCTCCGATGGGTTCGGGAAGAGATCGGCGGGTGACTCCTCATACTCCCAGTAGATTGTCATGTTTTGTCTTTGCCAAAGCTCGACCTCGTCCAGCGCTTTTGCGGCATCCGTATCTTTATGCGAGGAGGAGAGGAACGGAAAGCTGAAGGGAAGCTTGAGCTCGGATGAGATAAAACGTTCTCGTAATGAGGGAGTCAAGTTGTAAGGCGTTTGCAAGCCGCTGTTCGAAGCATTGTTGCCTGCTGTCCTTGCGTTGAGTGATCCTGCTTCTTTCTGGCGCGGACTACGACGCCAGCTGTCCAATGGAAACAGAGGAAGACCCTGAGACAGACGTTCAAGCTCTCTCTCGACATCCTCACCGGATCTGAGCTTAGTTCGAATGATCTTTGCGTCAGAGTAATTGGCTCGGAAGGCCGATCGAGGGCGTCTGACCAGCTTCCAGTAGACTGGGTTGTCGATTTCTTCCTGTCGGATTCGAGCAAAGACCTCAAGGTCTGCTCTTTCGTAGAGGTCGTGGCTGATGTGGGGCATAGAAATGCTTCCTCCGCGATGCCATGCCTTTGCAGGGACCCAGACGTCGGCGCGCGCCTGATCTTTGTGTATGGTGATATTCAATGGTGTCTTGTCAAGCTGTACTTGTCGCAGTGCCGCGTTGCGGACAAAAGCGAGCGGAGTTGCTTCGAAGCGTGCCATTGTGCTTAGCGTCAAGAAGGACAGAACACCAAGCAGGAAGGATGCAACAAAGATGACGAAGACGCAAGCAAGAATGCGGAGCATCTGACTGGCCTGCACGAAAGCCATCAGGTTCGAATAAGGTCTGCGTCGGAAACGGTAGCGAGCGTGGCATTGACCGCAGACGCAGGCTGCTTCCGAGGCAGCTGACTGACGCCGCCATTGGTCGAGACAGGTGTCATGGACGTAGCGCATACTTCCATCACAATGACATGGCGCGATGAGTCTTCCTATTGTCAAGCCATCATCACCCAATTCGTCCTCGGACGCGAAGCACATACGACAGACCTTCTCTTCCGCCTCGTCCTGATCTGCCGGTGCTGCTTGAGAGTTTGTCGGACCTTCTTGATCTATGAGCCTGGAAAGTGCAGAGGACCCATCGGGTTGATCTTCATGGCTGCCCGTATGACGATGTCTGAGATCTTCTTGCTCATCCCCAGCGGCTGGTCTTTGGTAACCCAAGTCTCTGAGCACGTTCTGTGTGTTATGCCAGATCGATGGTAAAGCGCCTAGGATGAACTCGACTTCCTCCTCCTCCCGCCGTTCGTCGACATCTTCGATCCCTGCGAACTCCATGGCGGCTGGCTTGGAGCTCGAAGTTGAATTGGGAGGTCGAATCGTAGATACTTTTGCAACGATGGGCCTATTGGAACTGATCTGGCTTTACTCGAAGCTCGTCATGTACTTGCTTTAGGGCTCCACTTTATCGCAGAGCGATGTCATCGGCTCGGTGATACGTTTTTGGGTTGGTAGTCCTCACGACTGAGGTATGCAAAGCGGCAGATAACAGATGGTGTTGGTGGGACTCGAAAACCAGCACTTTCGGGAATCCACCTCCACGTCGAATAGGCACACAAGCTGCGGAGAACCGTGCGGCAGCTCCTTTCCGCTTTTCCGACAGCCGAATTTCTATTGCAGGATTCTTCTTCCAGCTCAGCAATCACCACATCGTCTCTAAAGCTTCAAGTTGACTCGAACGGGTTCAGCAACTTCTTGTGACCACGATCCTTCTTGCATACAACGAGATTATCTTCAGCACAGAGATTGATGATACCATCGCAACCGATATTTCGAGCAAACATGATAACACGTGGCAGATGTCAGCAAATCAGTCTCCCATATAATCACTCTGCCTGCCAACCAAGACGACCAGCTTTGAAGCTCCATGCGCCAGTGTTCAGCATTGCCTTTTACTCGGAAGCAGCCCTGATATGACCATCATAGCCAACTGTGCTGCTTGACACGTGCATCGAGCTCGATCCGCTGTCCTCACAGATGGTGATTCGAGCGCTTGAGCCGTTGCTTCCTGCATTTTGCAGTATCATTTCTCGTCTTTCACATCTCGACGCAGCTTCATCCACGGGTAGGGCTTGTAAAGCTCACTTACATTGCATTTGTGCGATGCTGTCGCTTTCCAGGTAGACCACACGCGGAATCAGTTTCGACGACCGAGCAAGGCCAGACAAATCACCTTGTCGAGACAGAACAAAAAGAAGAAAAGAGATGAATGTGGAAGAAGTGTCGGGATAGTAGGTCATCCCCAAATCATGGGCAGCAGCGCTCACTTCGAGGGCGCCTCCTGACGATGGTTTTAAAGGCCCGAAGGAATTGATCTTCCGCAAACGACCTCGTATGTGGATCACATCCTCGCCCGACGAAGCCTCTCAACTGGTCCATGGCTCAGCTTCACCGAAGCTCACGAAGAGCCTCAAAGTGGAGCCAGACCATGGGTACAGATTTTGTAACGAGACTTGTCGGGTCTCAGCCTCGTAAAGAGGTGATGGATGCGCCACCGAGATTGCGGTTGTAGGGGAGAGGGAAGGGAGAAGTACACATGAAAAGGGCCGAGAAAACAAACGAGACGAAGAGGTTGGGATAGTTGTAGCTGAAACGAGGTCGGAAGGAGGCTACTGGGGCGCAGGATTGATCGTCAAAAGCAATCGCAGTGGCACAGACAGCCATTCACGCTGCACGGGTCGGGTTCAAGGCTGAGCTGAATGCCAAGAGAGAGCGTTGAGCAATGTTGAAGGATGATGAGTTGGTGGTCGTGATGGAGTGAAGGAAAGACTGCTACGTCAAAGCTTTTAAACGCCAAGTTGAGAAGAAAGTAAAGAAGAAAAGTCAAAAAAGTAAAAAAAAAGTCACAAAAGCCACAAAAGCCACAAAAGCCGGGTTCTATCACGTGACAGGTGAATTTGGCACAGTGAGAATCGGGACTTGCGCTGCTGAGCCGTGCGTGTGTGTCTGTTGCAAATCTGACAGCTTCAGACCTCCACCTGGACGAGTGAGGCTAAGCAATGTTCAATTGTGACCGACACACGACAAGTCCACCGTCCTAACCATTCACCATCTCTCCGACCAAGACCAGGCAGACTGGCTTGACCGTGCTTGGAGCTCTTCAGCAATTTGTCGGCGATGCGAAGGACAGCGACTGGCGGTGGCCGCCCTTCCGCATCCAACACACCGTCGAGACCTGGTGGACCATCTCGACCTAACGCTCTTGCAGCTTCGGGACCACGAGCCATCTTTGACAAGTCTCGCCGCATCGAAGAGTTTTCTTCAACCGAAGACAAATGTCCGCAATGCAAGACGGATCGCTACCTCAATCCTCGTCTCCGTTTGCTGGTCAGTCCATGCTACCACAAGATGTGCGAGTCGTGCATCGACCGCATCTTCTCGCTTGGACCCGCACCATGCCCAGAATGCGGCAAGAAGGTATCAAAGAATCAATTCACAGCACAGACCTTTCAAGATCTGGGCGTAGAGAGGGAAGTGGCAGTGCGACGCCAAGTAGCCAAGTTGTTCAATCGTCGCGAGGATGACTTTGTCGATCTCAAAGCGTACAACGACTATCTGGAAGAGGTGGAGGAGATCACGTTCAACCTGATCCACGAGATCGATCTGCCGCGTACCAATGCCAAGCTCGAACAGTACCAAGCAGCGCACCGATCAGCCATTGCAAGCTCAGCAAACATCTCGCAGCAAGAGTCGGATCGACAAGCACGGGTGGACGAGGAGGAAAAGGCGGCCAAGAAGGCACGTGCAGAGCGGCTGCGGAAAGAAGAAGAGCAGGAGCGCGAGGAGCGCGAAAAGGAGAGACTAGAGATGATGCGAGAGCTAGAGAAGGGAGCAGATCCAGATGAGGTGCTTGAGAAGCAGCGCAAACGGCGTCAGGAGCGTGAAGAGCGGCAACGACTGCAAGATCTCGAGGCACGGCGACGGGAGAAGGAGGCTGCGCAGGCTCAAAGCAGCGGCGGTGCTGGTGGTGACTCTATAGACCGAAGACTGTGGAGCTTAGATATGCTTCTCGACTTTGAAGGACCACTCGCCTATTTGGACGACGCAAGTGCACTGTTTGATGTACGCAAAGCACCAACAGCACTGGGTGGCTTGGAGGGATTCAAGGGCGCATCTGGATACGAAGACCCCTGGCTGAAGCCAGCATGGATCACCAAGGAGATGATCGCGCGGTATCGTGCTGGTGGATTCGCCTGGGAGCGTCAAGTCTGGACACGTGGAATTCGAGCTGCTTGCGAAGGTATTGGCGCTGCTCCGCTCACAGTCGATATCTCTGAAGAAGCTCTTCCCAGCATGGAAGTGGACTGAGGGTCCTTGCTGTCGTCAACCACCGAGTCCGCACCTTGGCTGATCACCTCATATTGTATTTGTATCTTATCTCGTAACTTGAATCTCGTTCTACCTCGCTGCTCAACCGATAGTCAGACGTAGTCAAATGTGCGATGTCAACGGTATATCTATCCTTAATACGAACTGCCGAAAGGAAACCCGACCATCTAGACCTGCTTGTTGCTTTCAAGCTTCTCCTTGACAAACTGCTTTGTGCCAGCTACTGGGCTGAATCTGTGAAAAGGCATGCGTTGTATGAGTTTGGGCTGCCGAGAAGCTGCCAAATGGCCTTCTTCAAAATGACGCAGCGTTGGACTCAATCTGATGTTAAAAGTAAAGACATTTGGGTCCCGATACTGGCGATCGGGGAGAGTCTAAGTATGATGTCACTGCTGCTAAAAGACAGAAACATATATACTCAATTGACTGAAGGAATGTGGTGAGAGCCTAGTGCTCTCAGCTTGATACACAGCTTGCATGTAAACTGTCCCACAAATTTACATGTCACCATACATCACTCTAATGCTCAATAGCCATAAGTTGTATTGCCACACTGTCTGATATCATCTGAAAGCCCTGCTTCTTCTCTCCAAGACTGTGTAAATGATATTGACATTGACTAAGAAAATTGTGCTATGAAGAAGAGCTGAATTTTTTTTTTATTGTGGGACAGTTTATGGAGCATGCTCCCAAATAGTGACACCACTCCATTCCTGACCTTGTGGGCTTTTGACTACAATGAAACTTGCAATGTAACTTGGTGGGCACCTTCATACACATCAAAAGTAGTGATGTGGAAAGTTTCAGCTCAATCAGATGACTGTGAGTGATCCAGTGGCACTTCCAGTCTGACACCATCATATCTATACCATCATGCCAAAAACCACCCCAGAGAGGTGCCAATTGGCACTCTTTCACATCCAAAATGGGGAATCTACCCATTCAGTTGCTGAGCAACTTGGTATGAGCAAGTCTACTGTGAATCACATCAGCAAAAGCACCTCCACTGATGTTCCAAAGTCAAAGGGGGGCCAGCCAAGAAAACTCCAGCCTTGTCATGTTTGCTTCCTGGACCACTATTTCAAGCTCAATTCAACCTCCATGGTCAGGAAAGCATGTCATGCACTGCAGGAGATGTTTCAAGTCAAAGCATGCCCAACCACAGTAAGAAAAGCACTTCATTACTGTTGTTACAAAGCATGAAGGTTAGTGAAAAAACTGAAGCTACTCAAGAGACATTACAAAGCCTGTTGCAAATTTGCTAATTAGCACAAGGACATGACTGTTGAGGATTGGAAGAATGTGGTATGGTCTGATGAGACAAAGATCAACTTCTTTGGACCAGATGGTAAGCAGTTCTGTTGGATTAAGAATGCTGGCTTCAACAGCAAGCTTGTCAGGCCAACAGTCAAGTTCAGCAGTGGCTCCATCATGATCTGGGGCTGTATGACATGGGAAGGGATGGGAGGTATGTGCTTGGTGCTGGGTTCAATGAATTCAGACCAATACATTGATATCTTGAATGACAAGCTTGTGAAAACAATCTCAGATTTGCAGCTTCAGCATGCATACACTGACATCACATTTCAGCAAGACAATGACCCAAAACACACACCAAAAAATACAATAACATGGTTGGAAAGCAATAGCATTAAGGTTATACAATGGCCAGTGCAGTTGCCAGACTTAAACCCAATTGAACACCTCTGGCACCATCTCAAAATGCAACTTTCACAGTATAGTATGATTGCAAAGTCCAGGGATGAACTGCTCAAGAGATGTGAAGCTGAATGGACAGCAATCACTCCAGAGACATGTAGGACACTAATAGAGAGTATGCCAGACTGCATCAAGGCAGTTCTGAAGGCCAAAGGAGGGAATACAAAGTACTAAGGTGTTCTTGAGGAGTGCTCCATAAACTGTCCCACAATAAAAAAAAAAAATCAGCTCTTCTTCATAGCACAATTTTCTTAGTCAATGTCAATATCATTTACACAGTCTTGGAGAGAAGAAGCAGGGCTTTCAGATGATATCAGACAGTGTGGCAATACAACTTATGGCTATTGAGCATTAGAGTGATGTATGGTGACATGTAAATTTGTGGGACAGTTTATGCATGAGCTGTATATACATTAGCATGGCAACTACCAAAGGTGGGAGTACTCCTACTTAATGATCTACCATGGCAATGAGCAGGACTGTGTTGCACCCAATCTCTGGTGAGATCAGCTTGGCTCAATCTCTGATCAGATCAGTCATCTAACCAGATTGGCTCTGTCTGATCTCTGATCAGATTGGCTCCGTGTCATCCTTGAGCATCACACTGGATCGTAATCTTCAACATCTGAATCATCATACGCAAAAGGCGGTTTCTTCTCACCTTGGCCAACGCATTTTCTGCCTGCCTCGTCCAATCCGAAAGCTTCCCCCTCAGCACGATGAACAGCTTCGACGTACCTCTCAGCCTGCTTCTGCTTCTATGCGCCTTTCGTGACAGGGAGAAGCGGATTGAGGTGAGGAGATGATGAGTGAGAGATGAAGCTGTTACACCGCTGCCTTACACACTGATACATTTTCTCGAACACGACTCTCAGGCACTTGTGCGAAATTTAGAGTGTATCGGCGGTCGAGTGACTGAGCTATTTTCCCTGCCCTCGGCGCGCGTCTCACAATGGCGAGTTTAAGCGAGCTGCATGCACTGTGCAGCCCCCGATTGAGAGCCCTCGAATGCCGCTCGAAATAATCACCGACTCAGCAACAGCAGCAGCAGCAGCAGCAGCAGCAGCAGCAGCAGCAGAAGAAGAACAAGAAAAAGAACAAGAAAAAGACACTTTCAACGAGTGTCGAGATTGCATTCGTTGCTGCTGCAATTTGCCCGTGCGGGGGTGACCCATTGAACGTCCATCCTATCTCTCTGACCCTCTCTATCTCTATCTCAAAGTCGTCCCTAAATCTTGACCTCAAGTTCGACAACCTTCTTTCTTCACCTTCTTTCTTCATCCTCTTTCTTCGCCCTCTTTCTTCAACCTCAAACTTCTTCACGGCTTCACTCACCACCGTCGCACAGCACCTGCTGCGGCTCAGCTCCTCGCCCACGGCTCGAAATAAGCGTCAGTCACTTGCATAACTTGGCTGGACTACACCTCCAGCAATCAGCTTCGATTATTTTTTGCAGCCGCATCTTGATCGCCCGCAGCTTTTAGCCTTGAGCCTGTCAAACTCTCGTCATACCTTTGCAGCTCGCAATTATCCTTTGATGCCCCGAGCTTGCCCAAGCGTAGCATTCGTGCCCGTTCTAGTACAGCTCGCCTTACGATAACTTCGACATGAACCTGTGAGAGGATCCAAACAAGCAGGCTACGGGATCCCTTTACGACCTCCTCCTACACCACTGCAGCACCCTTCAATCGAGCATCCGGCATTCTCTTTCGAGCCCTTGCAACTATTTCCAACCCCTTCCGCGCTTTTGCAGTATTCGGCACTGTAACACGGTGCGCAGAGATTGTCGCGCCTGAGGCCCTAGCTTGGTCCTCTGACACTTCAGCCCAGAATGGGCAACGCCAACTCTACGCCCGCCAAACCAGGCAACGCCGGCTCAAACGAAGCAAGCTTCGATCCTTCACTCAAGCGTTACTCGAGCAACCAGATCGGCCAAGGTCGTGCCAACACATCGAATGCTGTCGATGCTGGCGTTGCTTCCCCTTCGGCTGCAGCACGCCAAATAGCAGACCGCTCTGGATCAGGCCCACGCATGGGCCGCACCGCTTCTCTCTTTGGACGAGCGAGTAGTCACGATGGGGCTACTACCCCTCAGAGGAATCGCTCACGGAGCGGCAGTCTGTCTGGATACCTCGCCGCACAATGGAGAGGCTCAGCGACCGCCGCCATGATTGCAGGCGATGCGCCCGCCACAGTCAAAGAGGGTCGAGAACCACCAACAACAGACAATGGATCAGCTTACTCTCCGTCCACCCGCTCTCGTCTAGCCAAAGATCCGCAGACCCCCTTTGCTGGCTACGAGATCTCCAACACTGCCAAAGAGGTGGGCACCGATATGGAGACTGCCATCCGAACCAACCCACGCACTTGCAGACTCACAGAAGGCTTGGCCATGCCATCATCGCCTGGCGGTTTTGATCCGCGCAATTCTGTCTCGACACACCCAAGTCCTTCTGTCGCAACCCACGCTCACTACGCCTCTGGCTTGCCTAGCCATCACGCTTCTGTAGGCGTGTCCAGCGGACTTCGCGTATCGTCTACCGACCTCGATGCTGAAGCAGTACCAGCCATGATGCACAGAGGCTCAGAACCGCAGACAGTGCCTGGAGCTACTGCTCGAGCACCAACACGGCACCCACTTTTTGGCGTTGGTGGCACCAGCATGTTCACCAATGTTGGTACAAGTCTCGGAACCAACGCCGCCGCATCACCTCCCGTCGGCGGCTCTAGTCCCATCATGTTGTCTCAACCCATGAACCTCGGTGACGGGGGCGAAGAAGCAGATGGGCCTCATCGACCTCCAGCTGCACTTCCATCCTACCTCAAGATCCCCACCGCGATACCCAGCTCGCATGTTTCGCCGAGCTCTCCCCCAGCTAGCATCTACTCACAGCATTCTGACCGATACCGTGCACCTTCGGAGCCACAGCGTTCGCGATCACCTTCCCTCATGCTGTCCGTGGACGACACACGTCCCGCCCATGCCGTCGCTGCCGCCGGCGCAGCTGCTGCAGTGCTCAACACTGAGGACGTACTCATAGCACCCGGAGATGCTAGCAAAGCAAGCTCGCCCATTGAGGGACGCAGGTCATTCTTCGGTGCGGGCAGGGACGAATGCAAGGACGAGGCCGCACCTCTCGACACTAGCATTGAAGAAGCTCGTGCTGCCGGCATCGACGTCTCTGACTTGCCAGGCAGCCCCGCACAGGCATCGGAAGCAAAGGATGCTCAAGCAAGCAGACAAACAGAAGATGGCGAGCGAGAGTCAAGGAAGCTCGAGAGGGCTTCACTTGAAGCGGGTGATGGCGCGCCATTGGATGCCTCTCGCACACCAACGCCGACTCCGTCTGGTTACCGGCCACGTGCATTGACTCCGACGAGGAAAGGCGGAGCGAGCGTTCTCTGCTCCCTTTCCCCAGTCGCAGGGCCTTCCACTTCCATGAGGCCGCCATTTCAACCAATCTCAGCAAGACGACCCCACGTTGATGTGCAGACAGGAGGTGAAAGCGGGTACAACACGCCACTGTTGCCTCCTGGCTTAACATCGGCTCCTCCGAGTGCATCCGTACCTGGCGTCACTCCGTTTTCCGAGGTTTCATCGTCTTCACCGACCATCGAGCATGCACGCGGACGCGCGTCTGATGCTTCACGCACTCCATCCGCGGCAGGCAGCGTTGGTAACAACAGCCAGCCGTCGACACCCGTCAGCGCGAAACCAGGCAGTGTTCATCAAACCGACTCTCAGCATGCACAGACATCGACCGACCAGCAGCAACCTCCGCTCATGCCAATCGTCTTGACGTGGCGAGCAGGTGGTCGCGAAGTTTTCGTCACGGGCACTTTTGCCAACGAATGGCGATCCAAAATCCTTTTGCACAAGGTCAAGCGCGATCATACCTGCGTACTTCACCTCCCACCGGGTACGCATCGTCTCAAGTTCATTGTGGATGGCCGATGGCGTGTATCTCGAGATTTGCCTACGGCGACAGATGGTGATGGTAACCTGGTCAACTATGTCGAGATTCCCAATGTTGGACCAGCGCATCCTGGACCACTCAGTGCGCCTGGTGAAGATCTGCCCGGCGCGGATGCAGATAAGAACCGTAGCGAACGCAACTCGAAGATCGAGTCCAAGAAGACGACGATGAACCTGGTCGAGGAGGCAAGGCGGGCTGAAGCAATGCGTCTGGACGATCTCTTTGACGATGATGGCAAGGATCAGGAGGAGACATGGACATGCGAGATTCCGACCGCGCTCATCAAAGCACAGGAGGCGGAAGAAGCCCAACGTGAAGCAGAGGAGAGTGGGCAAGCACAATTCAAGCACACACAACATCATGGTAGCGACGGCACCTCCGGAGCGCCTCTTCCCCAGCCACCAGCACTGCCGAGACAGTTGGAAAAGGTCATTCTCAACTCGTCGCCTGCCAACCCGAGTAATGGCACCACCTCAGGCAGCACTGTTGACGATAACAGTATCCTCCCAGCTCCGAACCATGTCGTACTCAACCATCTCACAGCGAGCAGTATCAAAGGTGGCGTTTTGGCAGTAGGCACAACGACAAGGTACAAGAGGAAGTATGTGACTACGGTCTACTATAGGCCGGTGCAAGTTTGATCATGTATCCATACGAGTAGTGGTTTGTTTATTCTGCATATTGCATTTCGTTATACCATGTGTTCTTATCTGTCGCAATTTTGAAGAGTGTTGTGTGGAGATGCTGTATTGTTCGTGAAGTGTCTAAAAGTACATTGAGAGTGACGTCGCATGTAATGGTCAGGCAGCGAGAAGGCAGAGATATCTAGAAGTCCTTGCTAGGAGCTGCAGCCTTCTTAGAAGGTCGACTGCGACCCCAAGTCAACCGGACCTCTTTGTCTCCCATCGTCATCTTTGGTGAGCAATGTTTTGCAGCCAATTCGGCTTGTTGGCGGGTGCGGAAGTTGACAAATGCGCATTTGGATGCTGTGACCAGAGTTATAGACTTGATGTGATCTGCATGCAGCTGTGGAGTAAGGGAGAGGAACCATTCCTTCAGCGGTGTTTCAGTTGCGCTTTCCGGTAAGGACGAGACAAAGAGTGAGATGACGGAAGTGTCTTCTGGTGGTGGCAAGCCAGTTGCTGACTGTTTGCTGATTATCCTCGCTGCTGCTGGTGCAGGTAGTGTTGCTGCTGATGATGGAGCAGTTGAGGTTGATGCTACGGTCTGAGGTGCAAAGTGTTTTTCCGACGGCAACTCGTGCTTGAACGGACAGCTTTCTCCTCTCGGACAATTCCCTCTCGCAAATGCTGAACAGTACTGCTGTGGTCTATCCCTCTTATACCCGATTTCCTTCCTCGCCGCTTTCCTCAACAGCTCCTGCCCAGCTCTACCAGCAGGACTACTCGACGAACCCACCAAGCTAGTCGGCCCTTCCAACTGCTTATCCATCGTCTCTGCGAAGTATTCTCTATTCTTATCCGATGTTGGACCTCCAGACTTGATCCCAAGCGCTGCATCACGTACTTGCACCGGTAAGCCGTATTGAAGATCGAGAATGCAAGTTTGGCAGACATTCTTGACTTTTGCGCAGGTGGTGCAGATCTCGGTCTTTTTGAAGCGAGATCCTGCTCCTGAGTTCCAGCGGAAGACAGTGAAGGGTCGGGTACAGACTTTGCAAATCTTGCCTTGACTGTCTTTCGTCATGCGGATGTAGGGGTTGGGGCCAAGACATGCTTCACAGAGGATGGGTGTTTCAGCTTCTTCTGCGCCGGAGATGGTGGATCCGAGCTTGCCGTGTGCTGACCAGGTTGCCATTTTGGATGGTAGGGACTGTGTCAGCTGAGATGCCGGTCAAGGTTGGATGATGATGGCGATAATGGTGGGAGGTCAGTAAGGTTTGATGTGCGGAACGTTTGGAAGAAGTGTGACTTGTGCTGCGCATTTGAGCTGTAGGAGGGTGGAGGAATCCGAGTGTGTCAGTGTCCAATTGCGAAAATTCAAGGAACTCGGACGTCGAATTCTGACACCCTGACAAGGTGTTCATCTGTTCCTCGTACTTCGTCCAGGGTTCCTTTCTACAAACGCAAAATTCGACTCACCGCCAATGCAAGTGGCCGCCTGAGGATTGAGCACCCGTGGTGAAGCTCGTTCTTGGGCCTCCGCTCAAAACCTGCCATGGCCTCCTCGCTCACGGTCGAGGAGCTCCGGTCTCGACTGCACGATCTCGGACTCGACACTAAGGGCAAGAAAGCTGACCTTCGATTTCGGCTCAAGAAAGCTATTCGGAACGGCAGCAACAGTCCCACCTCAGCTTCAGCGACAGATACCCCTGAAAGTCCCGCTGGCGCAGGCTGGGAGCCCGAATTCGACACCTTCCTTGTCTTGGACGTAGAGGCTACCTGTGAAGCCACCCGCAAGTATCGCAACATCAACCATGGCTTTGAAACAGGCTGCTTCCAGTATCCGAACGAGATCATCGAGTTCCCTGTCGTCTTGCTAAAATGGAACAAAGACTCACAACAGCTCGAAACAACCGGCATCTTTCACTCATATGTTCGACCGACTTTCCGACCGAAACTCGCCAAGTTTTGCCGAGACCTCACAGGTGTCACACAAGCACAAGCCAATGCTGCACCCGTATGGAAAGGCGTCGTTGAGAAGCTTTTCCGCTTCCTCGAGTCACATGATCTCGTCGAAAACACAGGAACAGGTGAACCTCACCTCCAGAACTTTAGGTTACGGCGTGGCGTAGCATGGATCAACCACGGACCAGCCGATTTGAGGGACTTTGTCATCAAGCAATCCTGGATCTCAGCCTTGCCGAGGGATAAGCACCACGGAGGACCACCTATCTTCCTCCGTGGACCTCTCATCGACATTCGTAAAGGTATAGCAAGCTTGTTCAAATGGGAGCAGGAGCTGAGAGCTGAACAGCAGAGTCGGGGCAGTTCTTCACGGTCGACTCCCTTCCCGGAGTTTGGCGGGGAGGATGGTTTTCAAGTTATTCCACCTCAACCGAGCAATGCAGGCGCGGCGAGTGGAGTGAAGAAAGAACTGAGGACTACGGGCTTATCTCCGCATGAACAGAGCTTAGCGGGTCTGTTGGAGGTAATGAACATCGGACCGTTTCAGGGAAGACAGCATTGCGGATTGGATGATACGAAGAACATCGCTCGACTGGCGGTGGAGATTGCGAGACGAATATTGCTGGCATCGCAAGGAACTCAGTTGCTGCTTTCGAAAAGTTACGAATCGGTCGATGGTCAGATAGAGTCCACGGCTGCCGTGCTCGAGCTTGATCCCGAAACGGGGCCGGCGAGGGCAAAACAGATGGAAAAGCTAGTATTGAAGCCCAATGTAAGACTTGATGGCTTCAGTAAGCGATTCTTTTGGATGGGTAAGACGGTGGGTGAGGTCAAATGGCCGTTCCCACCAGAGGTTGAGCAGGAAGATGCTCTACACACCGAGGCTGAACCCCGCTGTCAGATGTACACATCGGTACGTCAAAGGCTGCTCTCCTTTGCACAGCAGCCGTACTCCTCGTCCTTGAACGCATAGAAATGGAAGGAAAAGCATCTAGATAAAATCACGTTGCAATGTCCTTTGTGCTGGTGAAGGTTGCATCCTGTGAAATAAGGTTCTAGTATGAATGCAGCCGAAAAAAAGGTCTGAATGTTAGACTTTATAAGTACACGTGACCTGCTGACCCAGCGATGGCTCGAGACGTCGGAATTCCACCATCTCCAGACCTTGAGCCATTCCACCTTGCATCATCATCACCGTTACCTCCACTATCTCGGTCCCGAACCTACCTCTCCAGCAGGAACTTCTCACACAGGTGTGTACAAGTTCCGCTGCCCAATCGCCAGCTTCATCTTCCTCCAACATCGGCCACACTGACTAACTTTGATCTTGACTCGACTGCACAAACGATAGATACAAGATGTCGGTTGCAGCAAGCGTTCTCGGCTACGCCGGTCTCGGTTTCCTCACACGTTGCTATGCTCTTGGTCTTCAGAAGCGAAACATCTTCGAAAGTAAGTCTTCATCCCCTCCGTTCGCAGCTCTTTCGATAGCAAAGTGCAGAAACTTCTAACGCTGACTTGTTTTCGTCGGTATTGGTAGACTTGGGAGGTCACGCAATGTTGATGACCGCTTTTGGTGGTTTGGGATACTACATCCACGGGTTGGAAGGTCGTCAGTTGGAATTGATTGCACATAAGAAGGAACAGATTTTGAAGAACCGAGAACGTTTGGCGGCCAGGTCGCAATCCCACAACAATGAAGAGTAGTTCTCGAATGACGTACCTGCTTAAGCTCTCTATCGCCCACTCATATCAGTTCCAATCGAATCGTTTCTCGCTACCTATAGCACGCAATGTGCTCTCTCGGACTGTTGCTGGTGAGGAGGGGCCTCAGTGAAACACGATGCTGAAAAGGAGGCCTACAGGAAGAAGAGGTGGAGCATGTCACGAGACAAGCTTGAACTGGAAAGCAGAGCGAAGACAAGACTGGATCTGTCTGACTTGAGGCCCGGAGATTCTCGGTCTGAATGCAGATTGATAGGGCGAGCTCAAGGTCAGTGCTTGGACCAGGCCCTCGATCCTTGAAGATGGCTGGCGGTGGCTCGCCCGCAGGCTTCACAAGCTACAGCGGACGAAAGTGGAGAACAGAATTCGTATCTGGCTCACTGCTGTTTCACTGCTCTGTTGAGACGCTCGAAAGCCGCAGCATCTCATTTCGCCGCTTCATAGCTCTTCACAGAAAAGCGATACAGATTCTGAGAATCAAGTACCATGAATGAGTTTCACATTGGAAAGTGTTGTACAAAGGGAGTTGAGTGCGACACAACACAGTTAGGCTTTGATTTTACTTGCGACCCTTGCCCTTGACAGCCTTCTTAGCAGCGATCGGCGAACCGGCACGAGCCTCTCGTCCACCTACACTCATCCAGTCGAGGTCCTCCTGACCGAACCTAACATCTCCACTATCAGCAGCCTTAGCACCAGCCTTTTCTCCAGCAGCAGCTTCAGCCTCTGCTTCCTGGAACCTTCTCCTAAACCTGCCGAGACGGCCACTGTCGTCACCTGCATCCCCGCCGATCTTTCGCTCTTGAGCAGGATTCCACAATGGGTGGTTGGTCGGGTCTCGCGTCAATCGTGTCAATCGGCGTGGCGAAGTGGTTGCGAGCTGAATCGAGGAGCCGTCTGCAAGGATGGTTGTAGAGGAAAATTTCGGCACAGGTCGAGGAAGCGGAGATTGAGCAACTGCCGATGGGTCGCGAGATTTTGTGCCGGCAGATGACGAGAAGTTTTTGGGTTGAGATTGGAAGCTGGTGGCGTGCGAAAGAATGGTGGAGGTTGGACGAGCAGTGTAGGTGGAAAAAGCACGGACATTGCTGAATGCTGATGAGGAGGACGTAGCCATGGAAGAGGGCGAGGGATTTGATGCAGCCTGGTATTCGGCAGCTACTTCGCGGCAGCTTCTACGTTCTGGCTTCTTGCCAGCTTTGAGGTCTGCGATCTGCTTGGCTCTTGCCTCTTTAATGCTGTCGTTGTTGCCGAGTTCTGTATCCTTGGTCATGCGAAGTTCTGTGGAAGAACGGAGAGTATAGCGTAGAATAGTCAGCTATCTGTCCTGTTTCGGGATATTCGGTCGCAATCTTGCTGCGATTCAATTTACCATATGCATTCTTGTCCGCTCGGAACTTGCCCTGCACGACGTTCTGACGAAGCACAGATACGATCTCGTCGCCCATCTTCAAGCCCTCGTAAATTTTGGTGGCGTCGGTTTCCTGAGCAGCGATCTTGAAGCGATGGCGTGTCTCATTTCTCGCGGCAGTGATGGCAACTGCATCACCTTCGAATGTCTTGCGTGAGGTGCGAAGCAGGCGCTTGTAAAGACCGATTGCGCGCTGGCGCTGCGCGACTGTGAAGGCCATGCTGATCGTAAGCGATATGTGCCGGAGGAGCTGCTGATTCGAGTGGGAGTGATCAGATGATCTATGCGATGCTAGCTAAGGGTGATGGCGGCTGGTGACAAGAGGATGCATTCCGAAGTATTGCAGAAAGAAATGTGGAAGAAGCACATTTGTCAGTCGGGTCCGAAATTGTTTGGAAGCAGGGAAAGCTCAATTTTTTATTTTTTATTTTATTATTTTTATTACTAGTTTTATTTTATTATTATTTTTATTGTTAATATTAATACTAATTTTTATATTATCATTATTATTTTTATTATTTTTATTATTATTATTTGCTTTTTTGTTTCTTTCTTTCGGCCAGTACATCGTGAAGCGAACTTTGATGCTTAACCCTCCATAAACCCTCATCTTCACTTCCATTCATCACGGTCTCGGCCCGGCAGCCGAGAGGCGACTAGGGGTTGTGGGACAAGTGTATAGACTTTTTCTTTCTACCGTGGCGTAACTCACCCAACACAACGACGATTGACGGCTTCTTTGGCCTCGGCATCAAATGGCAAAAGGTACATAGTGCTTCATTTGGTATGCAGGGTCGTCTGGTCCGTCACTCCCGGTACGTGCTGATCCTGCAAAATGTGCTCGAGTGACATGACTGTTGAAGAATTCGGCACTTTGTCGACGTTTATCGGGTTTGCGTTTTTGAAAACGCACGAAAAAGCTGTGTTTTCAAAAACGCGGTTTTGTTTTTCACTTGGCGCAGCTTATGTAAGCTTTTGCGTTTTTTTGAAAAGTGCGTTTTTCAAAAAACCCGGGTTTTTAAAAACGCAAAAACTCTGATACCCCCTTATATACAAAGTGCCGGCAAATCCCATGAGTGGGAGCATCTTACTTAATGGCAAGCTGTGACAACGAGTGGGTCTCAGTTGTCCCCGATCCTTGTTACATCGACTCCAGACGATCTACGCTCAGATCGTCTTTGCCTGATTCATCGTCAGGTCTGTTCTACCCGATCCGCTCGATCCCTCGCTATGTCAACTCATGTCACCTCTCGTGCCTTGTCGGATCGTTTTCTTCAGCAATGATTTCATCCTGTTTCTGCGTGTCCGTGTTACTGTACATCGAACCATTCAGAGAGCTGATGATGTGCTGCTGTTGTCCCACCGATACGACAATGGCTTAATGCAGCGGAAATGAAGTTGAATGGTTTGCGACTTCGCCAGGACGACGGGTGGTCGAGATGAAGTCTTGCAACGTTGCGTGGGAGAGCATCCGTGTACCCCCCTGGCTGAGCAGAAGCAGAGGTACCGTGACAAGGCTCTGCGAGACTCTTCTCGAATATAAGGGCATTGTAGTAGGGTGCGGCTGTCCTCGCTGTCCTCGTCCTCCTGCCATTTCCTCAACCGATTTCCTTATCAAAGCGGCGACTTTCGCTTGTCTTCCGCGTCAAAGTCACGTCATCAACAAAGATGAAGCTCCTTCCGACCTTCAATGTGCTTCTGATTGCTGTTCAGATGATTGCAGCTGTGCAGCTTGATCAACTTCAGCAGCCCCGTTTCGTCAAGGTGAGGCGAAACCTTTCGAACGATGCCGGCAGCAGCGAGACGCAACATAGTCTGGAGCGACGTTTGGGAAGCGAACTCAGTAAGTTGGCTATGCCGCCCCTCCTCCCTTACCTTCAGCTCCCAAGGTGCTCCAAAGCTAAACAGGAAGTCTTGAACATCATCTCTCCCTTCCATTCCTCCAGCCGGCAGGGTCGCGAAAGCAGCTAGCGAATTCGAAAAATTAGAGTCGCAAAGTAAGAAGCTTCCCGACTTGTCGCATCTGGCAAATTCGCAAGGAAAGATAAGCGAGCACAACAATCTCGCTACTCCTTCAAACAATTGGCCATATATTCACGAAAATATGCTTGGGAGTCACAATTACCAACTAGAACAGCACTCAGAGGCTATTTCGAACCACAGAAACAAGATCGAAGAAAGCATGGCCAGCATTCTCAAACACGATGAGAGACTCAAGAGCGTCGAAGAGGCCCTGAAGGAAAATAAGGAGAAAATGAAGGGGGATCGCAGTGGGGGGGCATCTAATGGGGTTTTATGGGCTCTGGCAGCTGGTACAGTTGCCACCGCAGGAACAGGCATTTACTTCCAGCATGCTTCAAGCAAGACTATGGCAGACATGGCGGACCGAATCCAGGCGCAGCAGGCGGAGATCAACAGAATTAAGGCACTCAATGGGCAGCAGGGTGGTGCGATGCAAGGACAAGGTGTTGCAGGTACCACTGGACGAGGCACATTCGATGGAGGACTTGTCTGAATCAGTTGAACGCTCATGGCGATTCTTGTTAGCTTGTCGAACAACGCACCAACCTAACTTTCCGACTTCTTATCCAGTTTAAAATCCGTTAGCTATGCTAGTCATTGCCCTCTTCCTAGCACATCTGTTTGTTTCTGTCGTTTCTTACCATTCTTTTCATCTCATAAGTGCAATCACAATCGCTTCATATACTAAGACGAGCGGATGGATCTGAAACAGAAGGTATCGAAAAATACGTCGAACGCTCATGATAGTCCGGTTAGTTGTACGGAGCTAAGCTTTGATTTTCCATCGGCAGGATCCCGTGGGTAACAGTTGAAGATTATTAGAGCAGAACACCACTACGTTCTAAGCTACGATCAAGCTTCAACTGGACAGGTGTATGCTGACTGCAATGCTTAGTTTATTCGAATGGACTAGAGCTACAAGTGTTAGTATATATAGCTTCACATCATCCACAAGAACATTGAGCTACCTCGAACAGGTATGATGCTAGTCCTGCAAGCTTCTTCAATCATCTCTCTTATTGTGCCTCCAAGTTGCTTTTCCTGCAATACTCCTATGCTGCTTCCTCTACTATGTCATGATTCTTGTGTCTCTGAGTCATCTTAGTGAGTAAGCATAGTCCGGCAAGTGCTATCCTTGGCAATCATCAGATTTGGCTATCGCGTGTTCCAGCAATTGCGAGCATCGGCAATTAGGTGTAAGCGGTCGCGCGCCAGAGACTTAGCTTTGGGGTGTTATATTGAGTTTGATTGAGTAAGGTCTACTCAGTATGTTTCACCTAAACATAACCAAACATTGCTGCCTGGTAAGTCTTGACTGACCACCTTGAACACTCTGTTCAGAGGTTGCACAGCATGGACACTGGTTGTTGGTGAGTGAGTGAAACACCCTCTCCTACAGTACAAGTGTACATAGTACTGTTGATAATGCTCTTGGACATCATCTGGACCATGATATGCTAATCACCTACAGAGGATGGGAGTTACTGGACTGCAGGTGTGATTCACTGCCTACAATAACTGACTGGACCACAAGTGTTGAAGAACACCACCTACAGTTGTCAACTAACAGTGATACAACACACACATTGAGAGTTGTTGCAAGAGCACTGCTATTGCAATGGTATGTAACTGAGTAAGTAGATAGAGTAAGTAAGAATAAAGAGTGGATGGGGATCCACTCATATGCTATGGTAGAATGAGAGTATTTATGTGTTCAATTGGTGTTGCCCATGACACCTATCCTGCTCCTCTTGAGGGGCCCTTGTCCCCTGTTCAACACTGTCTTGTCCTGCTGGCATCAATCCCATTGACACTGCACCCCTACCATTTGCATGGCATAAGGGTTATGCAACACTGCCCTCTTGCCTTCATGCTCTCCTTCTGCCTGATGATGTGTGATGCCCCCTTTCAACACAGCTCCTTCTTGACTTTGTCTTCTGAACCCCTTTAGCCACTTGTTGAACCTCGTGACCAAACCCCTTGGTCATGTGGTCACTTCAGCACAGCTCCTTCTCAACTTTGTCTTGTGAATCCCTTTAGCCACTTGTTGAACCTCATGACCAAACCCCTTGGTCATGTGGTCACTTCAACACAGCTCCTAGTACTTGCTTGTATTGGCCAACTTGTTGAAGCATACTGATCTGACTGATTCCAACTGATCCCTGATGAGATTAACCTGGAACCCAGGGTTTGATCAATCTCGTAATTCATATGTGCTGCCAGCCCAATTAATCTTGTTGATCCCTGATGGTTCAGTGCCGATCAATCTGGCACACCCTCCATATATTGATCCATTGCACCCCCTTCATACATTGCTCCATTGCATGACTTTCCCATGACTGCTGTTGATCAATTTGGTGCACTCTCTTGTGCTGGCCTGCTGACCCTGTGACATTAGGCAACTTTAGAGATTTTCGTCGTATCTTTAACTCCCCCTCCCGATGACATCTCCAATCCTATCAACTTAGCTAGTTGGGTCTTTTCTACTCCCTTTAATGGTTTTGTTAGGATGTCTGCCACATTGCTGGCTGTTCTGACAAAGTCAATGTCCACATCACCTTCTTGAACATGATCTCTAAGAAAGTAGTACCTCATGTTGATATGCTTAAGCTTCCAATGTTTTGCCAGATCTTTGCTTACCTGAATGCATCCTTGGCTGTCTGTGAGTAGTAATGGCTTGACCCCTTTGACTCCTAAATCCCTGAGTAGATAGGAGAAGAACAGTGCTTCTCTTGTTGCCTCCAATGTGGCAATAAACTTGGCCTCTACTGCCAATAACACTACACACTTTTGTACATGTGATTTCCAACTCACCAGACACCCATACATGTATGTAACTGCCCCTGATGTACTCCTGCATCCATTGGTAGGGTCTGATGCCCAGTTTGTGCCAGTGTACATAACAACAGGTTTGTCCATATGTATGCTTGGTCCTCCCAGTCATTTGGTTCAGGTACTTCAATATGTGAATCGCTGCATTCCATGCACTGTTGGTCGGACTTGACATGTATCTTGCTAAGGTTCTGATGGTGTATGATATGTCCAGTCTTGCTGTGTTGGATACCCATAGTAATTGTCCTACTACTTCTTGATATTGCTTGATCCTTGTTGGCAGGCATCCACTGCCTTCCATAGTAGTTGCCACACATTGCATGGGTATCCAGGTTTTATTGTTTTTATCTCCTAACCATTTGTTTATCATTGCCTTGATATATGCCTTTAAGTCTAATGACATCCTCCTTTGGGCCCTTTCTCAAGTGATTTCGACTCCTAGGAACTCTTTAACCATTCCGTTATCTTTGGCAGCCCACTTTCTCATAATTTCAGCCTGTCATGGTGTCACAGGGACGGCTGGCCTGTGCAAGAGAGTGTGCCAAATGATCAGTGGCAGTTATGATAATGTCGCATAATGGAGCAGTATATGAAGGGTGTGCAGAAGATCAACATATGAAGGGTGCGCCAGATTGATCAGAGTCAAAAACCATTGGGGATCAATGAGATTAATCAGGTTGGCAGCACACATGAATTACAAGATCAATCGAACCCTGGGAATCCAGATTGATCTCATGGGATTGGTCGGAGTCAGCTGGACCAGCACACTTCAATGAGTCAGCTGATCCAAACAAGTACTTGGAGTTGTGCCAATGATGGAGGCAGTTGGATCAGCATGCCTCAACTAATCAGCTGATCCAAACAGGTATTTGGAGCTGTGCCAATGTCGGAATCAGTCAGATCAGCATGCTTCAACTAGTTGGCCAATCCAAACAAGCATTCAGAGCTGTGCCAACATTGGAGTCAGTCAGATCAGCATGCTTCAACTAGTCAGCTGATCTGAACAAGTCAAGATGGAACTGTGCCGATGTGACCACATGACCAGGGGGTATGGTCACAAGGTTCAAAAGGGAATTCACAAGATTAAGTTGAAAGGGGGCCATGCTGAAAGGGGGCATCACACATCAGACAGAAGGAGAGCATGTAGGCGAGAGGGCAGTGCTGCATAACCCTTATGCCAAGCAAACAGTAGGAGCACAGTATCAAAGGGGTTGATGCCAGCAGGGCAAGGCAGTGCCTAACAGGGGACAAAGGCCCCTCAAGAGGAGCAGGATAGGTGTCGAGGGAAAACACTGACCAGATGTATAAATACTCTCATTCTATCATAGCATACAAGTGGATCAGTATCCACTCTGAACTCAACTTACTTACTCTATACTTACTCGGTTATGTATCATTGCAATAGCAGTGCTCTTGCAATGACTCTCAATGTGTGTGTTGTATCACTGTTAGTCAACAACTGTAGGTGGTGTTCTTCACACTAGCAGTCCAGTTCATTACTGTAGGCAGTGTTCTTCAACACCTGTGGTCCAGTTCCTTGCAGTAGGCAGTGTTGCTCAACACCAGTGGTCCAGTCAGTTATTGTAGGTGGTGTTTCACACCAGCAGTCCAGTAACTCCCATCCTCTGTAGGCAATTAGCATATTGCAGTCCAGATGACATCCAAGAGCATTATCAACAGTACTATGAACACTCATACTGTAGGGGAGGGTGTATCACTCACTCACCAACAAACAACGTCCATGCTGTGCAACCTCTGAACAGAGTGTTCAAGGCAGTCAGTCGAGACTTACTAGGCAATGACACTTGGTTATGTTTAGGTGAATCATATTGAGTAGACCTTACTCAATCAACCTCAGCTAGTCTCTGGCACATGACCACTTACATTAGAGTGGATCATTCAAGTTGTGCCCCATGACAACATGACGGAGCCTGACACCAAGGATAGGTTTGAGGAGCTGCAGAGATTAATGGAGAGGTCCAAGGAAAGAATGGAGAAGCTCCTATCAATGAATCGGACAGTTACCAATCATTTCGTGCAAAGGTTGGAGTCATTGGAAGCCCTCGTCAGAAGCAACAGTCAGTCTGAGGAGACTACCAACGAGGAGTCAATCGAACCCAACCCAGCACCCAGACCACACAGGACAGGATCATTCCTAGGTCAAAACATGCAATCATATTCAAACTACAAGAAGTATGTGACCCCTACCAGGCCAAGGTACAGTCAGCCCTACGAAGGAATACCTAGGGACACTGAATATGATGTCAAGAACATGGGGGAGCTTTCCCCTGGTCAGTCTAAACCACTTTCCACCCCTTTCCCAAAGTTCAATCTGAGGGATGTGGAAATCTTCCTGATTGAAGCTGAAACATGGTTCACTTTCAATCGAGTCTATGACCACAAGAGCATGATCCATCACACAGGGTCCCAGTTGGAAGGGAATGCTCACAAATGGTGGACCTCCAAGATACAAATTGATCATGAACAACAAGGGAGATTGTTCCATGACTGGCATTATTTCAGACAATGCTTGACCGAACAATACAACCCCCACAATTCAAGAATCGAAGCCTATAACAAGCTACTCAACATGTGACTCACAACTGACACACCTGGTGCAGCTACTCGACATGTTGAACAGTTCAGAGACCTCGAAGGGCAAGTCAATATGGAGGACAGGGACTTGGTTATTGACTTATTCAGAAGTACCCTCACCCACAGTCTTCAGGAGAAGTTTGAGCAAAACCCACCCACAAGTATTTGGGAATGGTATCAAGAGGTAGAGGACATTGATCACCAACAAATGGTGATGCAACATTCTGCCTCAAGATATCCCAGCATACTTATGTCTTGCACGAACCCAGTCACATGAGCAACAACATCAGTGATTCCACAGGCCTGACAACCTGGACCTGTAACCACAGGTAATTCATACTGATTTGGTAATTGCCCCCTGCCTCCTCACCTGATACAAGCCCAGAAGCCAAGGGAGGCTAACCCTCAGGACAGCAACACTTGTCATGTGTGCAGAGGCACAGGACATTGGGCAAGGGATTGTCCCACTAGAAAACCTCCTGTGCCAACGACAACCAGACCTAATGGTCCAAAAGTCATGGTGACCTTAGAAGATGCCCCTGAGGGAGAATCAACTCCTGAGGAGGAAAGCATGACTGAAGAAGAACTGCAAGATGCATATTCAGTCAAGCAAGCCAGCCTCAAGCTTGCTCAGCTATCTCTCACTGATGAAGCAGAGAGCAATTATGAGGAGGACAAGGAGGGAAACATCAGTGGGATGATGCCCTGATGGCATGCATTGCCCTACAACCCTGGTTGCCATCCATTTGTACATATCAAGAATGTTCCGTTTGTTTCTCCACTAATGCAAGCAAGGCAGTGCTTGAGTTAACAGGTACAATCCAAGATCACCTGGCTCAAATACTCGCCAACACAGGGGCAGGCTTATCCATAGTTTCAGAATCTTTTGTCAGCAAGTACCACTTAAACACAAAACCAACAAAAACACAAACTGTACATGGTGTCACTGGACACAAACTCGCCATTAACAGCTCTGCTATGGTGCAGGTAGTTATTGGAAAACATGTACTAGGGGTGGTGGAGGCATCAGTAGCCAACACTGCTAAGTATGACCTCATTCTGGGTTTCTTGGAATTGAAAAGGTTGAGACCAATGATCCAGTGGGATACTGGCCAACTCGAATTCAAGACCCAAGCTCAGAAGGACCAACCAGAAGAGTCAGGAGCTCTACAACAGGCACCCCCGAAGATAAACAAAAAGGATCCCCCTGATAAGAACTATAAGTCTATAAAACTTCATGGACACATGTGTCATGGGCCTGGATGCTCAAGAAGCAGGAGGGTCACTGGTTCATATGGAAGGAGCACAGGTATCGAAGACCTAGTCGATACCAGTAGAGAGCATGGTCGTAGTGCAGTCTCTATGGAGACCATGGACTCCTATGGACTCACATGCAAAGGAGAACCGAGCCACTTGCGAGGAGGGCCAGGCACAACCACAAGGAGGACCAAGCTCAAGGAGCAGGCACAGCCACGAAGAGGACCAAGCTCAGATGGTTACCCCATGTACAGTTTGTGTTTTTGTTGGTTTTGTGTTTAAGTGGTACTTGCTGACAAAAGATTCTGAAACTATGGATAAGCCTGCCCCTGTGTTGGCGAGTATTTGAGCCAGGTGATCTTGGATTGTACCTGTTAACTCAAGCACTGCCTTGCTTGCATTAGTGGAGAAACAAACGGAACATTCTTGATATGTACAAATGGATGGCAACCAGGGTTGTAGGGCAATGCATGCCATCAGGGCATCATCCCACTGATGTTTCCCTCCTTGTCCTCCTCATAATTGCTCTCTGCTTCATCAGTGAGAGATAGCTGAGCAAGCTTGAGGCTGGCTTGCTTGACTGAATATGCATCTTGCAGTTCTTCTTCAGTCATGCTTTCCTCCTCAGGAGTTGATTCTCCCTCAGGGGCATCTTCTAAGGTCACCATGACTTTTGGACCATTAGGTCTGGTTGTCGTTGGCACAGGAGGTTTTCTAGTGGGACAATCCCTTGCCCAATGTCCTGTGCCTCTGCACACATGACAAGTGTTGCTGTCCTGAGGGTTAGCCTCCCTTGGCTTCTGGGCTTGTATCAGGTGAGGAGGCAGGGGGCAATTACCAAATCAGTATGAATTACCTGTGGTTACAGGTCCAGGTTGTCAGGCCTGTGGAATCACTGATGTTGTTGCTCATGTGACTGGGTTCGTGCAAGACATAAGTATGCTGGGATATCTTGAGGCAGAATGTTGCATCACCATTTGTTGGTGATCAATGTCCTCTACCTCTTGATACCATTCCCAAATACTTGTGGGTGGGTTTTGCTCAAACTTCTCCTGAAGACTGTGGGTGAGGGTACTTCTGAATAAGTCAATAACCAAGTCCCTGTCCTCCATATTGACTTGCCCTTCGAGGTCTCTGAACTGTTCAACATGTCGAGTAGCTGCACCAGGTGTGTCAGTTGTGAGTCACATGTTGAGTAGCTTGTTATAGGCTTCGATTCTTGAATTGTGGGGGTTGTATTGTTCGGTCAAGCATTGTCTGAAATAATGCCAGTCATGGAACAATCTCCCTTGTTGTTCATGATCAATTTGTATCTTGGAGGTCCACCATTTGTGAGCATTCCCTTCCAACTGGGACCCTGTGTGATGGATCATGCTCTTGTGGTCATAGACTCGATTGAAAGTGAACCATGTTTCAGCTTCAATCAGGAAGATTTCCACATCCCTCAGATTGAACTTTGGGAAAG